TCTTCCCACCGGCCCTTCGAATTGTCAATTCTAACCTACTTCACGCGAGGTTAAGAATCGTCAATGTCCATATCGTACTCCCATGGGACACTGACATTTTTAATGGTGGCTCATCACTAATTACCCTACCCCTATGGTGATACTCGGTGCTGGTAATCATTAAATTAGTCATCGACAATCCTGTCGGATTCGTTGATTCTCTCACGCTCTCACACACGGCTTCCTTTCAATTAGGAGCCAAAGAGACCCGCGGGCCGTATCATTCGAACGGATGCTGGCGCGTCTGCGATCGCCTTTAATGAGGACAGGCCTTCTAGTCCTGCGAGTGTCGAATCGAGCGCGACTCATTGGCGCGAACGTATATTTTACATTTCATGAGGCCGGACTGTGTTACGCGTATCGCTGAATCTTGATAACGCGTAGCGACGCATTCTCTATCGCTTGTACATACGCGAAGATTAATGCGCGTTTCGAATAATTTAATAATAGACAGACGTATTCGCAGGCACTGTACGATTTACACGGGCGTATACGTAATAGGCTAATTATGCGTGTATCGTTAAATTTTATTGCGAATCCATACAAAGTATATGTATACTATCCGTCCGTGTAAAATCAATTTCAAAGAAAGGTCAATTTCGTATATAAAAACTGTACAGATAATTTTTCAATACTTTTTTTTTTCAATATTTTTATCTCATATCGCCGTTCATATACCCTTGTGCTGTATGCGAAGTTTGTTTGGTAAATTGAAAAACGGAAAAAAAATAAATGGACGAAAAAAATTGGAATTTCGTAAAAGCATACCGCTCTCACGAAACACGTGCTAGGATTAATAACGGCGTTGGGGGGTGTCTCCAGGGTGCGGGACGAGGCCCAACTAATCGCACGCAGGGCGCGTGCGAACGTTTCTCCATTTCCCAAAGGGGCTTTTGATGGTTGATATCAAATTCTGTCGGGGGTAACGCGGAGCCGCATTGGGGGATGACTGGGGGAAGGGGGGCCGGAACTCGATTCCGTGGCACGAGCCATTGGGACATATGTTCACGGACAGCTGATGTACTAATAAGACCGGCTCTCAGACGCACGTGCGTCTATCGCGGGATCGTGCTTGTAACAGAATGAACCTGAGAACGTGGTGAGGAGGGGGCGGGAAAAAACATAGGGATGAAAAAAATGTATTTTCGCAAGTCCTCATTGACGAAATTTCTCGAGGTCCGAAAAAATTACCTCGAGTTATTGGCTGTGACGGAAAATTTTTGTTATTCACAAAAATAATTTTTCAAAATTTACATTGATTAATTTTAATAAAAATTATCTAAAAAGTGCCTTCCAATATTGCTTACGAATTTCGCATTGCATTTGCAAGGTTACGCTTCGTGGGATAAATTTTGGAAATTTTTTCCTAATTAACTGTATCACGATACGAAAATTTTATTTTTGCCAATTTCGTGACTCACTTCCGACGTTCCCACTTCCGTCGACCTTCCGCCCATCGAAATAGCCAACCGGAGTCCCGATAATCTGCGACACGTGCAACCGCACCCCAGAGCCACGTGTCCATGTGACACGTAAGTGCATATATGCCATAGGTGCATAAGCCCCCGGAGTATAAGGGTGCGGCGTCCTGTACACGTGGCGGTCCAGTCTTCATTAAGGGTAAAATAGATATACGCAAGGGGGAGTATATTTAATCCCTTATGTAATCGAAGATCAGTTTGGATACACGCGGCTTGCAAAATGCACGCGCGATGCACTCGCTTATGCACTTTACGTGTAGACAGAGAGTAGTAGCCCTATACAGCGACGACACGTGCACTCGTCTGACTTCTTCTCAATTGAATGGGGAATCGATCCTATGCGGATAAATCGGCAGTTGCAATACGCAGACGTAACGGGCCGCAGACAAAATGCCCCTCAATTTTTCAAGTGCGAAATTAAACATTTCACTTGCACCGTTAAGCGAGCATTATCAGAATGCAAATTAATACGTACGCTCGTAATAATTAATTGCACTTTGCATTATCGACGTTACCGTACAAAATCCACAGAGGAATGTGGTCTTATTAATTACAGAGTGTATTTCGCTCTAATTAGACGTCCTACGATAAGGTCGATTATCATTCGTAGTATCATCTCGTATATAATGATAAATTAAGCCTCGATTAAAATACGCTTATAAATTATTTCAAAAAAAGGTTTGAAAATTGAATAACAAATATTTTTCCGAGTCGTCTCCTTCCCGCATGCGCGATCGCACGATGCAAACAAAACGCAATACAGCTCTGGTCTATACTTACAGCCATCCGAATGTATGAAACAGTGAAGTTCGTGCAGACTTCCTAACGGAGTAACGCAATAGCGCTGTTAATGGCACGTGCGAGTAAACTGACTTACCGCGAACACGTGTCCATTCATTACGCTAGACGTAGTGCAGAAAAGCACGTGGCTATTCATTACAGTGCACGAACTGTATCGTTTTAATGAACAACGACAATTGTTCGCGCGAACAATAACACGAGGGAGGTACATATTTTTTCGTATCCGACAAAATGCACAGTCAACTGCACATTGCGCACCGTGACGTCAAGGACGTGGAAAATAATATTTCAGCATCCCTCACGAAGACGAATATAAAGATGAATGACGTAAGAAATCGATAAAATTTGTATGGATGACTAAGAAAAAGGAAAAAAATTTTTTTTCAAAAAAGTTATTAAACAATAACATACATACGCAAGTGCAAGGTAAATTTGTATGCGCGAGGTGGATATACACGCGCTGAAATAATTGCATGAAGAAACCGGTAGCCCGGGATTCTCGGATTCCAAGTACGCAGTATAATCGGGTTAATTCGTATTCAGAAAGGAGTAAAAAAGTAATCCGAAGTCGGGGTGAACGCGGCGTGTAAAACCGAAGCGTGGAATTGAACCGCGGCGATGCCGATGCTTAGGGCTGTTTATAAAACGAAAAAAGAAAAAAAGAAGAAGAGAGTCTGGAGTGAAGCCGCAGAAGCGAAGAGTCCTGCGAGGCGAAGTGCAATAAGGCTGGGATAATTATTCGGTGCGAACGAGGCTTAAGTGCCTACCAGCTGGGTGGAGAGTAAGCGAAACGCGCGAGCAATGTCGGGAGAAATGTCGACGGCCAATAAGTAATAAGAGGTAAAGGAAGGTTAGCTGTAACAAGAGGAACGTGGAATTTAACCGGTCGGCGCTTAACTATTCGCCATGTTTCTTGGCACGAAGAACCAAAGTCTGCATTGCGCGTTTTAGCGCAGTGCGAAATTTACTAAAAGATACAATCAACAATATCGTATCTCAAGTGAGGCAAAAAAAAAACGCAATCAGAGCTCGTACGATAAGAAATATCAAAGTTAATCGTGAAGCAGTTGATCATAGATATTCTTTTTCTCGCGTGATTAGAAGGTTGAGTGGACCCGCACGAGAACATCGACGATACATTCGTAGAAAAAGAGACTTAGCCAATCGCAGATTAGGGGATTAAGTGAAAGGCTAAATATTCAAGCGCCGTTATCACCGCTAATCGCAGATACAAATGTACCAGGACATTCGCGTTTAATATTATAATAGAGTGTGTTGCGTATGTTGCCTGTGGTAGAACATAAAATAATTTTAAAATAGTTATTAAACTTACAATGCATGAAAATTAAATATCTTTCAAATATATACCCAGCCCGAAGGCATCACGAGATTCCATGATTAGAGTGAGGATATAGATATACACGTAGAGCGTTCAATCCGGATCGGAAGCGTTGCGATAAATATCTTGGTTACGATCGACCCTGCGATCCTCAGCAATTACCTGAGTCGACTTGCGCCTAGCACGCTCCTGCCAGTAAAATAAGATAGAAGATCGCCATTACACAGCGATCATCCAACATGGCCGAGTCAGAGGGAGACCGGGTCCAGCAAATGCTTGATCTGAGAGAGTGAGAGAGATCTGACTCAAGTAACTGGAAAAACAAGGAAGCACGGACACTAGAGTAAAATTGAGCCGGTAGTGCGAAAGACAAGGACAGAGTCCAAAAAGGCTAAGGAGTGACGCCAGGGAGCTCTGTTGCTCGAGTGAGAGACGAGATATAGAGTACGGTAAGTGCGCAAGAGATACTAGAGCAGGTAGGTACCTACTAAAGCATAGGTAGGCCAATCGCTAAGGTGGAGAAATGGCTAGAGAGAAGAAGAAAAAACTAGAAATAAGTGCCGAGCCTAAGGAGTCCACGGTGAAGAGTAGGAAGAGTAGCAGTGATAGTAACATTAGTAGTAGTAGTAGTAGTAGTAGTGCCGAAGAGGAGGAAGCGGGAGAGGTGGCAGGTATGGGTTATAAGGTGGATGAGGAGGTAATAGAGGAAGAAGTAGAGAACTCAGATAAGGAGGGACGAATTCTAGTCTCGAAAGAAGTCGACTAGTTCCAGGAGAAGCTGAAGAAGGACAGGCCTATCGGTTTCTATTGCCGAGGACGGCGACGACGGCTCAGTGTGGGCGCGTGTCTGGCAGCTGCCGCTTACAGGTGGTGTGCTTGCTTGGGAACCAAGCTCCACGGAGCGTTCCCACGGAAGGCCCATCCCCACTGCCTGCCCTCTGTCGGCAGGAACGGACGGTATATAAGGACAGGCGGGAGTAGACCCACCAGCATTGCCGCTTTGATTTTCGTAGCGAGTTGGTCGCACTCTGCTTGCTTGCACGAGAATTGGCATTCGTTGGAGGGTAGATTTTTTTAAAACCTGAAAGGGTGCCAAGACAGACAGTTCGAGAGGAGAACTTTTCTTCGAGTTTTACGATAACACGGGGTTATAAACTTCACAGCTGAGATTTGTGTAGTTTTTTTTTTTTTAACGATTTGTGCCATCATTTTGTGTGTGATCAAGTGATTGGGATTTACGAGATGCAGATGCACGAGCAAATCATGGTCGATGGGCAGGAGCAACCCATCTCAAGGACCTATCAGTATAGAAAGGTAGGCATCGATTTTTTCATATCTCTAATGCTTTACGAATTACAAATCTTGGCTTTTTTTTAATCGACGATACAAGTGTGAAGTGAAACTTTTTAACACGGTTAAATCCAATGCTAGTTTCTTTTGAAAGCTACTGTCAATTAATAACGGGTCTGTTGGTTTTGACATTTATTTTTTTGTCTCTAGTGTACCTGTCAAAACTTTTGAATTTCACTCTTGCGTTTGAGAATAATTGAACTTACTGTGAAACTCGTTAGAGGGACGTTACCCTGAATTCAATGGTTATTGGATTGTTTGGGAGTAAAGATGAAAAAAAAGAAAAAAGTTAATTATGAAATTTCTGTAAATAATTAGAAAAATTTCAGTAGTTCTAACCGTAGTCTATTTTTTGTGCTCCAGGTAATGAAGCCAATGCTTGAGAGAAAAAGGCGAGCAAGGATCAACCGGTGTCTGGACGAGTTAAAGGACCTGATGGTAACGGCGCTCGCTGGTGACGGCGAGAACGTCGCGAAGCTCGAGAAGGCCGACATCCTCGAGTTGACCGTGCGCCATCTTCACAAGCTCCAGCGGCAGCAACGACTCTCGGCTAATCCAGTCATTGACTCCGACCGATTCCGTGCTGGATATACCCATTGCGCGAACGAAGTTAGCCGATGCCTCGCGGCGACGCCTGGCGTCGACGTCGCCCTGGGTACCAAGCTGATGACCCACCTTGGTCACAAGCTGAACTCCATGGACAAAACGGGGCCACTGACCATTCATGTGGCAGCGCCGCAGACCTCGCCGAACTCAACGACCTCTGACCTCAGTGACGAGTACCCCATGCCCCTGACGCCGGCGTCCAGTCAGCCATCTCCAGTCAGAACGGATCTGGAAGGATCGTCCCAAGAGCACCAGGGACTCCTGCAAGTGGCCAAGCCTGACGAAGCTGTATGGCGACCTTGGTAGATCCTTGCCATCGCTGAGGTCAGATTACTGTGACCTTGAAATGTGCAAGAGGCTCCTATGGTACAGGAACACCAATTGCCAATTGGTATTTCCAAGGGATCTGATCAGGTTGGAATCCTCCAATCCCCACGAGCACCAATCATCGTGGGATCCGTTGAAGAGCATTGGGGTACGAAATGATATCCAAGGTCGACGTGGATGATTATGATGGAGGATGATCAGAGGGCAGGAAGAAGCCAGTTGAACAAGATGAAGATATTTACACTGTGATCCGGGCGAGTTCCAAATATCTAGACTGAATAGACTCATCAGCTGGATGATGCGTGGATGTCGGGAATGGAGAAGGGATTGCGCGTGAAATGCAGTAGCGGAGTTTGATGAAGAAACAAACGAGGGAAACTCCAACTGTCAGGAGTGACTAGTGAGAATCAAAAATGAAAGAGAAAAGGCTCGCATTCGCAAAAATCATTTGAATCGACTGACAGGACAGTCGGGAGTTTTCTTTTTGGCGGGGTCTGATCTCAAATTCGAAATTCCACAAGACTGTGCAAAAACCTTTTAGAAAACAAAAATTTTAATTTTGAGATGAAGGGTCTCTTCTTATCAGTTACGATAAAATGCAATAACGTTAAAAGATTCTACTTGCTCAATACAGCGACTGGCTCCATCTGCGTTATTGACGTTACGAATGTTTTGTTTTATTCCTACTACTATCACTACTACTACTACTATTATTACTATAACTACTACTAAATACTACTGATATATTATTATTATTACTACCATGCGAACTGGGTTTTTAGTTTCTTCGCAAATCTGGAAACGATGAATTCGCAGACTGTCTTTGGTGCATTGTCGTAAAAAAATCATGTTTGGTCGAAAAGTGATTTATGGAGTTTCCGGAATTGCGAAAGAATTAGAGATAATTCCATAACTGGCCAAGTTGATGGATTCTTGGCGAAGCTTTAATTTACTTGACAGTTAGATGTTTTCTATTGTTTATTTCATACTTTTATCGATTTTTTTTTTATATTTCGGTTTCTCGAACAAAGAACTCAAGTTCAATTAAAATAATTAACATTGCAACTTGAGTTCTCTGATTGGAAACGTTGTTATACCTCTTCCCGGCCAATGTACGTTTCTTTAATTAATTTTCGAGAAACTTTTGATAACGGTACAACTTGACCTGCCGACAACTGTCAATTAAGTAAATAACAATTTCGTAAAAAATTGTTTGAAAAAAAAAACTTAAAAAAAATTGTATCTCAAAATGTAAAATAATTATTAACGGCCGCGCGGAGGTTCTTGTGATAGAGAAACGTGTACCTGTGATATTTACTGTAGTAACTCTAGAAAATGATACTAGATTTTTAATAAACTTGAATTGACCAATTTATTTATACTTTTATAATTCCACCCATGTAATCCTATATCCATTAATGAATCCATAGATTCGGTGCTTAGAAATATTGGAAAAACACTATAAAGAAAAAAGAAAAAAAAATCAGCTTACAATAATCCACACGAAAAATTGTACGCACCCGAAAAAAAAATATTGGTACTCACTTCAAAATGCATCACTCGTGTATTCAGAACAATCGGAAACTAAGAAATCAGACTTACTCAAAACCTAAAAACAAAAAAAAGACACTATGTATACAAACAGTCAAAGTCTTCATTTCCATGGTACATAGCCAATTAAATTGTGTCAATAAACCGACCTGCCTAATTTCATTGAATCGTTGCGATATATTATTTAAATATAAAAAAACACAGACGCCATTTCTTGCCGAAGAATTAATGATTATATAAAGGCAAAACATAAAGAAATTAAATTTATACAGATTCAAACATCACGCCGAGTGTCTCTGGTTAACTGACAATGAGAAAACGGAATGTCTCTCGAGCCGAGATACGCGGCTAACAAATGTTTCTGGCGCCGATTCAACCAGGCAAGAATCTATTAATAGAAGTGCGATAAATTTTCCAGAAATTTACGAAATCCTTCCTGAGACTAATAAGACGTGATTTCAGCAAATCGACGTGAAATTTCTATTCGACCTAATTTTTAGTGTTTGACGCTCCCTCAAGACTGTAAAGTTTCTATACGGATTGATTGGCAGTGTCGACGGATTAATGCACTCTCACGGAATGCACCGACGGCAATTATACGAGACTTCACTTGGCACCGTACCACTTCTGGTATTCGGTTACAAATTAAAAATAACGAGGGTGAAAATGACCGAAATTTATTTAATGATGTCATTCAGAAGATACAGAAAAGAAGTTCCAAGACATATGCAGCGAATGAATTTATAGGAAAATTGTTTGATATTCACATCTCAATAAAATTGTGCTATCAAATTATATTTAGAAATATTCATCTGTCAAATGATTTATTATGATCATTGATCAGCGATTGACTCACAATAGTTGTGAAAAGCGTTACATTCGATTCGACAGCCTTACATTCGATACGCTACAGACTAGCATAGATTTTAATATATGATATTCTATTAGAAATGGTGCAGTTATTAAAAAAACATTTTAATTATAATTACATTTTGTTAAGAGACTTCACACGCAAGCAGAATACATATATTTATATATATATATTTATAGCAATGACCTTTTAGAGATATCATATTCAAATGCTAAAACATCGAACAGTAACATGCGACAAGCATTTATTTCGACGTTAGAAACAAAAACAAGATATTTTTCAAAATTCGACTTAACAGTGCTCGACAATCTGTATGAGCTCCTCGTGCGTTGTGTAAGAAAGGGAAACAGGGTTAATCAGAATTTCGAATTTGTCTCTGCCGGCACTAAAAATACGATTGTTTCTCTGCTCGAACTAGCGCACGTGCATCATGGTGTCGTGTAGCGTGTAAAACGCGGCAAAGTATTTCACGTTCTAAGGAGCTATTAGATGGCTTAACATGCATCAAGTCAATTTCATGACTCGAGGAATACACTGTGCACTATTAAATGACACAAGCTCAACTGGAAACGTCTTTAAAACACAGTTATACTCACACCGTAACACACCACCCAGCTGTAGCACGGCTGTCACTACAGAAGACCGATCACGGTCCGCGGTCATCTTGCGGCGTTTTCATGAAACATTTCGACATGTTATTCCAATGATAAAATAGATTTATTACTATTACGGGTCTGTTTTACCGACTGGCCTGTTCGTGGACGTCTCTTGACTGTTGCGTTGGAAATACTGAAATTCAATAATGAGAATGTTGCTATGACGATTAAAAACACTGTGATGATACTCATGTGACGATTTAAACTGCTTAGCTGTCATTACGGCAGCTAGTATACCACGATATTTCACATCTCGTTGAGCATAAAGCTTGCGAGTGATATATAACTAATAAATTTTAAAAATTTCAACATGGGACGAAATCAGCAAGTGTATCCTACGATGCATTCTACTTATTATCTCAAGCCTGGACAAACATTACAAAATACAAAGGTGCCAAGTATTATTACTTAATTGGTGATAAATATAATTCATACTTTACGTAATATATACAATATATAGATATCAGAGCGGCCACTTGTATTGGTGACTTCAAAAAGCGCTTACAATCGCATGGTGGATTATGCAAGTGAAAACGAAAGAAAGGCTATGATGGCCGAGAAAGCGGCAATTAAAATGGCAAAACTTAGACAGGCAACTTACGAAATGTCCAAAAATTGGGATAATACAGTCGAGGTACTACGTACATAATAATAAAAAATATTATCAGAAAGGATTAATCTAAATAATTGACTATACTGTACAATTTCGTGCATGCACTATAGAATATAAAGAAAAGACGCACCGAAGAACTTCTGGCAAAGAGAAAGGAGGAGCAAGCCGCAAGGGCGGATTTTATCAAAGAGATGGCAGCGAAAAACGCAGCAGATCGAATGGAAGTCGTGAAGGAGGCGAGAAAATTACTCCTTTACAAGAAACCACAATGCAGACTTATTCTCGGTGCTCTTATCACTTCTGAGGTATCTAATTTGACTATTAAACAGTAACAATAATAATAAAAAAAGGCAAATGATTTAATGTGGAATTATATAAACATTTTTTTGAATAATTAATACACAGTGTTTCAGAGAGAGGGACGCGCAAGTGGCTTTTCAAAAAACAATCGAAAGCGTTGACAAAGAAAGAGACATGGAATATGCCAGCCTTATTCAAAAAGATGTTATTAATTACCAAGAAGAGGAACGACAAAAAGCTGAGGAACAGGCCAAAAAGAATAAGGAGCACGGAATTCAATTAAAGAAACAGTACGATTTTAATTGTGGTTATAAAAAATATGCATATTAGGTTTTACTAATTATTTTTTAGAATAGACCAGATGGAAAGAGATTTGAAGAGAATGCAAATGAAGGAGCTGGAATATGGGAAGAAGAACTTGGAAAATATAGCCAGAGAATTAGAACACATTAAAAAGTGTGAAACGGAACAGGTATCTTACATGATTTCATCAATTGATATAATAATTAACTAAATGCAAAATATTGTACGAAACATATAGTAGAAGATGCAAACTTAAATCTGCTCAACTGTGACTGTTCAAAGATACAAAGCAGAAAAAAGAAACTAACGCAACTCTTCACGGAAGCAATAGAAGAGAAGAAACGTTACGAGCTTCAAATGAAGCAAGAAGAAGAGTGTGAAAATCGCGCCCTTGAGGTTCTCGCCAAAGCAAAGAAGCGTATTGATCAAATTCACAAACAAAAGCATCAAGAAGAACTTAATGAAAGAGCAAAACATGCTGCTGATATTGGTAACTAATAAGTTCAACAATCGTATAATCAAACTTGAAATATACGTATATTAATTTCAGCAAAGAAATGTGCAGCAGTTCGAAAATCGCGCGAGGCGCAGGAAGAGGAGAGTATACGAAAAGCATTGGAGAAAAGGGAAGCAATCGAATTGAAGAAGATAGAGTCGCGTAAAAAATATGAAGAAGAATTACATATTGAAATGGAAAAATACCGAGCAGAGGTGGAAGAGATGAGAAAGAAGCGGGAAATTGAAAATCATATTTTGAAGGACTGGGAGAGGTTTCAAAGAATCAAAAGAAATGAATATGATGAGAAGAAAAAGCAAGAACTTTTGGAAAGAGAACGAAAAGTTAAAATTGAAAATGGCGCCGCACTTCGTAAACAAATGGTAATGAAAATCAATTTTTGTATGAAATAGAAATTAATTTTTTTTCTTTTAAGGCGGAAAAAGAAGCTGAACGTAAACGGGAACTTATGCTAGAAGGTAATTCGACTCATTTCAAAGAAATGATTCAAAAAACCAATGAAAAAATTCTTGCTTATGGAGAAGAAGTTTTGAAGGAATCTGAGGGTGTGAGACCTCTATTTCCAATTCTTAAAGCTATTCAGGTAATTGTTTTTCGTTGAAGTTCATAAAATTGATTTTAATGAAGTTCATATTCTATTACAGCAATTTAAAAAAGATAATAATCTATTACCACCTAAAAGATATGAAGAAGCACCGACTCTGGTGGAGAGACGTCGAAAAATTCGTCCACAATGTACAAACTCTATCCCAGAGGAAAAGATACATTATTTATAAAATTATTCAATGTAATAATCATAAAATATCTTATTTGTAATACAAAAATATGTTAACGCCTTACAAATGTATTGAAATTTTTAACGGATAGAGTAGTTCATCTTTCAAGTTATAGAGGCGCCAGTATCACTGTCATATGTTTATACCAGGAATCGATCTTTCAATCGACTTTATTACCTAATACTTTTCATAGAAGTTTTGTATACTTGATATCGATCGTATATGTTTTATTAATAACTTTAAATTACCGGTATGCATTATAACAATTTATTATATTAATAACTGTCAATTATTTTCTTAACAAATATTTTATTTAGAAGGTTAAGCATGTCTGACAAGAAGAGTGATTCAGGAGATAAATCATCAAAAGGGAAACCACAAAGTTTGCCACCTGGCATTAATTTCTTAAACGCGGGTCTTTCGGGGTATCGTAAAATTCTTCATAGTTTAATTACAACTACCAGCTATATTTTTGATTTAATGATACTTTGGCACCTAATAAAAAAAATGTATTACATGATTCATATCTACCTTGGCCAGAATGTTCGCCACATGTTTTGTCCATCCAATGGATGTAATCAAAAATCGTATGCAAATGAGCAAAGATCCGGTTGGAGTATTCACGATGGTCAGTCGAATTTTTAAAAACGAAGGAATCACAAAATTCTACGCAGGATTATCAGCAGGTTTACTTCGTCAAGCTACCTATACTACAACCCGTCTTGGGATATACAATCAACTTTTAGATATTTGGAGGTAATTACTTCAATGATTTCAATCAAAATTGGATACAATAATCTTTGATTAATTATTTATAATGATGATTTTTCAAATTATGTAGAAGTAAAAATACAGAAAATCCAAATTTTGGAGTTTTGGCTGCTATGGGAATAGTTGCTGGAGCCTGTGGTGCTTTCGTTGGCACTCCTGCTGAAGTAGCACTTGTTAGAATGACGTCAGATGGACGATTACCAGCAGGTCAATTATTTTGTTTCATTTATTCATCTAATCGTAATTGACGGACAAAACTAACAAGGGAAATCCGTGCGTTATTGATATTTATGAAATTAGATCAAAGAAGAAATTACAAAAATGTACTGGACGCTTTTATTCGAATTTGTAAAGAAGAGGGCGTTACAAATCTATGGCGTGGTAGTGTCGCAACTATGGGAAGAGCCGCCATAGTTAATATGTCACAATTAGCAACTTACAGTCAAGCTAAAAATATTCTCGCATCAAAATGTAAATTTTCAAGTAATTCCAATGATTTATACAGTACGATTATTTTTATGATTTATGTTCACAGACAATGTCAAAGATGGAATACCTTTACACTTTTCTGCCTCCATGATATCAGGATTCGTCACTGCTTTTAATTCAATGCCCTTTGACATTGCCAAAACAAGGTATTAAATATCTATTACAATACATACCACTCCTTCGATTATTTAATAAAATTATTTTATTCGTTTGACAGAATACAAAATATGAAGAGCTCTGGAAAAACTCCTAGTATGATGTCAATAATCTACTCTATTGTCAAAACCGAAGGTGTTATCTCCCTTTGGAGGGGTTTTTGGCCAACGTATTGCAGAATAGGACCTCACACTGTACTTACCTTCATTTTCAATGAACAATTCGCCAAATTTTACAGACAAACTTTTATGTAAGCTACACTGTAACTCATTGTTATATTTAAAACAATTATACGAATTTTATATTGTAAAACGACAAACAATTACGAATGCCACGTTTCCATGTACAGTTGACTTAATTGCTCCATACAAACTAGAGTAATTATAGTGTTCGGGCATATTCTTGCATAATATGGTAAAAATCCTCGCCACAGTGTCAACAAACCTTCCATCTTAACAATATCACTGATAATAGTGATAGCACTGGGAGGCTTAGAAGGATAATTCCAATTTTGTATCCTAAATAAATAATTTTATATTGCTTAATCGTTCCATAAAAAATACATCATTTCAATAAATCATTAACCTTGTCTTTGCGACATCCACAGGAAGTGAAGAGATTGCTGTCACTAATCCAGATATAGTTGATGCTCCAATTTGTAAGAGTACACCCTCATCAACAACACCTTGAACAATAAAGTGTGGTTACAATAAAATTAGTATACTTATAGGATCTTTTCGATAGCAGATATAAAATAGAATATTACTGACCAGTACCTTTTAATAAAATTTTAGATTGAGAATAAGTACCCAATTGTACTCCATTCCCTATGGCTGCTCTTCCCATAGTAGGAACCGCACCACGCCACATGCAGGCAGTGCCCTCAAGTTTCAAAATTTTATCCAAACCCGCAATAGCGTTTTTATAATTTCTTCGTTGCTCTTAACCAGTGCAATTATTAAATTAGTATTGGCACTTCTTTCGATAAAATATAAATTTATAACCTTTTAAAAATTTACCTGCAGGTAATCTTATATCTCCTATCATACGTATCATAACCACGTCAGAAGGCGTTCCTATGAATGCTCCAGTTACTCCAGCAATCATTCCTAATAATATCATAGTGCTATAACTAAGCTGGCCAAATTTTTCTCTATATTTAAAACCATTCGTATTATTTAGTATAATTATATTTAATATTTTTTGTTAATTAAATCGGCTTCTATAACTAACTCGCTAAAATCTATCAAAGCGTTGTACGTTCCCAATCTAGCTGCCGTATAGGTTATTTGCCTAAACAAACTGGCTGACAATCCTGTATAAAATCCAGGGAGGCCCTCAGCCGCAAAAGTATGCCGCATTGTTTGGGAAAGAGAGACCCTTGAGATTTGCATACGAATTTTTATTACATCCATTGGGTGCGTTACCAGTTGAGCTACTATTCTGTTGACAATGAAATAATTATTACATATTATGGTGAGTATTTGTTAGTGACAGTAATAACATATTTGAATAATATTTTAGCACATTTTTGAATTGCGTTTAATTACCCGGATGCACCGCCAATTACAAATTTTGCAAAATTTGGTACCTTCACAGCAGCATTATGTTCATCTGACATTTTCTAAAATTCCTGCAATATTTTTTTTTGTACTTTACATCGTTATCCATTATTTACCTCCTTTTGATCTATTAATATATATTTTCTATAGCAAAAGATACAATTTTTTTCCAATATATAAAATCGACTGTATTAAGCTCACACGAAATTATCGTGTATCGTATATCGAATTGATTCGCTCGTAATTATTACTTTGAAGTTTGCTGTGATTGAGAACAAATTATTCTTTTTCTTCTTCGTAACAGCTAGTATACATTTTAAAATAAAAATTCTCCTAATTATCGATAGTAGGTACGTTCATAATTCTTTATTCTATTTTACGTTTCGAAACGCCGAACACCTGTCCATGGTTACGCTTTGGTACTCCAAGGACAATTTTTGGAAAAATTTCGCAGCTTCCATTATATTTGTATCAGGTTTTCCTTCTCTTGGTTTCCGTCCAAGAAACTTGGCTAATTTTTTCAAATTCGTCCCTGTCGCGGACAACATCGTGTGCATACTTGAACCGATGACAACAACCATAGCATCATTTTTTTGTTCGCCATCATGAAGTATGAAGTGAGAACCCTCCTTGGTATAAGCATTATATTGAAGCTGCGTATATAAATTTATAGAATAAGTTAATTATATATAAAATTGTGTATTAATATAAAATTACAAAATTCTGTCAATTGCTTACACCACAATTTTCAGCAATATCTCTAAGCTGGTTCCAACTATACCGTGGAAATCGGTTATGATACAAATGGCTTATAGCAATTCCATATCTTTCAGTGGTCTCATTCCAGTTAAAAATTCTTGTGGTCGATGGAATCATTGATGCCTTCCGCTTTTGAGCTTCAGGAAGAATATCGATATCCCCATCCAATGTATTAGTTGACGGGATGTATGTACCATTAATAGTGAACAGCATCCAATCGATAAAATGTTGAGCTGGACCATAAAACGGATCCACATCCACCACAAGAACAACAGTTCTATCCTCTTTGATATGAGGATGACAAAATAGATCTATTGATAAGTGACCAAAATATCCTTGACTCTGTAAAGCCGCAGCTAGTCGATTAACAGTTGGTAGTAAGTATCTAGTGTCTACCGAAGTTTGTGGAATCATGTAGCCAAATACAGTAGAGGCAGTAGGATCTAATAAAAAAATAATAATTAGGTAGATCCAGAGATATTTTCTGCTTATTGCGAGTATATATTTTTTAATAATTCAACGGGAATACCTAAATATATTCGATCTGCAGTTCCTATAATTTCCGGTGGTTGTCCAGTATTATGCGCAGGCACAAAAAGCATCACTGTTACCGACCGAGCCATTTTTTCATTAGGGACAGCTTGTAATAAACAGCCATATTTATTAATATGACCGCAAAATTGTCTCCAGCTTTTGTAAACTGACGACAGTCTTGTCACGACTGAAACCACCTGAGGTAAATGATGCATCATACTATTTAAAAAGTCTGTTCTAAGTTCTGGGTTGTTTTTCCACTCGTTGCCAAACAAATCTCGCTCCTTTCTCAGTATTGGCATAAATGGAATACTGATATGATTGATAAGAAAAACTCCAGTTTGTCTTCCAGCATCGCCCAGATTAATTTTAATTAACCAAAGACAGACTTCAGTATGGAGACAAATTAATTCCGCCATTTTCGTACACAGTGTTCCATAGTCTCTAATATTGGTAGCGTATACAGGTTGTTCCAACTCTAATTCTGTTATTAAACTAGCCATATAAGACTTGTTCAATAATTTATTTTGAAGTTCCATTTCAGGAGCAAGCAGTGGAATGTTCATCAGTCCTGCCAACCTTATTTCACATTCATCCAATACCCATGGTAAAAAATAAGCTGGCATCTTATCAATCTTTTTTGTTATTGCATTCATTGTGTCAAGAGAACAGTAAAGATGTCTGGATACATTGAACGAACAGGATTTAAAAGTTTTGGCTTCTGACAATTCTAAATAAGTTACTCGCTTCTGGAAATTTTTTTCTGGATGGACAGATTCGATCAGATCATGATACATAGTTAAGAGATCTTCGTTTGGAGACACCGGAAGTACGTACAATACTTGACAAGATGGATTTCGTAAAAATGATATTTTCAGTGCCATTACGTTTTGGTACACAGAAAATTCGGCCGATGTCATTAATTTTCGTAATTCCTTAAAAAAAAAGTTTTATTGGCAGCATTTTTTTCTAAAGACTTTTAATTCTCTAGATTTTTTTTATTAAAGTGATAAATACCTGTGGCAGTCCCATTGAAGGTAAATGAATTACAAAATGTGGTTGCTGAATAAAACTGTTGTAATCGCGGCTAAAAGTTTCAACCAAATCTTTAGTGACGTTTGCATACTTCAACGTGCCTTGTAAATAATTTATATGCATCTGCCTTTTCTTCTTCACTACTATCCAGGATGTCCACAATACACTGGCAGCTATATATTTACAATCGGATTCGAACATTTGTTTACGAAGCTATAAAGGTATTATAGCATGATGATAAAATTTTCTATGTAATATTACATTCATATATATAAATTACAATTGCGCTAATTAAAGCAAAGATCATTAATTGAAATAACCTTATGGCCACGCCAGTATTTCTGTATAATTCCAGCAGCAATATTTTTTCCATGTATACTCGCGAATTGTGGTTTCCAGGTGGTTAACCAAGCAGCCTCTTCAGTTTGATTATCCAATAAAGAAACAAGATCGTCTTCATACAGCGTAAAATTGATTCCATTTTCTTTGATCATTGAGAGAAATTCATAGGTCGTCACTGGTACCAAGTGCAGTACTGGTATCAGACGTTTTCTTGTTATACTTTCTATTTGTGGCTGCATGACAAATTGCCATCTTGATCTAAGCTGCTGACCACGACTATCTAGAAGTTTTAACCAAACTTCACAGGTTTTGAACTCGCCGTCAACAAACTTCAAAATGCCGACACGTTTTAATTCAGTTTCCAATACAGGTGGAGCAAACGAATCGGTTAGTGTAACGATTTCGTCGACATTTTTTCTCGTCCCTGAACGATGTCCTGTTTTTTGTCTATCCACTATACTTGCTCTAATGAATCCATCTTGCAATCTAAAACAATACATGTCAGCAAATAAGTGTTCGTTGAGCGTTAAGAAAAAAGATTAAAAATACTCTCATTGTTTAAGATTTATTGAAATATTATTTACCTGAACCTTTTGAAATTTCTGGACATAGAAAACAACTTAGTTCTCAATTTTGCCATGTCCTGTTTGAATTTCAAATCAGATTCATCGAATTCGGAAGATGGCGGATATTTTGGGCGGTCAATAATGTCTTGTGTGTATTCTAGGTTGTATTCAGGAATGTTTGCCCAGAAACAATTACATAGGTCAATTCTTGCTTCGACATCATTAGATTTTTCTAAATAATTCTTGCAGTAGGTAAAAGCCTTTTTGAGTTTTGATTGGGAAATATGGAATGGTGACTTTGTGCGCAGTTCGCACTCAATAGAAGAATTTATTTCGTTGGAGGTTGAATGTTCTTGAAATAATTGCTGGATTGTGGATAATTGACGGAAAGCATTTTCATAAAAATTCTTTATCGATTCCAATACAGATATTTTCTTTGGATTTGTACAGGTTCTAATATATAAAACGATATAAGTTTAAGTAGTCAATATATTAATATGACACATAAACAATCAGTCCCTACTGTTTTTAAACGTTTAATCGGTTTCGCACATTCACCGAGTTCCTGAGACCGCCGAGGAGATACGATACTTTGTATCTTACGACTAGTGGTCATATTGGGCACAGGAGATATGCTGGACCAGCAAAGAAGTTCTGGAGAGAGTTGAAATATCATACATTTCCTTTCAGACACAGAACACATGGAGGCTAACCATCTTTACCAATATCTCCTCGGCGTTGAAACTCAACAGTAAGAAACGAGGATTAATAGAAACTAATTAAATTAGTTAAAATTATTTTTTTTAAATAAACCTTAGACACCCGATGACGTCCTTAATTCGTTCTCCTACATATTCCTTCACATCTTGCACTTGAGTATCTAGCATCATGAACCCTTCTTTTAACCTATGACAGACCTCGGTTTTGGCATCTTTGTAACTCCACATTTCGTATTCGTTATCCATTTGGCTTTCTTTTCGGTTTGCAATTATAAAAACAGGAAATTAAAATAAGGGTTCAAACGTATTTCGAACTTAAAAACCTTTTTAGCATGTACTTTAATATTGGCTCGGAAATACAAGTTTAAAATATTACAGTTTACCACAAAATGGTAAAAATACTAAGCCAAACAAATAAAATGAGATATTTCAGCTAACATAAGTTCAATATGGCCTTGTAAGATGGCAGCACGGTGAAGAATCCACAACCGCAAGATGTCACTAGTTATAACGAAGAATTCCATATTTCCAGATCAGCTGACACACATGCTAATCACAATAATCGAGTGGTTCAGTGGCTCAGGCCAAAGCCTGCTGCCGGTGATAGTTTGTTTCGTGTTTGAGAACCAACTCATTGCAACTTGAGACGTGGCGGAAAACACTGTGGAGCAGAATTTGAATAAAATTTTCTAATCACTTTAACGTCTTGAGAAATTTTCCACCATGTCCGACCAAAAGACAGTGCCTAACAGCATTAAGTTCGTCATTGGTGGAACTTCAGGGTAGGTGTAACCATTTTCTTTTTTTTATTTTTTTAAAATTTATTCTTTAGAACTTTAACTTCAGTTATTAAGATCCTTAATTTTTAATTAGATGGTATGTTTTTAATATTTTTTTGGAGATCAATATTGTTTTCTGGCGATTTTTTGTTTGGAGGTCAAAAAGGTCATAAATTCAGAATTAAACCATTCCAACACTCTTGGAGTTTTTATATCTATGATCAAATAGATGGCCTTTCAAATTTAGAATTTTTTGATGATATCTACTGATGCTATACTCAATTTCCCGAACTTTCACTTTTACGATGTTAAACTATATTGATTGCAACATAATGAATGTCTATTGTATATAGTTCTTTCTAATATAGAATCGGAAAAACAGTTATGTTCGATGAACATTGCAAGATGCACGATAATCGTATATTGCATATTTCAAAACTCGATTTCTCAAGATCGACAAACTGATTCGATTATTTGGACATACAGTTACACATTTCTTTTTTGTTCAGTTTTCAAATTATTGTCTATTCAAATTGTTAATCACGTATACATCACTGAAATTTTGTATAACTAAAGATACCCAAATAAATTGATAAGATTCGTTTATGATAATGATTTATGTAATACACAATTGCAGTTTCGTAATAAAGTGAACTCACACGCACGTCACTGTATGTGCATATATTTTGCATATCCACTCGTATTGTTATCTCGACTTTTTATTGCTAAAAATTGCGAAAAATTCGTACTATTATTCACTGCAAATAATCTACATTCCACTGAGTCATAATTCACGATCTGTATGAGATAACAAATTGAAGGAAAAAAACTGAAACATATTTTTTTTATAATTACAGAATGGCAGCTACCTGTTTTGTACAGCCGTTAGATTTAATAAAAAATCGTATGCAACTCAGTGGTACGAAGACATCCACACTGTCTGTGATTTCGTCGATTATAAAAAATGAAGGCTTTTTGGGAATGTATTCGGGCCTCTCCGCGGGTCTTATGAGACAAGCCACCTACACGACCACTAGGCTGGGAATCTACACTTGGCTCTTCGAATTAGCCTCGTAAGTATCATGAGGCAAACTTGTGTTCACTAACACGTGTGTCCTTGCCTCTGAATTTGAGCTAATTTTATCCATCAACAATGCAACGTGCGACTAGTCTCGCGAAACTATCATTCGTTTACCCACAATATTGGCCTTACGTAAATCCAAACTGTATTCTTATCAATGCTTCATCCACCTAATTAAGAACGTTTTGAAGTAAAAAAAACTGCAAAATGCAACTCTCTCAAAGACATATAACAAAGACTAAACAATCCACAGCTAACTTCAAGAATGAGTCGTATTCTGCAGTTTAGCCGGATTTAAATTTCAATTATTTTTTTTCTAGTTCTTTATAGTTACTGTTTTAATATTTGTATCGTTTTTTTATGTGTATAGGAAAGATGGGCAACCTAATTTCCTGACAAAAGCTGCATTAGGTATGGCAGCTGGATCCGTCGGGGCATTCGTCGGGACGCCTGCTGAAGTTGCACTTATTAGAATGACTGCAGATGGAAGATTACCACTAGGTCAGTTCATGATTAATTTTAATTTTGTTTTCATTCACTTACCATATGCAGGTTTCATAGTAATGTAACACTTAATTAGTTTACAATCAGCACCCTCTTTCCTTCTGCGATGTAATATATATTTTTGCATATGATGTGTTGAGTCAATGTAAGGAGAACATTGTCTTCTAATTTTTGATGTGCTAAAGTAATTTACAAATACCCAGCACATGCTGAATTATTTGACAGTCATATAACAGTATGTGATATCTGCCATTCAAACCTGTACACCATGACACAATCAGCTTATCTTACAATTAGATGGTAAAGACAATGGCAAATATTTACAGATTGACAATATGAATATTAGAGCCATTGATGTTGGTTAGTGTGCTTAAGGAGGCATCAGCATCAACATAATAATATTATTCTTATTTTTGTCAATACCCTGTATAGCATTCATTACAAACATATTTTCTATGTAAGATATTCTCTCTCGCAAAAGTGGAAGCACAGAGATTCAACAATTTTTAATATATAGTGCAATTTCTACTATTTTAATTCTGTATGATGATCAATAATACTGAAATTTTGCTCAAAGATGTGCTACATCATACTGAACAGCATATTTTCATGGCAAATGTAAATCTTTTACTTTTAATTAACGCACTAGCTACCTTAACTGATAGATTTTTGTGGAATTATATAATCAAATCTATTATTTCTAGACAAGGACGTATCTTAGAATCATTAATTGCATATTATCGTTGCACATGTCAAGGATCAAACATCTTTGTGGAATTATATTAGGAAAAATCAATAGATTAGTAATGATTTTTTTTTTTGTTTTTCAGCTGACAGACGTAATTATAAAAATGTTTTCGATGCTTTGTTCCGTATTACCAGAGAAGAGGGAATACTTACTTTATGGCGTGGTGCCATTCCAACCATGGGACGAGCTATGGTAGTAAATGCAGTTCAACTTGCATCATATTCACAGGCTAAGCAGGCCTTGTTAGATACAGGTAATTTGAAAAAAATGTTCTATTATGTCGACATTTGTTTAATAGTTGTAATAAAAAACTGCATCCTTTACAAATTAATGTTTGTAATATGTATTTGATTATCGAACATGAAAACCATGCAATTCTTGATTCAACGAATATCTTAAGAGCGTTATGCAATACATATTTGATCTAAAAAAAATCAAATTTTATATACCTCGAAAGATTATCTAATTATATCATGAAGTTCTGAGCTACTAGAGTGTGTTTATTTATAATTCATACTAGTTATTTTTGTGCCAGTATACAGCAGTCGACTTGTTCTTTTTATATAATATTTGAAAAGTTCATTTATGCACGTGGGACAATAATTAATAATATATTAATCTTTATTTAAAATATTTTGCGCCAATAAAAATACTATGTAGCTCAACAATCAATAATTCAATCAATTACAATTGATTTTAATAATCCATTTTTCTTAGGATACTTCGAGGAAAACATCGTTCTTCACTTTGCCAGTTCAATGATTTCCGGTTTAGCCACCACTGCCGCTTCAATGCCCGTGGATATTGCCAAGACAAGGTAGGAGCTTTTAAAAATGTTGCCAAATTTCTCAAAATCTTGACAAAACATTGCATCGTATCACATACAATTTTAATAACACTTCATTTCTTAATCACTGAACAAAGTTCAAGTTAATTATATTTTTCTCTGACCTGTTTCTAATTTCTGATTTTTTTTACTTGCGTTTTATAATTATAGGAACGATAAGCAAATATGTTGACCCACAGGCAATACTAATCTAATTCATGGTCCTGCTTTGTGGTTGTGACCTATAACCTTTGTTACTAAATGTATTTAGAAATTCTTTCCTGTTTGATATTATCTAACTAATTATTCCATTTTTATTTATCTTCTGATCTTGTATTGCAAGTACTTCTATCCGTGGTTTTGTGTTTTTAACAGTGTTCACAAAGATTGATTCTTTTCAGAATCCAAAACATGAAGACGATAGATGGTAAACCCGAATTCAAAGGGACCATAGACGTGCTGACAAAGGTTGTACGAAACGAAGGAATCTTCGCACTTTGGAAGGGCTTCTTCCCATACTACGCACGTATAGGACCTCACACCGTACTGACCTTCATCTTCCTGGAGCAAATGACTTCAGCCTATAAGAAACATCTAGCTTAGACAAATCGTCGCTAGAAGTTAATTATTTCCATGTTCGTGTAGATAAAAAATTCTCTAAGATATAATAATTGGCACTGATTCGAGCAACACTCAGTGCCTGGAAAAATTTAGAATGTTTTTAAACAAAGAATTAATTTTCATGGCACGGTTCGGGAGTTATATTGAATTTCTAATTGAGTAAACTCAGCCATTCATTTAGTTTGCAAATACCTGCACTACAAGTATCAAAACATTATCGTTCCAACACAATTCGTTGACGTCACTTGTTTCTGTTTTCTACGATCCTCATTATGTAAACATAGGGCCTGTTGCGATTTTTCACAATGCACCAGAACAACACATTCTAATAACATTCTTTACAGATGGAGTACGGCTGGCTCGACTCCGAACTTTATACGCGTTATTCTTTTAGAACGTCTATTTGTTGTTACAACGTAAAAAAGTTATATGGCATAAAGAGGGTGGCGCTAAAAACACTATTAAGAAATAGAATTTTAAAAGGTACAAGACAAATTGATACTTATAGGGTTTTATAATATACATTGTTAGATTGTCATATCTCCTTATTGGAGGAAACATGCATAAGGAAAGGAAGAAAGGATATATTTTTAGAATTGATTATCTTTGGAATTTGTCGAATTTTCAATCCCGCTCTTTTTTCTATTTAATTGTACGTATCATTATTTTGCGCCACCCTATAATATTTGTAAAGTCCCTTTTGTCTAACGATGTATTATAACGGTGTATAATATATATTTTTATTTTATCAAATTGATAAATTAGGCCGTCGCAAGTCAGTCGAATGCCTGATACGTTATGATCTTTTATGTAGGGTCCTTAAAAAAACTAACAGTATATTCTGAAAATGTATTATACACACAAAAACTCGTTATAAACATCATTATTATACAGTGCTTAATTTTCATCGCCGTGGCGTATTTAATAAACGTCTATCATTACAAACGTACATATTGTTCAGCGAATTTATATCGTTCCAGTTTTTTACGTATTTGCGAAAAATAAAGAATCATCTTTTGTACGAATTTAACATTATTAAATGAAAAATTCAATTGTCCTCTGCATATAAATTATTACAGTTGCGTATTGTGCAATTCTATTGCTGAATTGTCAGTATTACGAGATAAGTAGAAATCTACTTCATCGATGTCGAAACTCTATGCAATCCTAACCTGTTTTAACGTAAGATCACGGGAAACAATGGGTTTCGGAAAATCCTGTGATAATTCTAGTAATCGTAATTTTTATGCGCGTACGAAAAGTCTGTGAATAGTGTCGAATTTAAGAATTTCAGAAACAATGGAAGTACGTTTTACCTATGAGAAGAAACATTTCATAAGAAAACTTGATTTCAACCAACCTAAATGATGGAGACGTCAATCGTACGAACGATTGAATAAAAAATATTAAAATGTCCAAGAGAAAGAAAAATACAAACTGGGGCGAAAATGGCTTTGAGGATTGGGTAAACAATAAATAATTTATACTATTTTTTTACATTGTACTATGTTTCTGTCCATACAATGGAATTTATCATGTACCACGTACAGAAATTGGCGGGAATTGTTTCTGTTTTATCCATTGATACAAATATTTTTCATTCGAATATTAAGTGGCGCTACTAATCGTGCTCATTTTGGTTCATTGAAATTAATTTAATGCGAAATAATTAATTAATTTATATATAAGTAAAATTGTGTTATATAAGATATATAACAATGTTTAACATACAGGGTGGATATATGGCAGCGAAAAAGGCCAAGCTAGAAGAACAGTTCCAGATAATCGCTTCTACGGAATTTCATAATGCTTCAACTCTCTTTCAAGGAATAGCAATATTTGTCAATGGCTATACTAAACCTTCGGCGGATGAGCTGAAACGATTAATGATGGCCCATGGTGGGATTTATCATCACTATATGCGACCACGCATTACAACACATATAATAGCATCAAATTTACCATACTCAAAAATCGTCATGTACAGGAAGAGTCAACATCCGGTCCCCATTTGTAAACCAGAATGGATTTCCGATAGTTTGAAAGCCGGCCGCGTTTTAGATTATCAGCCATATCTATTATACACTAATTGTACTGAGACACAGCCAAGACTAATGTTCAAGGCTGGTGGAACAAATGAAAAATTGACAATTAGTTCAAATAATGGTACGAAGGATCAAAATTGTCTAAAATCTTTATCAGAGACTGCTAAACAATCCATTAAAGATATTGCCACGACTTTAAGTGTTATTAAAAATAATAAACCTTTAAGCTCAGAAGAAATCTTGAGTGAGAACGATCCATGTATGTTGGATAATTGTAACAATGAAGAATTTACAAAACCGAATTCTGTTACATTTAAGAGTATCAATGCTGCAAGAATAGTTTCAACATCTGTCGCAAATTCTTCAGTTGCACCGGAGCCTACAAAAGAAAGTGCAGTGAATCAAAGACAAGTTCAAAATGTACAACCAAAAAGTAACCACAACATTTCAACGCAGAATGTCGGTTTCCTTACTGAGTTCTATAACAATTCCCGACTTCACCATATCTCAACGATGGGCGCCACTTTCAAAGACTATATAAACGAATTGCGAGATAAAAGCGATGGAATTTTTCCAGGATTAGACCGACTCAAGTCCACAATCCGTAAAACTCAAACAACTGTTTCTCCAAATGGAAATGGCTCCGATTCGGATACGGAAATTTTTGATGTTTCAGATAACGGGAAGAAATCAGTTGGAAATATTGTAATGCATATAGATATGGATTGTTTCTTTGTATCTGTAGGTTTGCGAAACAAGCCAGAACTGGTTGGTCAACCAGTTGCCGTTGCTCATGCTAAAGGAAATCGTAAAACACGAGTACCAACAAAAGCTGTGGAAGGGGAAGTCAATGACAATTCTGAAGCTGAAAGAGAAGGTAATATGGAGGACGATGATTTTGGTTCTATGTCCGAAGTGGCGTCTTGTTCTTATGAAGCACGCAAGGCGGGAGTCAAAAATGGAATGTTCCTCGGACAGGCGTTAAAATTATGTCCAAATTTAAAAACCATAAAATACGACTTTGAGGGCTACAAAGAAGTTTCCTATGCACTGTACGATACGGTTGCATCATACACATTAAAAATTGAAGCCGTCAGTTGTGACGAAATGTATGCTGATTGTACTTCAATCCTAGCCGAGACCGGTTTAAATCCTATGCAATTTGCAAAAATAATCCGGAAGGAAATTAGAGACAAAACTGGATGTCCAGTTTCCACTGGTTTTGGAGGAAATAAATTGCAAGCTCGGTTGGCTACCAAGAAAGCTAAACCTGATGGTCAATTCTATTTGGAACAAGAAATGGTTCGATCCTATATCGGATCATTGAATGTTCGTGATTTACCAGGCAAGCATTAATTTTATTAATTAAATTATTGTTTAATTTGGAGATACTGAGTATACATTTTTGCAGGTGTGGGTATGTCTACTACTCACAAATTAAAGGGTATGTTGGTACAGAGTTGTGCCGAATTGCGAAACATCTCTTTAGCTTCTTTGCAAAAAGAATTTGGCAAGAAAACCGGAGAGATGCTCCACAATATGAGTCGGGGTGTGGACAATTCGAAATTGAATTTGGAACACGTACGGAAGTCTGTATCAGCGGAAGTGAATTACGGTATTCGATTCAAGAACTCAATAGATGCTGAAGATTTTTTAAAAAAGTTATCAGTGGAAGTCTGTGCACGAATGAAGAAAGCTAATGTGAGGGGTCGATCTGTTACCTTAAAAGTTATGGTGAGGGCTAAAGAAGCACCTATAGAAACACCAAAGTTTATGGGTCATGGTCTCTGTGATTATTATACCAAATCCAAAAACTTCATTGTAGCCGTTGATGATGAGGTCATCGTTACGAGGTGAGTGCATTTTTATATAGGAAGAAATATATATAATTAGCCCATAATGCAATTTTAAGTAATTTTGAATATTTTTAAAGGGAAGTATTGGCATTGTGGACTCAATTGCAACAAAAACCAGAAGAAATTCGAGGAATTGGAATTCAGATTTCTAGACTAGAATCATTGAGATCAAAGGCCGGTACCACTAACATTTTAAATTTTATCAATAAAATTAAACCGTGTGATTCCGAAAATAAACAACGTGGATGTGATGAAAATCAATTACTTTTGCACAATATTGAAGTAAATTCAATTTCCAAAAAATCAGATAGTGATAATGGAAAAACTGAAAATTCAAAGAATTTAACAACTTTTTTTAGCAACAGTGTAAAAAAGGATAATCTTGATCGGCAGCGTACTCTGGAATATCCAGGGTTAAACAATTGTAAAATAGACGATAGTATACTTCCTGCGTTACCAGAGGATATTAGAAATGAAATTTTACATGCAAAACACAATACTGTCAATTTTGAACATAACAAAGAGATTCAACAACCTGGACCTTCAAAAATGGTTACTACAAGTAAATTAAATATGCTTGGAAAAACCATACAAAATGAAGAATCTTTAGCATCAAAGACTAAAAAAGATGTGTGTCTTTCATCCGATAATAATGTTTCTAATATAAACAATTTCGAAGAAAGACCAGCATACAATTTACAAAATCCTTTTATGACATCAGACCACAATAATTCTTTATTTAATGTTTTAATGGAATCTGAGACTAATCAAGAAACAAATATTTTACAATTAACCCAAGATTTGGATGAAGCCGTATTGGCAGAATTACCAGAGGATATAAGAAATGAGATTTTGGCCGCAAAAATAATTAAAAAAAAGAAAAATGATAAAAAAGGCGATAAAATTTCGAGACCATCTGAAGCACTTGCAGTGGATGAAACATCAAGTAAATCATCCGAACCAGGACAAATATGCATTTCAGAAAAAAAATCGTCAGGTAAAAAAATTCAAACTAGTCAAGAATCGTATTTTCGTCATACAAAACCCAGTACATCAAATTCGATAAAAGCAAAACTGCCACCAATAGAACAAATAAATATGGCGGTTCTTGTGGAACTGCCTGAGGAAATACGAAATGAAATTCTCAATGAATATCGCATGAAACAGCAAGAAGAAACTTCTTTGGGAACAAAAGCTGAAGTGGCTCTCCAAACAGAACATAATATCGCAGTCGGTATTTCCAACGTGCAAACTAATTCCAATGTGAATTCTGATTCGACGAAAACTGATTTAAATGTATCATTTTCCCAAGTAGATCCAGAATATTTGGCAGCTTTGCCTGTAGAAATAAGAAACGATGTCAAGCAATATTGCACAACAAAGAAAATAGAAAAAGAAATGAAAATGAAAAAAAATCAACCACAAGCTACAGTGTCAAAGGGTCTAATCAATTTTTGGAATAAACCAAATGCAAATAAGAATTCGAATAAACCTAAAACAGTATTACCAAAAGGAACCAAGAAAACAAAAACTTCGAAAACAACGAAAAACTCAAAATTGGTAACTGAAAACAGAGAAACGTCAATAAGTCCAACTTATGAAAATGCAACAAAAGCAGTTACTAATACGACTGTACCAAAAGAAAAAATAGTACCATCAGAATCAGAACCAACTCCTTTCGTGGAAAAACCAGAAATTAATGAAGAAGAGAAAATATTAAATACACTTGTGAATCGATTCCTGAATTTACCGCTTAAACAGGTAATAAAAAGTTTTCTACAAGGTTAAACAATATTACAAATATACAACATTAACAGGTCAACAGATAAACTAGTAATAAATAATTTTATTTCTGGTGTACATTCATCTACATCATTATGAATCCTTCATTAGGAATCAGTAAAGCAGGAAATATTAATATTATTCCTATCGAACCACATTAGATATCAATTGTCTTAAAAAAATAAAAAAACCAACCCAATGAATTTTCTTAAGAGTCTCACGTTTCACAGGTAAAGAGCCAAATACAAATGTGGATATCCTCAAACAACGACATAATTGAAATCGATGTTTTGTCGCTCATTACGTTTCTCAGTTCTCTCCCGGAAAGCAGACGCTTAACGGATCTTCATATTCTCTTAAAAATGATGCACAGGTGCGTATAAAAATCTCGCAAAGTTACACTTCCGTCAAAAGACAGCGGCACTACGAGTTTTTAAGGATAAGAGATAAGGTCGTACAACATAATGCAGATAGTAAATGAGAGTAAAGTTATATTTTTAGCATGAGACATCATCGATAAAAAATGACAAAAAATTAGGAACGAACTAACGCAACTAATCCTAGCGCGTTTACGCATTTTCAGATGCATCACCAGAAGCGGAAATTGCGTCTGGCACCGGACGTACAAGAGAATCGTCGAGCATGTCCAGAATTCAATGCGAGTAGAGTACAACAGCGACTTAATTCTACCGCCAATGAGGTGCGAACTTGCTGAGTGCGAAGTCGCCCCGTTTCATGTATAAATTGTCATTGTTATCATGGTCGTTTATCGAATAAATAATAATCGCCTTTATACAATTTTCCTAGTAAATTAATCGGTATAGAAAATAAAAGGAGGGACAGTATATATATTTACAAGGTGATTATACTTACCTTCCGGATCCATCGCATACGCACCGGCTTCGCGTCTTAAGCTCTTCGGTGTCGGTCAGTAATAAGTCACAAGGCTTTTACGTGCTTTTGGATGTTTTTGCAATATATATATTTTTTTAAATATAGTTTTTACTTTTTTTTGTTTGTTGTTCTCGTTACGCGCAGGGGTGGTGAAAAAATAGAAAGGGGTGAATCGGACATGAGCATTCACTACTCCCACTCGGTGGTGCCCGGTGGTTTGGACGTAAGATCATATAGAACACGCGAAATACCGGGCACCGTCAATATCTCAGCCACCATTTTCTTTACCACCTGCAACAGATTTTATATTAATATTTTGTAGGAGTAGTAAATTTTACTATACTGAATATGCAATGTAGTAATTAGTAATAATATAATAGTTCAGTTGTTACCAATGTGACTCTATGCAATATATATTTATCATATGATAAATATAAAATTTATATGTAAAATATAACTGCGATATCATTGTACATACAAAATAAAAATAAATCTATGAAATAATACTATGAACATTTATTTTACTGTAAAATATATAATTTCATGGCTATTTCCTTGTATAATTGTAAAATATAATTAAAAATAAAAATACGAAACTTACATGCACGGGCAGTTCTATACCAGGAATAGCCGGAGTTCCGGTCATGAAGTCCCGGGAACAGAAGGGCCTAAGAACAACTGAGCGCTGGCAAGATGGCGCTCTGGATACGGTATCTCGGTCAAAATGTACCGGAATAAGGATAACAGGCATTTGGCTGATGGCACCCATGCAACCGTTCGAGGCTAATACTTGATTAGCCAGGTGATCTGCCTGGCGTAATGTGGCGATGACGTTTGATGTGAGATGCGTTGGCGTGATGTCAGTCACAGGATGTTGCACCAGCTGACCGAAGATATAGCACACACGATTTACATTGTGGCAGACACGAGGAATCAGTCGCGCCAGGAAAAGTATGTCTTCCCAGTCGACGTTATCCAAAGAAGGTTCGTCGCATGAGAGTCCCACCACGTAGCTATAACTCCGCCGGTCACCCTAGACAAAGATTACAAATTTATTAGATCTCATATGATTTGTTGTGCTATACGAGATAACCATCCTACCTGGACACCGACACTGCGAACGGGCAGGAGAGTTGCGGCAACATGACGGTGGCTTGATACTCGTCGTAGATGCTGCCGTTCAGATTCACTGGTAGCACCCTCCACGCGGTTCAGAAGGGCATGCTTCTTTTGAAGCATTTGCTCATATTCCGCTATTATCTTAACTATTACCTAAAGATTCATACAGATTTTGGCAAGATTGTTCTTTGATGTACGGCGCAGATAAGAGTTTCATACAAAATTACCTGTGTTTCGGAGAAATCCTTGTCCATGTAAGGCTCATCAGCGCAAAGAATGCGAATAGCGAGTCCTGGACCAGGAAATGGATGGCGGGCTACTAGTGGAAAAGGCAGACCGAGGTCGCAACCCAGCTGCCTAACCTCGTCCTTATGAAAGTCCGTTAATGGCTCTACTACTCGACCTTGCTCTCTAAGTGCTCTCACCAATTCGCTGTCGTTGTGATGTGTCTTTATCGCATCTGCTTTACCTGAGAGGATTGCACAAATGTACGTCAATGAATAAACGATAACAAATCAAACGATAACTGAAAATGACAATCATTTAATACAAAAACATTAATTACCGCTAACTAAAGAGCTGGCACTTTCAATGAGATCTGGCCTGAGTGTACCCTGACCGAGGAACACCTCTTCCGGTTTCAGTCCCATCTCAGTCATCGCTTCGTTAGCTACTCTGACAAACACATCTCCGATGATCTTACGCTTCTCTTCTGGATTTGTAGTGGCACAGAGCATCTTCGTCAGCCTTGTCCTCGGCCCAACCACACTGATTCCACTGAATGTTTTATTATTTGTTCCCCCAGAATTTGGCGGTACACCGATCGTCTCCATTGGCACAGTAGTCTGGCCTTCCATGAAGCTATGTGCTGCTTTCACAACACGAAGTTTCACACCTAGTTCAGCTAAACTCTGCTCTACAAATGGTGTTTCACCCTTGCGCATGAACCCATTATCAATGTGAAGTGCAATTACTTGTTCCTTACTAAGCGCCTTGTGTAGCAGTGCTGCACATACAGTGGAATCTACACCGCCGCTAACCAACAACTGGAATCAACAATAACAAATTCATTGTATAATCAACCACGTACGAATCGTAAATAACTTATTCCTAATTATAAAATTAACAACTAATACTCACCAAAACTTTATTGTTGCCTACAGTTTCACGAATATATTGAATGCATTGAGACTCTCTACCACGCAGAGTATAATTACCAGTAAGACCAGCGACACCAAACAAAAAATTGTGTAGCATTGTTTTACCGTTGGGTGTCAGATCGACCTCAGGATGAAACTGCACGCCGTAGAGGTTCATCTTATCGCTGGCTATACCAACTACGAAATTGGAGGACTTGGCAGTGGTGCGGAAGGTATCGGCGACCCTATCTATACTGTCTCCATGGGTCAATAGGACCATTTGATCTTTTTCCAAGCCCCTGAATCAAGTGGAAGATATAAAAATGTTAACATATTAAATTATTGTATTATGTAATTCATCAACGTTGAGACTAATAAAACACCATACCTATATTCTAAGACTTATCAATTACTTACTTGAATAAAAGGCACTTGGTATCAACTTCTACAGGAAACTGTCCATCTTCGCGTGCTTCCTTTCTCATGACAGTACCGCCGAATTCTTTATTCATCATCTGCATTCCATAGCAGATACCTAATACCGGTATGCCTATTCGAAAAATATCAGCATCGTACCGTGGCGCGTCTTCTGCGTATACAGAGCTAGGTCCACCGGATATAATAATAGCTCTAGAAACAAAACATAAAAATTGAATAATGTGTATGTCACCCTGTACAATTGATTAACGGCACAATACATACTTGTAACCCTTTTCCTTAAGGGTGAACGCAGGCGTGTCAAGTGGTAGAATTTCACTATGTACACATAATTCACGAACCTTACGGTCAATCACTTTACCGTACTGAGCACCTGCGTCCAGTATGGCTACTCTTTCATTTGCTCCTACGATGCTCATCACACTATCGTCTGCACCGTTGTTTCTTTCCGTGCGAAACAGTAAACCGTCCGCGCTCTTCTCCATGCCGTCTTCGTCGCCTCTATTGCTGTGGCTATTTCTATCACCCCAGCAGCACTGTAAACAAATTTTATTTACTCGACAGATTACATTTATACGTTCTGAATGAACTCTCCTTGAAAGGGTGATTACGATACGCGGATCTAGAATGATATTCATGAAGTATTACACAAGAAACGTTATGTGAGCATCATTGAGAAAAATAGTCTCGTTCCTAATACATATCATTAGAAGCTATTTACATTATTATTAAACTATTGCATTGATATTAATTAGCATTTTTTTTCAGTTCATATACATAGTATATATATACACATTTTTTAGCATGTACCATATTTCCACACTTGTGTATTGTTCGCAGCAACATTTTATAGATGCATTTTATTGTTGGATCCGACCGAAATATTTTTTTGAGGAATGTCAAAACTTTTAGTCCTAAGACATATTCACAAAATGTCACGCCCGTTTATTCGCACAGACAAAGGACGTTTATCTCAGTTGTTAAGCTAAATGTTTTCAAATCTCAGATTAGATGCGTTGATTAGGTAAGGTTACAACGAGTCACACAGTTATGATTCTTAATCGGCGGAAAACAATTTTATTTCGCGTCGCGCTTCAATTGGTCTGTTGTTATATAGAAATACAATTATTGCAACGAGCATCCGCAAAAACTTTAGTACAATTAGAAAGTTTAATACTCTGCACTTAAGTGTCGAACGACGATTGACTTCGAATGCTGAATGAGGTAGTTATTTATCACTTGATATGTTATTAAAGTTAAGCAGCTACGTTTAGCGTGACGTTTAAAAAACTTTTTCCTTGTTTCCAAAACTTAAGGCTTCCTCTTTACTCGTACTATTTGCTAGATTCACAAGTGTACTCGCTTCAAGATCAACGTCAAATGATTTTACGTCGGCAAATGCGAATCTCAAATGATCCGTCAAATTTTACGGATTGGCTAAACGTCATAGCGAGCTAAAAATATCACGAACTGAAAATACATTCCACGGAAAGGTTGCGGATAGTATCTATTATTAAGCTCTTCTCCAATGCGATATGGCGCGCTTGCAATTTTCCATCGCGCACGCACAATTTCACGAAAGATTGTCCACGCTGTTTTGAAAGCGCGTGAGTATAAGACTATATATATATAAATTCTATACTTTTCTATATCGGCAATAGTTAACTTTACGTTATGAAAGTTTGACCCTTGACGTACTAGAATGGATTTGGAAATTATCAGTTTAATCTACACGCAATTTAACCTTCGATAACCCCTGACGCGGATAATTATCGATTTGATATAAATTGCAAAATTATTTTGAGCTATATTACAAAAGTTGTCTTGTAACTCTACATCAATTAATTGCTAGAGTTTTCATAATGAATCGATATGTATTACATACGTTAGACATGTTTATCGAAATAGCTGAAAGCGTGTAAAAACAGAAATTAAATTATCATGTTACGTTAATTAGTAAATACTATCTACAGATGCGCGGATAAATATTATATATATCCATTTAACAACCTTATATGATGCTTACGCGTTATGTAAATCTGAACATTCACCAAGGAGGTCATTTAACCGGTACTACCGTAAAAATCTGTTAGCCGTTAGATAATATTATAGGTGAAAAACTGCAATTATTAACTATCAAGGAGAATCTATAAAGTAGCTTGATTTTCTATTTCAATCCTTTATCCATACATATTATAAATATATAATTACAAATTATTTTGCTTTACGGAAATATAACATTAAGTTCGATATCACTTGGTATATTTCCCTATCTTTGTGTATTTGGTCAATTAAATAGACTTTCTTAGATCAATTTATTTATACAAAATTATTAAAGTGATACTTTATATCGTCTTTAGGTTTAGTGTAATGGTTAAACAAATAACAGCAGATTCATGAATTGATGCATTTGATAAATTTACTATCATTGCCCTATACTTATTATAACAGAAAATGAAAGATTTATATGTGACAAATTCTATTACATGAAAATTTGTATTAACGAATAAGTCAAACATGATATTCTAATGGGTTTGTATATAATCGTGTATATAAATTTGAATGTAAAACAGAATGGTTATCTTGCTAAATATACATTAGAATAATATGAAAACTGATTATATTAATATAAAATACTATGCTTTGAATTTATCAATTTGATTTTTTAGAATTTGACATAATTTTAAAAAGTAGCTTATTTAATAAAAATTTGAATGTGATCAACTTATATAGTGTTTCCTCTCTATATACATACATATATATATATATATATATATATATACATACACATATATACATATATAATTTACAATTTTCCAATGGTAATATCACAATGCTCCAAAAACTCTTTGTCACCTCACACTGGTACTACTGCAATGCCATACACATATATACATATATATCAATTTGATTTTTTAGAATTTGACATAATTTTAAAAAGTAGCTTATTTAATAAAAATTTGAATGTGATCAACTTATATAGTGTTTCCTCTCTATATACATACATATATATATATATATATATATATATACATACACATATATACATATATAATTTACAATTTTCCAATGGTAATATCACAATGCTCCAAAAACTCTTTGTCACCTCACACTGGTACTACTGCAATGCAAAATATGAAATTACAAGGTAACCGAAACAGATACCAAGTCATAGCAAATAACCAAAACTATTTAAAGCAATACTCCAAATGCTCCAATATATTAATATAATAATTCTCGCAATAAAAACTTCCACAGTAATCAGTAAAAAGTCCACTTCCATATTTATATAAATAATACTACACAACACTATCTTTTTACTAGCGTTCTATGCTACAACTACCTAGTACTACCTTTACATGTTCATCAAGAGCAATAAAGTAGAAAAGTGCAAAGGAGGGCAATGACAGCGACCCCCGTAGAAATTTCACAAGATCAAGTAAAAGCTTCTTTCAAAGCTGGAATTTGGTGCACAGAAAAATCCAGAATGAATCTAGGAATGATAGACAAGAGAAGCGACCAGATTTGATGATTGCAGATTGCAGATAAAAACAAATCGCCGGCCAAGTTTCGGAACACGTTCCTCGAAAGGGTACTTGACGAGCGCAGTAGATCCTTTGGAGTTAAGAGGTCATGAAATTCACTTTGAACCTGGTGAAGATGGACTTACCGAACGAAATGGTCCGGGGAGCGTTTCGCCGCGAAATCGCCGGAGAATGTAAAATTAATTGCAGGAAAACAGAGTATGCACACACTGGACGAGGCGGCCATTCATTCGCCACGATGCAATGATTACTCGGGTGACAACCGTGATGGTGGACTTGAAACTTGAAGTTGGATGTCTGGTGCTCTTGAATGATGCTAATGGCGCTGTGTTCTTGTTACCGATGCAACATAAGATGACAATCCAGAGGACCTTGCATGTACATTTAAAACTAAATTACAATTAAATTAATCACGATCTAAAATAGTCCTTATTTATAGCAATTAACAATTATCCTTGGTCTACGCAATACAGATAATAATCCACTCTATTGATTATATGCTGAGCTCCTGCTACTACCGAGCGAAAACAATGCTGACCGTGTATGTCTTCCTTATCGGCATAGTATATATTTCTATGAAACAGCTTAAACCTGAAAAGGTGGTACTTACTTATAATATTTTCAAAAATAAAGTTTTTCAAACGTAAATGAAGAGAATTTTTTCACTAAACATAGAGATGAATAGGAAAATGCTCAACGCTACAGTTTTAGGCGATACCAAAATCATGGCGCTAAATCGTAGCGGCGAGTCCGGAAGTAGGATTTTGTAATCATCGCCTCCGTCGATAATGCGCATCTCGACGTAGCCGAGGTGAACGTGATCATGAAAGTGTAGTTTGGTAGGCAGAGGTTCTCCGCTACTTACCGGTAGTTCCCAAAGCAACCCTTAGAACGAGACCGCAAACTATAGAACTCTTGAAGAACTGTTGACAAAGCCTATTAATGAAACGTTTTCCGAATACCGAGGTGACAACTTCATACCCTTGTAGCACCGCAATTTTTGAAAAATACATATTTTAACGATGTTACGTAGCAGAACCATTCTTAAAACCTATCATGAACTATAGAACTTCTCGTGAACTATTGAAAAAACTTATTGTTGTAACATGTTTAAGAAATTGCGGTGCCAACTTCAGGACCGGGTAGCACCTCAATTTTGTATAAATGTTTCATCAATAGGCTTTTTCAATAGTTCTCGAAGTGTTGTATGCTTTCTGATAGGTTTAGGAATAGTTATTCTACGCAACATCGATAAAATATCTGTTATACTGGTGGCATCATACGCTTCAGTGCAGGCAGGCATGAGATGCTGGCTTTCAGTGTTGTTTTCCAATGTGTTCCAAACAGTTCCGGGATAGTTCTCTCTAATACTCAATGTTGGGACCATAATTTCGCTCTAAACTATTGTTTAAACAATGATGGAAGCTGGCACCGCACTGCTGCACTCCACAGTGCAAGCAGGCATGAAGTGCTGGCTTTTGTCATAGTAAATCTTATCGAGCATACACTGTTCGCTCGATCTTAAGATTGTAAAGAAAAAAAAATATTTAGGCAATATCTAATGAGTGGCCTCGTTCGAAGTGTTGCTTTGGGAACCAGCGGTAAGTAGCGGAGAACCTCTACCCGCCAAGCTATAATAAACGTTCGTGATCACGATCAGCTCGGCTACGACGGGATACGCTTTATCGACGGAGGCGATGATCACAAAATCCTACTTCGGGATTCACCTCTACGATTTGACGCTGTGATTTTGGTATCGCCTAAAACCACAGCGTTATGCATCTCCCTACTTATCTCTGCTGATCAATTGTCTAACCGTTTATACACATACATATTTCATCACTAATTTATAGGTTTTCCAATAGTAGACGACATACATTAATAATATCTCAACATTTTCAATATAAAGATCTGTTGAAAATAGTCAACGAAATCACAATTTATTCAGAAAATAATAACCAGTTTGCAGACTTTAATGTGTTAACTAGTCGAAAATTTACAATCCAAATGTCAAGGCTCCCAAGCAAAAGATCGCGGAAACATCGCATTTGGCGCGTTTACGAATGCATAAGAACGTGACTTTCGAAGCGGTCAGGGGAATACGACGATAACTTAAGGATCATCCAGAAGAATATAATATCATTAATATATCCAACAATGACTTCATAGAAAAACTTTAAAAAGTTGTCTCCACAATGTACACATCCGCATGAAAGATGAACGGAAAGAAATATAAGGTTATGTCGTCACGTGAGTATATCCTGATTCACTCGGGGATCGGTGACAATTATGACGGTTGGGTGTAGGAAGTCGTCGACATTTCTCACTGTTCCAAGCATCATGTCAGCATTCCATCCAAGCCGATGTTCATAAATCAGTGGTGTTCATGCCATTTCAAGTAGAAGGGAGTGTTCGCAGAAGTTCACTTTCTGCTAAACAGTACAACAAAGCATCGCAATGAATTGACAACCCTATTACATTAAAAATTTGAAAATCAAATTCCAAATACAAAATTACTTTGTATATTCTCAAAATCATACAAGGAATCAGTTTATTGATTTCAAGAATATATTTATGTAACAAAATTCGATGCCGGAAATGTCTGCTTGTATATCTAACATAATGACAAAGTGGGAATGTAATCTTTTAAAATTTCAAATGGAGCATTGAGTGCAATTTTTAATTAATTCAAGAATGAAGCGAGGTTGAACTTTTGAAATGGATGCTGTAACACATCATATTCATATGATATGACATACATGGCATCTAACGAATCCGCCTTTTCCTTTGTCAATGCAAGTCCGGCTGACACCTAGCATAAAATGATTTACACACCCATAACAACTCGTAATTTATCAATAAATCTTTCTCACGACATTATGCCACTGCGTAAAAAAGTATACGAAAATTTTTAATGTCACTTCAATGAAATTTTTATCCTTCGAATGGATGACAATATCAGATTTCATATACCTCAATAATATTTAAAATAGCAGCAAGACGTTTTTTTCAGTAAGTTTGTTTTCAGTAAAACAGAATTTTTAATAAGGTAGTACCGGTTACTCAACCGAATAGTGCAAGATAAGAGAGATAAGCATACGAATTAATGAATTTATTAAGAATACTTTACTCCTAGCATTTTTCGACTTTCAAATCACTTTCTTTTAGCATTTCGAACTCTGAAATGTGGGAACCTCGCCTTATAATACGAAATGTCCGTAGTTTCTTCTTCATTGATATTTATGGTTTAGGCGTTTTTTCCTGTTACGCTCGTGAGAATCTGCTATCATCTCGAAGGCTTTATCGTTCTTTTTTTACACATTTTTTTTAACAGGTTCCTTTAATATCTTTGCGAGTGACTTGATTGATGTTTCAAGATGTACTTAGAAGAGCCACTCACTTTCGGGCGATTAAAAGTGCCATGGTCGTCGGGTTATTATATTCGTTTTATTCTTTTTTTTCTTACTTGTTCCTTTCATACTTGTTTTTTTCCATTTTTTGTTCTGTTCTCCGTATCAAAATTCCCAAATATGATAACCAAGCGCCTGCATAACTCATGTATTCGTGAGGTTCCCGCATAAATTGTTTCCCGTGTTTCGTGTTTTTTTTATATTTACAATTATTTTCACTTCAACAATCATAAATATTCTTATTCATAATATAACAACGTACCATGAATAGCTAAACCAGTAAAACACCACCTTTCAGTTATATAAAAAATCTTTATTCCAAACTAGTTACAACCTTCCAACATCTTACAGTCAAAGCCATAGACACAACTGATCTTTTTTTATATTTTTAACCTCTTCATCTTCTCGTCTCTTTTTCGAATACAATTTGATCGACGATCGTTGCAGAACTATAGAATTCAAATTCTGCCTAGTCTACTGACTTTCTGTATAGTCTAAAAGGGACTGTCAGAATCCCGTAAAAAATGTTGTCTAACACCACGCATGAAGTAGCATAGCACACATAAATAATATATATATGCCTATAGGTATAAAATTAGTATATAATGTAGTATATAATAATATAAGCAGTATGTAAATGCATATTTGTTAATGCCACATTGTATTTTGAATATGGTATAAATTATTTGACAAGCTCGCAATCATTATCTAACTTTACATACGAATCGTCAATCATTTTTCAACCATGTATACTTTTACTTTTATCTGATTATGAGTGAAATTTACACGAAGCACGCCTCTGGTCGCGCAAGGATATTAGTATTGACGATTCTAATGATTTTTCCATAAAAAATTTTGAATGGTTATTAATACTCATGGGCCAAGTGTGGAAAGCGTGATGTGCGTTGATATTTAATGATCCTGATCTAAGATATATTTATTTAACTTACACCAATATTTTTGTGTGCCGTCCACTGAAGTTTGCGTCGTGGCGTTAAACGACGAAAAATGAAAATTTCGATTTTTGAGAGAGTTGATAAAGCTCAAATTAGAATTAAAGTTTTCTACTTAAAAGTTTCTTCGATTTATTTTTTCGAATGTATTTCATAATATTAATAAACTCGAGTCTAATTCTTTATTTCCAAATTTTTAAAAAATTAGGTTAACGTTAACGACTTGGAAGGTAGCTATAAGATCCTTGTACGAAATTATTAACTCATTATGTTTGACTATTCCTGTATTCCCATTTTGATATTATGTAATTTTAAATAAAATAAAGGTAACATCTTACAGATAATATACTCTTTATTCATATTCAAAAACAGTGAATAAGGTACACAGGCATTATTTCAGAATGATAAGATTAAATTCATTAATCCATATCATAGTAAGAAATGTCCGTGAATGATATTCCTAAGCTTTAGAAATGTGTGGCGGTCTTCCGGCTAACAGACGCGGCTACTGGTGGGATATGATCACCCGTGGGCTGGAATCCGTTTTCGTCGGCAACGTATTCCACTTTGTATGTTTTACCGTCCGTTTCGTCGACGTAACTATAAAAACCCTGTGCTACTACAGCGGGTTCACCTTTGGGTCCAACAGGTTTAAGAGCTCCGCTTTCCGCAACGGAAATTCCATTCTCGGTGTCATAGCTGTACGTGTAAGGACCTTCCGGTGAAAAGTCCTGTACCTGACGGACAATGGCAACAGGTTTTACAAATACACCCTGACTCGCTGGATTATATTGTGCCGAAACAGCAGCCACCAGGACAAAGCACAAAATCTGAAATTAAAAAAATGACATCGAATCCATCAGCTAAATAACTTTGAGATACGTTATAATGTATCTGTTGCCCAGATACATTTCGCAATATGAATTTATTACTTTATTATAATTAACAAAAAAAATGCTATCAGCATATTTCTACAATAGCAAAGCCTCAGGATGATTTTATTTGCATCCTTAAGAAGGGCAAACACCCACGTAAGACCCCTGACCTCGTATAAGTTCATTTTTTTCCCAGGGCCTGTTAATAACGTAGTTCCATTTACGTAAGTCAATGTATAGGAGCATCTTCACGTGGAAGATGTTACTTTAACTGTACTGATGAAAAGGATGTTACAATAGTAAAAATTAATACTTAAAATCATAAATTCACAAAGACTCTTTGTTTCACAATTTTAATGCCACGTGTGCCATTTCCATTTGATATCCAGTTTAGGATAATTTTTTAAAAGAAATTTGAAAAGGACAGTATGCTATGTCCAGAACTCACAAGGAACTTCATTGTGTTCGGAGATCAGATTCTCAGACCGTACTGACAATTCTGAGACGTCCGGTGCTATTTATACAGTCATCTTTCTAGCCCTGCTAAATATAATGCCAACAACTTTGATTTCTATAGATTCTGAAAAAACATCGATATATATTTAAATGTCTTTACAAAAACAGTTGAAGGATATTAAAATGACGTTTTCCTCCTGCTCATCGAGGGTGTGTCGGATTCTGACTGTGGCGTTTACATAATCGATCGATTTAGTCGGCGTAAAAGGTCAAAACGACAAATAAATTTTAGCAGAAGAATCTTCCTATCAGATTGTCCGATTTTTGGTACTCCCCACAAGCGAAAGCGGGGACTGTTCGGAGAGCTGTTGGTATAAAAGACACCCAGACCCACGCTGAAGTCAATCTTATTCCAAAACGCATCTCGATTCCGGTTAACCGTCAGGCTCTCTCCTCCATCTATAGAATGAAGTTCCTCGTGAGTTTAAAAATCATTTATTGACATGTGAACAGGAGACAAAAAATAGATTTGATCATTAGAAAACGATCTGGAAATTTTCTATCTCCCCAATAATTGGTTTTGTGACTGTTGTGATATATATATATATATATATATTCAAGTGTTATATCGTGCTATGTATGGCTATTATTGATTTAAGACTATTTTTTTCATAAATTAATCAATCATACTGATTTTTATGATGGCTCTATACTAATTACTTAATGAATGTGCACATCATATTATTATCCCGGAGAGATCGATAGATCTACCTTAAGTATTTGAATTTCCATATTCATACGTAACACAATTAACTCGTATAAGCCAACGGCATTAAGAGCCACATTAACACGATCATCCGATGATGATTATAGAAAGATGTCCCCTACAAAAATACATTTAACGTGATGCCGGATTATAGTTAGATCGAATAACATTTAAAAACTGGTATTTCGAAAACATCTCTCACGTGAAATGGCCAAAGTCAATAAAAAATGTTAAAAAAGTCAAAAGGAACAAAAATATAATTACGACGCAATTACTCGGAGTAAAAGTCAAAATAGACCAAGAATTATAACTAATACTGATATATTATTTCAGATTGTATCTCTCGCCCTGGTGGCTGCAACTTGCGCTCAGTACCAGCAACCAACAAAGCCAATTGCCATTCTCCGACAGGCCCAAGACATTGCCCCCGATGGTTCTTACTCCTACAACTATGATACTGAGAATGGAATTTCTGTCGCGGAAAATGGGGCCCCCAAGCCCGTAGGACCCAAAGGAGAACCTGCGGTAGTTGTCAGTGGTCAATACCAGTATCCCGCCCCCGACGGCACCGTAATTCAGGTCACATACAGCGCTGACGAAAACGGATTCCAACCCCAGGGTGCTCACCTTCCAGTCGCCCCACCAGTTCCTGAGGCCATCCAACGCTCCATTGCTTACAACGCTGCTCACCCAGAAGAAAATGAATACAATCCCGCGGCTGCACCCGTATACAGGCGATTCTAAGATAGACAACGTGAACCCTGCTACACTTTAAGGACCTTCCTGTATCTGTATAATATATAGAACTTCATATAAAATTGTTTTAGCAGTTTTTATTCTATTTTTCCCCTTTGACGACCGTTTCTTCCTATTTCTTGTATATGAAAAAACTGTATTGTACAGTTTTGTTGTGAATGTATTATAATTATTTAAATTATCAGAACAACCTTAACTAACTCTGTCTCAGTAACCTTGTTCAAGATTTGCCAAAGGCAAAATTATACCAAAATCATTATAGACTTTTGTAACGGTTATTTTCATTGCATGAGCCTTCACATGCACGTGTGAATAATGAGCTGACGTAGCATCCATTATTTCTCTTCACGTTGATACGCAATATTTTTCTAGGAAATAAATCTCTTTAACATAATTCCATAAGAAAATACTATTTCACAAGTAATGTTATGCATAGTCGATATTTTTATAATTACATAATTAATAAATATCAGTAACAAATCATTAAGGAGTATAGTCTAGTGTTCAGTATTGTTCGTGATATACTATACTACGTATATAGTCGGGCCGCGAGATCAATTCTTTTTTGAAGGGACTAATTTGCGTTTCGTTTCCTAAACAGATGGCCCTTCAACGTCGCGGCTTAACTATGCCTCTGTTATCATCGTTAAGCAGATCCGTTTTATTTTTCAATAAATATTCGTAGATACTCCAATGGATTATGATTATCTATTATAATTTAACCTCAGGGTGGAGTTTGTAAGGTCACAATAGTGGGACTCGTTTCGCAATGCCAAGTCGAAGTTCACAGAACGGGTGTCAGGTATTGTGCTACGTATCCCTAGTGCATTACGCAACGATGAGTATTGTTTGATACAACATAACATAAGTAACTTGAATACCGTAACGATACTTCAATTCGATAGTAGCGAATGATAAGTATCGGGCTACGTGTGTATACGACGAAGTAATATAGCGAGTCTAGCGAAACGATAGTAAGATATACACGGATGCAATAATTCCTGACGGACATGATCTAGGTGTTGCCACCTGTTGGACGAGCTATCCAACTATTTTGTTTGATCATTGCGATCAAGTTGGATTAGGTTAGGTTGGCTATTATATAAGAATTGCAGGGATATTCGAGTGCACGATGATAAAGTTTTGAAAGGATTTAATGTTTGTATGAAATTCGGTTGGCGACATCCGTTTCACTTTGAGGGGACTTCTTTATGTATCGGTTCGTAAGGACATGGCCCCTCTCAATATGAAACTGATATCGCGTACAGACTATAGAATGAATATTCTTACTTGCACGCGCGTTATGTATTTGCGAGCATTTAAACGAAAGTATGCTTCTATATATGTGGCTGTCAGCAGGTAAATAAACTGTGAACGCCATTTTCGAAACTATCATTAGGCAGGCCGATGATCATTGACATAAAGGTTGCGAATGACTGGTCAAAAAATGTTTGCCATACTTGGAAAGGTAATTCGATGAAGCATCTATGGCCAATGACAAACGGAATGGGTTAGACGATAGTGAATTGGCTATTTAAATGTCATCAACGATCAATGGCGAATGATCCATATGCGGTTTACATTTTAGAATTTAATAAAAATGTAAATCTGAATCGATAGTGAAGCTCGCGTGATCAATAGTAATTTCCGAATTCAAGATTTTTGGAATGTCAATTATGCAAGTTATAAATTTAACATGAATTTAAAAAAATGTTTTTTCAATCATTGAGTTTAATATTTATTTTTTGTAATGTCCTGATAATAATATCGTAGCTTTAATTATCTACGAAGAAATAGATACGATTGTGAGATAAAAATAAAAAACTGGTATAAACCGGTTTTTCAAAATTATGTACCGAATCGTGTCCGCGTATTTCGACGAAATTTCGATAACTACAACAATGACGAAACAAATAAGACAGAGGGTTCTTTCTTGGGTAATAAGTTGGCATAACTGGGAGGTTACCTTGCTTTACCTTACACTTACATTAGTTTTACGTACCTACTCCACCCTGTTTCCCACCTCTTATTTCTGCTCATCGTCAGCATCATCATTGTTACCAACAACTGAACACAGAAAGAATAGTTTTTAATGTCAAGGCGTCTTTTGTTAGAGCACTCCCATAATACCATATTGCCATTCTGGCTACGGTATAACTCTTGCAGCAATAACCTAAAAAAATTGGATCGTTAATTTATTTACTCTGAACCGGTCTCTAGAAAATTTTCACGGTTTTTCGAGTAGATAAGAGTTTACAAATATTTAATACTGAACGTATTCCGGTACTTAAGGTAGTTTGGGATCAGTCGTTAGTAATGAGTATCATTACGTGTACGAGTACCTGTAAAATGGTGTAATTCGCACAGGATAATATAAATTGAAGAGAAACGCAACACTTTTGCCAAACCAGTCAGATCGAACGTCCGATATTTAGTAATCGGTATCGTTCGCAATTAATTTCCTTGAGAACAGACCTTGCCTGCCGTTTCTCAGAAAATACAATGGACTCTCTTATCGGTGACAGGAATCTGCTTCGTTAGCGTCACGCCGTTATTCTTTCGCGTTTCTGGCTTCTCAAGTCTTGTGTTTTACGGGAGAGAAATTTATCGCCAAAATTCTATAGTCTACACAAATTTATCGTTGTATATCACACGAGATTCGACCACGAATTCTAACCTGTGAAGGTAAAACGCAAGGACATTAGAAAATATTTCGCAATATTTCGAATCATGCCGTATTACGTAATACAACAGGAATATCAAAACCCCTAATTAATTATGAACAACTTAAAACCAATAAAAAAAATAATTCGTATATAAAAGCATAACGAATCGATAAATCGAATAAGAAACATCATGATCGTACAGATAAAAACTTTTTTTTCTATTCAAATCCTTCGCGCCCACCATTTACCACCTACGTATATTTAATCGTGTTGAAAGATGCGCAGGATTTTTTTTTCATAATCTTGCAAGCGGAATATGAATTATCCTTCATGTGCATAATTCCCACGCATTAAAATCGTTGCTTCGTCAGTCTTCAAGAATCTCGAAAATCCTCCTGTACTATTTTCTCAGCAGTGCCATCTGTACGCGTTCAAATACGAAAGTGAAGTAACTGTAAGGAAAAAAAGTTATATCTTCAAAACTCGCCCTTTTTCGATCACCGATACGTAAATCTAATTGATCTCTTCTGCAAGGACCCTCGGATAGTGAACAATAACGATTCTGGATCCATTGAGTGAAAGGAATACGCCCTGTGGATGATCCATAACGGATACAACAATCTGAATCCTGAGGTCGCTCATAACCCGCAATCCCAGATAGGCCTTTATAGACGGTCTGGCCATTTACTGCACGTTACTACTGCCGATCCTCATAATACAGACAACGAATCACGAATGTAAAGGTGCACGAGTACCGATTGTGAGACGAACTGCAACCTACAATTTAAGCTGAGTAGGTAAAACAGACAAGCAATCGTGTACGTCTTTAATAAGTGCACACGTGATATATGAACATGCACCTTGCAAAGGCGCAACATTATAATAATAAATTTAGATGTTTAACTAACGAGGAGTTATTAAAAACATTATATATAAGATGAAAAAATTGTATGAATAATAAAATGAAATTAAACGCTCTTTACCTAATTATTGGTAAGTCGACCCAAAACGCATATTGTTATTATGTATTATATACGTATCAAGTGGAAAATAGTATAGTAATACATACAAATGTATCTTACAAGACAACCCACTCTAATGTTGAAAGATAATACCGTGTCATTTCGTAATATGTTATTTGTAGTTAACAATATATTACATCTTTAAGGTTAAACACGAAAAGTGATGTCTTACTATCAAATCCTTGATATCTCATTCGTGAAATACGTTTTAAGCAATAATAAAAGCTCCATGTTAATATATATCATTTTTACATAATTACGGGATACGAACGTTCCATGGGGATCAGACGACTATAAACAGTAATTCTGACTTCTGGTTAATTAATTGCTAGCGTTATATGTGCTCCTTATAGCTAATGTCATTGGATGACTTTCACTCGTGTTCCACCCTCCATTTTTTTTGTGTTGGTCCATTATCCACTACCCGTACAATTATTTGATATTAATGTGCCTATAATATGTACTATTTACCTTGTAAAGGAATCTTCGTATGTAATCCAAAGTGGAACTGTCGGATAGGTCATATCGTCAGGTCACTGAAGCACCATCGCAAGTGCCAACTCGATGGAAGAAGTTGGGAATCGAGAATCAAGAATGTAGGGAATGACGTTAGAACACTGGTGGTGAGTTCACTGAAGTGTACAGGGATTCCATAGTCTATCGTAAGATGAGAAGCCATGGTACCCCACTTTAGGCGAGGAGGAGTCCTTCCAATTGGTCGCTTCTTGGAAATAAGAAGGAAGAACCAGAGCTCCATCGAGTATAAATTCTCCCCAGATCTATCTCAATGTTCATCCACGCGGTTACCAAGAACGAGCTTAGACAGCATACGGAAAGGTCCTGTACCAACAAAAAGGAATTTTTAAACAATTCGTACCTACGTCCATACGTGATTCGCAAGAATACATCATGAAGATACTCGTGAGTGTACAATAAGTTATCGTTCCTACCAGTAAAAGCGGAGAATATAGTTGCGTTACCTTGATTTTGGTAACATTTTATAAACTAAAATATTCTTCCTCTTTGTATATTACTACTTTGCATTGTATAACCAGAATATTTTTTTTCAATTTTTCATCATTTGAAACGGGGTGGTCCCTTTTATAAATTATACTATGACTCGTACATTAGTATATAGCATGTGTAGTGATAGTTGATACAAATTTACATACTTAATATATGTTGCATACAGCACTCGCTAAAATCAATTAGAATTCTAAGTTTACGTATTACCATGTCCGCTTTCTGAATTCCAAGGGTAGCGTGCGGCATGGCCATTCACTTCTGGCGTATTTATAATACTGACAACCATCAAGGGAACAATGACTGAGAAATAACTATTAAGGATGACGATGACAATGTAACCACGATTAATGTTTCAGGTAGCAATATTGGGTCTGCTAACGATAGCTCAGGCACAATTCAACAGATACCCTGATTATTATGGCAGACGTATCGGCATTCTTCGACAATCTCAGGACACCTCGGTTGATGGTTCTTACGCCTACAGGTAACGATTATTCGTCTCTAATTCACACGCGTTATTCGCATTTTGATTTATTACCCTAACTTCCAGCCATTCATAACGTTCCTCTTGGCTTAGCTCAAATTTTTCAATGGAAGCGCCAACACCAGAAGACAATGGCCAAGAGACCATTGTTGTCTTAATTATCAGATTGGTGAACGCGCGAACTTTTTGATTTTGATCGGTTAACGTGAATATTTTCTAAGCATCATATTGCTAACGATACAAGAGTTTGGTTGGCAGCGATGCTTGATAATAATAATAACCTATATTGCTATCGTACATAGATATCTATATGTATATGTGGATTGTGATGGGAAAATTGTTCATTTCATAATTCGTGAATCAGTCATTTTTTACTCCACAGATATTAACACATACTTCTATTTGCATAATACATGTGCAGCCATGACGAGAGCATGACAGAACGGATATCCGCAAGATCTAATCACTTCTTGGTACTTAGTTTAAAGTTAGATATCAAAGCTACTACATAATGGGATACCCCGGCTAAAATAGATTCATGGAAATTATTTGGCATACGAAAAGAATACTAAGCACCTCGTCGCACATCTTAGAAATACAATTGAAAAAAATATGTCTTTGTATCTTTGATACACAGCTATTATTTGAGTATCAAATATGAGGAATATATTTAACAAAAAACTGAATATTAATATAAGAAAATTAATCAACCGATTCTGCCGTTCCTTCATGCCTTCGATTCGTATGGTATTTTGATAAAAATATGTATTTTGATTCAGTTAAAAAATATCGCTCACTTAAAAAATTTCGTGCTCGCAACCAAAGAATTATGAAGATCATGCTCTCGTATATTAATGAATCAAAAAAGTTGCGGGGCGATTGTTAGCCCCGACGGCGACTCTCACAATGTCGAAGGATTGCGAGACGTTGAAAAAAGTAACGACCGAGGGAAGATAATTGGCGTAGATGTTAATCGTGCGCATTACACGCTGCGCAGCTCGATGCAATGCCGTTGCATAATTTCTCAATTACAATTAACCTAGCTGCCTACAGTCTGCAGCCAGCTCTTCGGCATCGACACCTTCTTCCGTTTCCTCCATCCATGTCTGGTGATTTCTTCAGGGAACGATCGCAGCGCCTCCTGGCGGCGAAATCTCGAAACACGTCCATCTACGAATAGACAAAATGAACTATGTATGACTGGCAGGTAACCAAATTTTTTTATCTTGTGTTTTAGTTACGATACCGAAAATGGAATCTCCGTGGCTGAGGAAGGCCGTCCGAAGAATCTTGGTCTTGCCGGACAAGCGGAAGTTGTTCAAGGACGCTTCAGCTACACGGCACCAGGTGGCATACCAATTTCTGTAAGCTACATTGCCGATGAAAATGGCTACCGAGCGAGTGGTGCTCATCTACCAACACCACCACCAATCCCAATTGCCATACAGCGGGCCTTGGCCTACAATGCTGCTCATCCTGAGGAAGATGAATCTCGAAGGAGATACTAATTCTCTGAAATGATTTACTTCTCAACATTTCGACCATATTTGATAAAACTGTTCTTTTGTAACCTTGATATACAATCCTTATGCAATCCCATTACCTTAAAACTTCGCTGTACTCCTCTATTGTAATGTAAATGCCTTACGGTAATAAATTAATAACGACCGATAAAAATACTGGTTTATATTTTTCTAATTATTTAAAAGTTCAATTGTAAATGCTAACTTTCAATATATTTACCTCATTCACGGACAAATAGTACTATGTACAGATTTTCCTTGTTTGCATACGTTTTTGGTCTTCTATTATCCTTTTGGCAACCACGGTGCCATCGGTGGCACGCTTACTTTTCTGAATTTTAAAAATTTAGCGGTATACATATAAGGTAGGGCTGCAAATTCTAAAGTACCATTGTTTTGCACCAGATGGAAGCTAGAAGTTACCATATTTTGTGAAAAAAAGTCACGTGTTTTCCTTCGGAAATTACATCATAGCAACAATGGCTGTGTTCGGCAAAAACATCGCTGAGAGAGCAAATACGATTGATTGGTCATTTGATCGTTACAGACAGTCGTGAGACTTGACCAATCAAATGTATTTGCTCCCTCAGCGGTGTTTCTGCTGAACACAGCCAATGTTTCTGACAACATGCCAACTTGCCATTACGCCGTTTCGATGCGTGATAGTTAAGATCCTTCTCCTAAGAGAACACTACACTCCTCATTCATGATTACGAAATTCCTGATTTTTGGTACCAAAAATGTTTATGTTTACAAAAATATTAAAATCATTACCGTAAGGTGTGTTATATTTTTATTTATAACAGAAAAAAAACGAGAATTATTTTGCGAACCATTGCCGACTAATTTACAAATCACAAAGTTTCGTATAATAATTTGAAATAAGAATCGTAATTCAATGATTCTCTACGTACCAAAACATAAACCATCGACTTTACGCGTGACCCAAGCGTAATTTAACGTTCATCGAATAAAAATATGATAGCAATTAAGATTGTGTGCAAGCTGCGTTGTTGCGGTACTCTTTTGACGCTTATAGTTAAAGAGTCGGTCAAAGCATTAATAATCATGCAATAAAATTTATGAACCGATGGAGACCATTTAGCATAAGGAAAAGCACAAAATTTCAGAGAATCCGGTTATACTATCGTTCTGTTACATGTAAATTAATAGTAATCGTAATATCACGGTAAAGGTGAGCCAGTGAAAGCAAATCATCGCTTGCCGCCTTCGTTGCTTGCCATCCGTTAGTTGCGCAACACTTCGTGAATCCTCGGACTCCGCCACCCGTCGATTACTAATTGCTGGCTAATTGTTCAATGTACTTGTACAGGTCGTTCCAATCGATACTATCTATACGAGTTAAAAATTAAATGCAAACCAATTACCATAAATGCAATTATAGTTTACCGTACGTATGTAGTTTCAGACTTGTGAAAATAGCATATAAAGTAAAATTCACTGCGACGCACATATTCCCAACGCTGATATCAACAGATTCACTGTATCAATTGAGGTTAGGAGTGCGCCAAGTAATATCCGGTGATCTCCCTTAAGATCTAATGTCGAAATTAAGAAAGGAGGAATGCAACAAACAAGATTAGAAGGGTCCGGACACTACCGACACGAGTTTCATTCATAGTAAAATGAATGGCGATGCACGAAATAATGAGTTTGCATACAATCGCGGAACAGCTTAATAGTCACGCTTGAAAAATACTGGTCAAGGCGTCTCATATGGGCAGACGTCGATCTCAATAACGATTTCGTCAATTGATCATGATTGTTAAAAGATGGAAATCATTCTTCTGAATTCTAACCTAATTCTTGCGCAGGAATCCAAATCATAAGGCTTCCGACTGATGAAACGGCCGATATCGAACTGCTTCGCCATTACTTCATCCGACGTCATCGCATCTCGACCACGCCAACAGAGAACTTACACTTTTCTTTTAACACAACACTTGCAGACATTATGTTTATGCATCGCGATCCGCCTGTCGTTACTCGTGGTGAAATATAGAAGATAAAAATGGATGTTCTCATCTCTGGTATGACGCGCTCTTAAGATACCCTGTAATTGGCCGTTGCGCTACATACATTGGTTCTACGGATATGTCAGGTTTATTGCTGGGTCGATCGGTACGCACCTAGCGGACGATGTACGAAAATACTTGTGAATCCATCGCCTGTGGGTTAAGGAATTATCCTCTTCTTTTACGTGTTTACCATATACATAGTTGATGAAATATTACAGTTGCTTGTACTGCGTTACAGAAGGATGCAATTCGATGGGATAAATTTCAATTGCATATCGGGAGAATGGCGTTTAGGCATAAATGGAGGGAACAGGATAAAGTGGCATCTAGGATAAAGATGGAGTCACCGTTAATTCTAGGCTTATCGATGTAATCTATAACAAAGTATATGGAGGATTATGAAAGGGTAGAAAAAATGTAGGAACTTCACTGGCACTTAATATATTCTACAAATTTTTATTAAGACGTGTCTAATCATGTTATGTGAATAATCGGTTAAGGGTTGGTACGATAGGCGTGCTATTGCGACGTTATTTGTAATTACAATATAGTGATTTTTCAACTCCTAAGAATCGAGAGTGGTTAAGATGATAAAGGTGAGGGTGAAAATAAAGGTCAGGCAAGACAAAGGAAGAGGAATCCTCGTGGTGAAACTTCCCACGTAAAAGCTCACTGGAAATATTACAGGAATGTGAAAATGTAAATTGTATATTTTTTATTTGTATAATGCTTTATACTTAATACGATTTTTTTTTTGTTCAAACTTATTAGAATATTATTTTAAGTGCAGTTCACATATTGATGGTCGTTTCTAGGGATTTGCTGTCAGAAGTCCCAGGGTCGGTAAATGGGAAGTTGTAGATTTGAAAATCGTGGAGGTGTAACGTTTTTTTTTTTTTTCATGTAGATAACAAGATGGAGGATCACGAAGATTTGTGTTGGTGCAAGGATAGCTAAGGATACACACTCACAGGCATTCCAGGAGTTCTAGATCGCGCTACAACCGGGACTTACGAGTTACTTGAACCCGGTTTGACCTTTCCGGCTTTATTAGCCGCGGCGTCGGCTTGGGTATGCCTCATCATCTTCGCCGGCTTACCAACACGAGGTCTCGCATACCTCCGGGGTCCTCCTGAGAATCATTATGGGAACTTTGCGTTCCTGCTTTTTCGCCAGGTCGAGATGCAAACTACTATTTTAAATTCATAATCGTACAAAGTTTTTTTTACTGATTCACATCATGGAATTATATAACAAATTGAATTATTTTTTATATACGTGCACAGGTGTAACTAGATATATTAGAGTGCCACCAAAGAACAATTAGAATTATAGAAATTAAAAGACTCACTGAGCTGTATGAACACTTGTAATTAGTCATAATGCAAATGAAGTATAATAATAGAGTAACAATGACGTCACTGCTAGAATCCCTGGAATAGAAGAATAAATAAAATTACAGAAGACAAATGAAAAAAAACTCTGAGGCATGGTACGTGGATCTTCTGCTGTACCGAAGATTCTTATACCATCCCAGTAAATTAAAATTATATAAAAACAAATTAAAACGTACGAAAATGTATAATTTTATTTTCCTTAATTAAACAAATATTTCTATTATTGAAATTCCTAGTAGCACATGTAATCAGACAGTAATTGATGTTCGAGCTACTCAACACTTTACAAGCAAACTTTCATTTTTCATTTCATACATGTCCAAAATACCATAGTCAATTACCTATCATTAGATTAATTTTTGAAAGCCTCGTTCCTACAAGGACCAATGAGAAGGCAATGAATTTGGCAATAAGGTGCCATAGAAGAAGACGAAATCAGTTATGGAATAATACTTTAAATTACTTATATCAACTTTCATTAAAGGAGTTTATGACAGACGCAATATTATACTGCGTATTATGCTAAAACGGTCACTCAAGGACCGGTTCTTGAATATCACTTCTCGAACGGCCAACAATAGTATCGTTGTTCGTACGTGGTCAATGACGAAAAAAAAATTGGAAAAAGCTGGCAATCTCAAGAAAACAAATAGGCCAAAACAGTACGAGTCTATTGACAAAATCAATGAGAAAGCTATGAACACCGTTGGTTACAAAATTGTAATTTACCTGTAAGAGTCGTATGGAATTATTGTGGGGTTATTCTACAGGCCTTCTCAAAACTGACAAGTTCACGTTAGACAGATACAAGTTTCAATAAAAGAAACGTAAATTATTTTACATCTGCCTTTAATTTACCAAAGTCATAGGTTCATCATATAGTTATTCACTTATTTGCACAGAAAATAATTTCATGTAAATTGTACAGAATTCACTTTTGAAACGAAACCCTTCTACCTTGAAACTTTATATATGCTTTCCCATGAACTCACATTAGACATTTTTTATACATGGTAGGACTAAAAATGACAGCAATAAAGTGTGTACGACGTGACAGGAATTTGTACAGATCACTTTGCGGTTATTCCCATATATGCTCTTGTATACTACGACTTTATTCAAAGTAACGTCTCTAGTAAATGCGGTCGAGAAACTTTGAAGTAAAAATTAATAAATAATTACTTTTTTTACAATAACAACCGACAGACTGATATAAAGTGTATACAGATTGTAAATTCATGTTGTCTTATGCTCGTCCATGTTTAGCGCTAGGAATCAGTATATATATAGTACTAATAATACTGTAAATTATTGATGGTCCTTCTGTAAGTATTACCCACGTTAACCGCACTTACTAAACTACGCACTAACCAAAATTACCATCACTGCTATTTTTTTAAAATAATTAACTAGAGTTACTTTATTATCAACGTACTTTAAATGCCTGAAATTTGAATACACTTATAAATTATTTCTCTAAATCTCTGTAATGAATATATAAAAACCTCCCCAGTAACCATAATCAATTATTAGCTCATAAGTCACCCACAGAAATGATAAGCTTACTACTATACCCTATCGTTACGTCACGGATAATATAAAAAATAAATCAAACTCTATATGTTCATTATACACGTGATTATGAATGAAACTGAAATTCAGACTGACATGGCATTTACATATTGTAAATGACAAGAAGATGAGCTCTTCGTCAACTAATACTTATATCCATTTCGAAAGTATTATACATTTCTAACTTTACTCCAAAGCCAGTTCCACAGCTTTGTCGGACCAGTCATAATTAACATATCGAACTCCAGATTGGTCAAAACTTTCAAAAGGAACAATATTGACCAATAAGAAAACAATTTTTTCGACTAATACAGTTAGACCCGGTAAGACTATAAAAATTCCTCAATGTATTGGCAATTACACATTTTTTGGTCAGCACAACTCAATTTTTCTATTACTTAAACTCACCGGATAGCATTGTTTGGCATTTCGCAAAAAGCCATCTTCACCCACGTACCTATCACCTAATCTGAAATCCTGATTTAACATGATCGGTAAGATGTCATTCATATATCTAGCATATATATATTACGTGTGTGTGTGTATATATATATATATACACAAACTAGTGATGTCACACCACGGACAAAGAAAAGTCATATACCAACTATGTAAAAGTAAAGTACGAGTGGCTGGGTAGCAAGGAGTTATACTTTGTGGAAGGGATCATCTGCCAGGTTTTGTATAAATGGCGAGACGATCCATGCAGGATCGCACATTGAGTTCGAGTCGCTCCAAGAACCCCTTACCAAGTGATCAGTCTTCCATCGGGATGCAGTTTTTAGTGAGTTTCACGTGATCGACGGGAATAATAATTTTTTTTGTTTTATCAAGCTCATTTTTTTTCAGGAATGAAATTGACATTCATTATACCTATATTATTCATTGAAAAGAGTGACGAAATTTATTTGCATTTTATTATGGGGAACAGTTGAGGAAGTTTTATTGGATAGGGTTGGGGAGGGTAGGGGGTTGGAGGGGGATTGGGTATTCACAGGTATACCTGATTATAGATATATCATACTTTCTTTTTAGATTGTGTGTTTCGCCCTTGTGGGCTGTGCTGTCGGGCAATTTGGTAATTTCCGTGGATTCCAAAATCAACCACAACCTGCCAGACCGCAATATCAACCTCCAGTTCAGCCCCAATATAAGTATGCCTATACCGGTTTATAATTAGAAATAAATATTTGACCTATACACAAATCACTTAAACTAACCAGATTAGCATGAAGGGATACTAATCTTCATAATCGCATAGTCATGATAACATTCTGTTTAGTTAATATAATTTTAATAATACGAACGACAGTCTTAAAACAAAAATTCATTAATCAAATTGATCCTGGATTATAACAAAATTTCAACCCAGCACAGTTACCGTTTAGTAGAGAAAGTATTACGTGATAGTAGTATAGTAATACATGAGTCAACCCTGCATCATTCAATATCTAACAAGCTTTAAAGACCCGTTCACATTGCACTGTACATACCCGGTTACTCAGTCCAAGCGCACCACCTGAATATGGCTTTGCCATAAAAATCAAACGATTAACGCTAATTTCAGGCGATACGTTTGGACTGGATAACTCGGTATATTACCACCTCCTGCTTTCCAGATTATAAGCATACTTGTCACATCAGACAATTTGTTACGTCGTAATGTTAATTTCACACTTTGTATGGTAGCAGCTGATTAATTTATTACCTAGTCAATTAGCAGAAGCAGCGTGAAGCATTCGATGCAGTATAAATTTATATTTAGCGTGTCTGCCTACGTAGTGATAATTAATGTTAACAACCCTGATATAAACTTTGACAATTTATTACTTTAAATACAAAGCTTTACTAGTTAAAATATATTAATATTAAATTGTCGAATGTATATTCGACGTATGTGAACTTGTGATGTAATTGTCATTAAAACTTACAGTCCTGGCCAACCGCAAATACAAATCCGAAGCCAAACGAACGATATTTCTCCGGACGGTTCTTACGCATGGAGCTACGAGACCGAAAATGGAATTTCAGCCTCTGAGAGTGGTTCGCCTAAAGCTGTACCTGAGGGACAGGCAGAGGTTAATGAAATTAGTGCATTGTTATATAATTGTTTGACAAGTGTATATATATATATATATATGCATATTTATGAAGTATACGTGACGGCTATTTTTTATTCTTCAGGTCGTCCAAGGTCAATATTCTTATACGGCACCCGATGGAACCCCCATAACCGTGAGGTACATCGCTGACGAAAATGGCTTCCGCGCTGAGGGAGCTCATCTACCGACTCCACCACCAATTCCAGAGGCGATTCAGAAGTCACTTGCTATTCTTCCTAAAACTGCCGAATTTCAACCAACTTATCAACAACAACCGCAGCAGCAGTACCAACCGAGCTTCAATCAAAATCCTTATCGCAGATTTTAAATCGAACTTCGCCATGAAGATATTGTCCTTATAGACCGTGTTGGTGCTGCCGGATATCTCGGCTGACATCCGGTTGCGCTTACGGTCGTGCCGTGCTACCGTTAACCTGTGATTACTTTGTTGAATACGATAAAGAGTTTACGGAAATATATAACAATGATTTTTTGAAAAGTCTGTCTCTTTTTTTCTTTGTCTATACACATTTATCTTCTAAGTAAATCATTCTCATTTACGTACTAGAGATTATTTGATTATTTTAGCTTAATTTTCAGCCTGGAAGGTACTTTTTTTCGAGTAATAAAAATTTTACAATTTTTTTTTTTTACTTTTAATATGATACGAAAAGGTTATGCTGGTTGGGTATTTACATAGTTATTATAAATGTAGAATGGATCGAATTTTTTAACTATAATTTCATGTTTTGTATGGTACATCTCGATTGATTTTTTTACCTTGTTATTTATGATATATCACATTCGACCTTTTTCTTTTAGTAGAATGTTACTAGACAATCCAATTATATTGTACAGTGAAAAAAATTTAAAAGAAGAAACACACGAAAAAAAAGGGAAAAAATCTAGAATTTAGCTTTAATTAATTAATTTTTTTTTATGAATACGGATCCAACACATGTATTGGGAATTCCCGTATAAAATCCTACCTGATGATAGATCTGTTTATGCAAATTTATACATTACGTCATGCGAGCAAATACGATTGTATAGTAGAATTCGTCAATAAAAATTTAGACTCAAAGAATAATCCATTAGTAACAACATGCCAAGCAATTTTCAAAAGAGAAAATCAATTCCTCAGAATGATATATGACGATCACTAGATACTACGTAACATTATATCTCAAAGTTTAGCCAGCATTAGAAATATATTTGGAAACTTCGAACAATAAAAAAAAAGTCAATAAATAACGAATGACAATTCCAATATAATGTTACGAGGCAAATATATATAATTCGATATAAAAAATCGATTAATAATAAATCCGTGCGTTACATAAATATAAATAAAAAAAATTTAATAAATGTTCACTGAACTTAAATAATTTATACTTTGGAAGTTTCATAAAACATTTCAAAACTAATAGCCATCCATGAACTTTCCTTATTAGATACCTATACGAATTACAAAGTGGATTCTGCGATTTTTCTGACAGGCAAATTCACGCTTGATTACACCTCGTGATATTAAACATAACATTAATATATTAAACGTAACGTTTAACATTTAACGCGAAGGTTTTCGCGTGCCCGTCGTCGTATCTGATAAAAAAATGAATCTCGCCTCTCTGCCGATACGTAATCGTGAATGCTGGTCAAACCTTGAACTATAGCAAACAGTGTTTAACGCTCACCGACCTGTAGATCGTTACTGTCTGACTTTTGACATCTTTATTAGACTTTCTGTCAATTCGATTGACGATTGCGATACGAGACACAAGTGGTGGATAATAATGATAATAATGATTCCTAGGTAAAATCCTTGTAGGAAAAAAAACGGAGATAAAATCCTTGTACAAATATCCATCTAATAAAGGAACCCTGTATAGATATATAAGCCCGTATTCACAACCGCTCTTAAAATCACTAACAGAGTCGTTTGTAGTTAAAAGTCACAGATAGAAAAAGAAAAAATTTAAAAGCGCGCTATTAACACTAAAAACGAGTTTTGAATACGGGCTATAGAATATACAATGTATATCCTTGTGTCTATAGTAAATTTGTCTAGTAGAAAAAAAATGTATAACGCACTAAGCGACTCAAATTATTAATAATATTCTACCCTGGTCCAAATTTGTTTTACGATTATTAATCCCTTCAATGTATATAATTATATTCACTGATGATTCAAATTTCCCGCTGATATTTTGTCTCGCCCTACCAGTCTTCTTGACTATTTACTTGTATCTAATACATTAAAAGCATCAACTGATAATTTAAAGTGCTTAACCTTGACTATTCTTGATAATTTGACATTAAATACTTTGAAGAATTTTTGAGTTTTCTATCATTAAATATATATATGTATAATCATTTTTTATTAATAATATGTCATACCACCAACGTCCATACAGAAAATTTGTTATCTTATCCAATGATTTATATTTTTACAAATAATTTTGCTTACTACAATGACTAACCAGCCATCAATTTCATTCCATTCGGTACTTCAATTATTGTTTCCCTCTATTTTACAAGCATGATCCAGATACGGGTACTGTGGGAATAAAAAAAATGTATATAATTTTATCGAATCATCGAACAAATGCCAATTCACCACTAAACCTTATCCCTACTTAAATATTTAAGTATATGGCACTGTCATTGATGATAGCATCTATACTGTCTGCATGCTTATTCCTACGGACGAGAGACTTTATTGGATGACTGGTGCAAATATTTCAGAGCAGTAGCAGATTTCGATGCAGCTTCCGTTACGTCAGACACTAGAGAATTTACCATCAGTCACGATCTGCCTTTAGGATCGATGAAAGTCATGACCGGTAGACGTAAGATGATTTTAACAAGATAAGTTTACTCCTCGCTATATGATTTTACGTGACGTAATGTTTCGCAATAACGGCAACGATGATTTAAGGTAGTTTTAATAAGACGTGTAATAAATAAATGTGCATTAATATCGATAAGCAAAGTCTGGCAGGCATTTGCAGTTTTGAACATTAAAAATGTGCTGCTTCGTCTTCATCCTACGGTGATTCTTAAGATCAAGAGTTCATAACTGAAACGTGATGTGGCATTTGATCGCTGTGCTATCCAATCGGAGGATCGAGACGGAAAGTTCTACGAATCTTTCTGTGGATTTGATCAATCAATGCAATTCAATGAAATCAATAAATTAGTACAACGGGATTTAAACCCAGACGGACACACTCAGCTTTTTTTTTATATTTCAAAAAGTATACATATCTGCAACTATGAAGATGAGGAATTTTTTTAAATGCCATGTTTGTAAATATTTTAGATTTATTATTAGATCAAATCGAAGTCAATTTGTAAGAATTATTTTATTAATTATATACTTATTTATTTATTGTTAACGTTAATAATTTTAAAAACAGACAAAGTAAAAAATACTCATTCGAAAAGTTCAAAAACAAATGACACACATATCAGCTACTCGGATGAGAATTTCGCGATCTTAAAATTGTTTCTCTTCTTGATTTGCTCCTTCTTGATTGGAGGATCCAATGGAATTAGGTAAATATACAATTGAAGATCTTATTGCTTATTTCTTCCGTGTTACGTATTCCATTGCATTGTAGAATGGCCTTTAGCTCTTAATTTTTTTTATTTTTTTTTTGACTCCTAGAAATAAATTTGACTTAGCTGAGATTCGATCGACAAAAAAGACACCCTAGGGTCTTTAGTAGCATCGAGTAAATTCAAAATCTTAAATTTTAACAGTTAACCACGAACTGGGACTCTCTCGTCGATTATAATGTCGGTGGCATCTTTGATTAAAGATGCAATTTTCCATTGCTATCGATCCAATCGATTACAATGATTAATTAGCATTAAAGTATCATGAATAGCCGATGAGTACATCCAATCATAGGCATCGCTAATTCGATATGATGGATGATGATTGGTAGTGCATTTGTATAAGTCAGTTGATAATGATGATGTACAAAATAAAATCAACTACTGTCGATATAGAATGTACTGGGATAATAGATTGGGATGAAGAATAAGATGAAGACTAGTGGAGGGAAGTTGAGACTGGAGTAGTGTAAAGTGCAGGGCATGGCATGGGCGGGTCGTGCAGGTGAAAGTGCTCTACGCATCTTAGCATCCTCCGGTATTTCAAATTTTTATTCAAGATGCCGGTCAAGGACTAATCAATATCTATAGCTTATAGTGTAGGCGGACGCGTGTTACCAAATGTTGGCCAATGATCTAGGATCTTTTTTTTATTCGTGTGTTACATCAATACACAATCATATGAGGCTATTAAAAAAGATGTCTTTCGAATAAAAAAGAGGGATCATTTAGAAATAGGGAGACCTATTTTATGTCTTCAAAATATTTAATTATATCAGATTGACCAGTATTAGATTTCTCTTTCGCTTCTTTGCATGCAAATTAATTGATTATACCGTTTATTAGCTTTTTAGTAATATTATTAACGTTCGTTAGTCGGTCGGGTGTCTTTCTGCTCATTAAGGAATATATTGTCCGTTAAAAATTGACAGCGATGTGTCGAATGGAATCTAAATCTATATGGGCCAATCATACACGAGTTTACCATGTGGGATTATTCAGTGTAGAGGTTATTTGGGCAGAGTTGAACGTCACCCTCCTGTGTCTGGCTCCACATAGATTTAATTTCCACTGACACATAGCCAAGTTCAAATAGAGCTGAAATAGAGTCCAGTTTTTCTACCTTCAGCCGTTTCCATTGGTTTCTACTAGACGGAGTTCAAGCGTTGATCTACACCCAACGGTTCAAGTAGAGTTGATGGAGAGTTGAGTGGAAATATCAGTTATACCAACAACACTTGTTATTTGTCATTTCTTTTGGATGATTGAGCTCAAGATCATTAAGACTGACTTATGTCATCATGCTCTTCGTACATTTTTTTCAACTAACTGTTTATAACGTTTTTCATGTCTATACTGGTTTTTACTTTATAAATCCACAAGATCCACATGCAGCATCTTTTAAACCATTTTAAACTGTCAGTACTACATAGCTGGCAGCACCGCTTACAACTCCAGTTCGACCCCAGATGCGCGTTTACACCAAACCTGATTTCGCCCAACTCAGTATCATTCGTAGGGTTAGGCCTAAAATTGAGTTTGGCGTTTCCATCACACTACTGTTCGATTCAACTCTGTTTCAACCTTATTAGTTAGCTCCTATTGCCCGTTTCCTCCGACGTGGTTTAAGCCTGGTTCAATTTTTTAAATACAGTTTTAAGATAAGGTAACCAGAGTTTGAATTTCGATTAACGTCGGAGGAAATGCGCATATGTCTTATAATTTAGTTTTGCTTTTGTGTATCGATCATGTAGTGTTTTGTCGTCGTTATTCACTGAGCGTGCTGCCTGTTTTACCGGCAGCGTAGACCTTTTTTGTGCTATGTACCAAATGAGTAATGGTTCGAGTAATGGTGGTGACGAACCTAATGGATATATTTATAGTGTATCTTATTATAATGAAAAAATTAAAAAATGATTCATTTTTTAGATATTAAAGACAGATTCATAATGAACTGATATAACTTTGAACATTTTTATTCATCACTGTTTTGTCATGGCAATGTTCTGTCTATTGACATCACTTTCGACGAGTACTTCAGTATTTAACCAACCACGTCGCTGACATCTTGTCTTTGGAAATATGTCAGATTTTTAATCTGGGTTGACTTTAATTTATGACTCAAAATTCGCTTGTAATTGAAAGGAATCATAACCAAAAGAAAAGCGTTGTGTGACTTATAATTACTGACGATTTAGTTGTCAAATCTGAGGTGAAAATGCCGGATCATTTAGGAGACGATATGCGCAAAGTGAAAGGAGAAGAGGAAAAGGAAGAGAAGGAAATAAAATGTTAGAATCAGAAAAAAAAACCATAATGTACGTCTAACATTTTTTTTGATTCATTAATTTTATACTATTATTTTTCCAGCTCTGGATGAAGGAGACATTGCACTGTTGAAAACCTATGTAAGGATATTTTCCTTGTATTTTATTAATTTAAAATATTTAATATCGTAGTTTAAAGCTGCTACATTTCAGTAGTCAGATATTTTAATACGAATATCGAATGCTAGTCTCTATTAACATTTGTGATCGTTGCTTTGTTTCAGGAATACTATATTAAATATGCTTTTATGAATATTTATCATTTTTCAAAATGGTTATTCCTGATTTATTCTTATTTCAGGGTCAGGGACAGTACACAAAGAGTATCAAGGCTGTGGAAGAGGATATACAGACAATAATAAAACGTGTGAATGAACTTACTGGCATCAAAGAATCAGACACTGGTCTTGCACCTCCAGCACTTTGGGATCTTGCAGCCGATAAACAAACATTGCAAAATGAACAGCCTCTACAAGTAGCACGTTGTACTAAGATCATCAACGCTGACTCCGATGATCCCAAGTACATCATCAATGTCAAACAATTTGCAAAGTTTGTGGTTGACCTGGCAGATTCAGTTGCACCAACTGACATTGAAGAGGGCATGCGCGTTGGTGTTGATCGGAATAAATATCAGATTCACATTCCTTTGCCACCTAAGATTGATCCTACCGTGACAATGATGCAGGTTGAGGAAAAACCTGATGTGACTTACAGTGACGTTGGAGGTTGCAAGGAACAAATTGAAAAATTGCGAGAAGTTGTGGAGACTCCTTTGTTGCACGTAAGTTAAATAGTGTAATTCATTGTTTGCCTTTAGAATTAAATCCTAATAAATAAGATGTAGCGTTAATCTTATTTCATTACAAAGATATAGTATAATTATAAAACATTTATTGGTAGCCGGAGAAATTCGTAAAATTGGGGATCGAGCCACCAAAGGGTGTTTTATTATTTGGCCCACCAGGAACTGGAAAGACCTTGTGTGCACGAGCCGTAGCCAATAGAACAGACGCCTGTTTCATCCGTGTTATCGGTTCGGAATTGGTTCAAAAATACGTAGGCGAGGTATGAAGCAATATTTTGCCTTGTATAAAGTGTAACAAATTATCTCTAAAATCATAATTAATATTCTTAATCCACGACTAGGGAGCGCGTATGGTAAGAGAATTATTCGAAATGGCGCGCAGTAAGAAAGCCTGTTTAATCTTCTTTGACGAAATTGATGCTATTGGTGGTGCCCGTTTCGACGATGGCGCCGGTGGGGACAATGAGGTTCAAAGAACTATGTTAGAACTAATTAACCAACTAGACGGGTGGGTTATCAATCACGTAATTAATCATTTCGCATAATCAATCAGTTGGCTATGACAAAAATATGTCTATTTTCTTAACAGATTTGATCCCAGAGGTAATATCAAGGTTCTTATGGCGACAAATAGGCCGGACACTTTGGATCCGGCATTGATGCGACCTGGTAGATTAGATCGAAAAGTCGAATTTGGTTTACCCGATCTAGAAGGGCGTACGCACATTTTCAAAATTCACGCTAGATCAATGAGCGTCGAGAGAGACATCCGATTTGAGTTGCTGGCCCGACTTTGCCCGAACAGCACAGGCGCAGAAATCCGTTCAGTTTGCACTGAGGCTGGGATGTTTGCCATTCGTGCTCGACGCAAAGTGGCTACTGAGAAAGATTTCCTTGAAGCCGTTAATAAGGTCATCAAGTCTTACGCTAAGTTCTCCGCTACACCTAAGTATATGACTTACAATTAAATATTTAGCATGACTCGAGTTGTTTTCGAAACATAGATTTCGCGTCTGTCTTCTTTGATAAAAATAAAGAAAAAAAGTATTAAAATCTTAAAGCCTTTCTTGTATTGACACTTATTCTATTGTATTTTATAAAATGTTCGATAACTACAAATTGTTTGGCATAGCAATGCGAAGCATTGGATAAGCATGCTTTAAAAGATTTATTTCTGATTTTTATGATTGGCTTCTTCAGTCCCTTCGAAGGAAATTAAGTTTAACAGCTGAATCTGGTTTATTGATTAGTAACGACTTGGAATCTAATATTTTTCCTTCCCACGTGAACTTCAGCTCTCGGCATATCTGAAAAATGTTCGTTTTTCGTTAGCGTTAAATAAATATTGATAAATCATTCTTAAAATTATACGTACGCGTAACAAAGTGACTTGTATGTTCTGTTCGGCTAGACGTCTGGCAATACATGACCTTGGTCCATGGCCAAACGGTAGCAATAAATAGGGATGTACAGTTTTGCTATTACTTGAAGATTTTTCTTGATCCTCCTTACGGCACTCTTCGCGGATCCATCGTTCTGGTATAAATGATTGGGAATTTTCGAAATACTCTTCCAAGCGACAAATCACTTGATTCTGAGTAACTACGACGGTCTAAAAATATTCCAGGACTTAAATAAATTATACTTTGTTTGTTATTCCTAGATTCTTTCTCAAAAGATTAAATGAGCCACGTGCACGTACTCCTTTGGGAACTTGATAGCCATTCAGAATTACGTCGTTTTGTAAAATTCGACCAACACCAACGGAAATTGGATTCAATCTCAAAGTTTCTTTTATGATCGCCTTAGTGTAACTCGCTTTTCCCAAAACAGTGGCGGTCACCGGATCCTCAGGATTCTCTAATAATTTTTTGGATTCTTTATAAAGAACTTCCTGAGTTCTTGGATTATTCGCTAAGTGATACAATGCAAATGCTGTAGTATAGGTAGTCTGAAAGTAAATCATCATAAATTAAGTTGATTCCGAATTAGCTCTGTAATTTTATATTTAGATTCAGTTTCTTACCGTATCTATACCAGCGAGTAACATGTCGCAAGCCATTCCAACGACATCTTTTTCGTCCAATGCAGGATTTTTTAAATATATTTCCAAAAGGGACTCTGTGTCCCCCGAAGGAATTTGATTCATTCCTTTTATTTTTCGCGATACCATTTCGATGGCTACCCTTAAAAATAAAATACTTTATTAGCAAAGTTATTAGATAACCAAGATCGTAAGCAAAACGACTTACTCCTCCATACAGTTTTGTGCTTTGCATAATTTTCTATAGAGAGGTGTATTAAAAAATCTCCACAGTCTCAGACCATTATCCAACGCAAGAATTGCTTTATTAGTCGACAAAGCAGCTTCTATTAATTTTGAACTTCGAGAACCTTCCAGCATCTCTACTTCTGAGAAACTATTTAGTTTTACATCAAAAGCTACGAGACACGTCACTGCGTAACACACAACACATTTTAGACATATGTAAACTTAAATTGTATCAATTTTTTGATGAATGTAATCAAAAATTCTTAACCGAATGGATATAGAATTTTTAATCGTTAAGAAAATCCTACATTCCAGATAGAGACGCGACAGCAATGGTAAAAAATTATCGAATTTCTCTCGAGTGCAAATTTTCAAAAATTGCTTGACAACCATATCAGTGTCCTCCAAATAATTCTTTACATTTTGCGGTCGACTTATGGCCTTTTGCAGTTCTTTACGTAATCTCCACCATTCTGGTCCATTTCTGTGAAGCATAATACAAAGTATTTAAATTTCTTGACAATAAGATTAATAAAAAAACATTTAACAGTACAAATATTTTAATTAATTAATTACGTAGGTAACAGGCCTCCACTGTTATAAATATGAGGACGATCCTTTCTATATTTTGCAAGAGCAAGATGGCTTCGTCTCTCTGGATGCAAATTCATTTCCGCCCGAAATATTTCAGCAATATCTTCAGGTCTGAAGATCCAAACCAAATGAACACCCGGTACAATTTCCTCTCGAACCAGTGGACCGTACCGAGCCAATTTTTTAGCTCCATTCTTATGTAATCTTTCAAAATTATATTCACCTACAATTAATTTTAAACAACGATATACTTATTTAGAATTATCCATTATCAATTTTATATAACACTTTTTTTTTAAATTCCCTCTCTTACCAGGATGGTCAGAATGAAACTCATCCTTACCAACAGCGCAAGAAAAAAGTAAAAATAAAAAAACGCGACTTACCAACCCAAGGAATATACTTGTACAGAGTACCAATAAACGGCAGAGACTTCGGACCTGGAATATCCTCGAATGGTCGAGGACTGAGTTTATTCACCCGTTTCTGATTTGTGACTGAACGCTGCAGACTTTTTAGACATTTTTTTAATACCGACAACATCCTGCTTTTCGACGAGGATTCACTAATCGAATATCTTTTTCGAGGAATTATGAAAAAACTAACACAGCAAGGTTTGCTACTTTAAAATAATGTGGTTTAACGGTTTATCTATTTTTCACTACCTTTGGATCAATCTCGTAAAATGATTCCTCGTTTACATTCATGTATCAAAACGGTGAGGTCTCCTCATCCTTCCTTTATGGAACACCGATGCTGACTGAAGTCAAGGACTATCTGAGTCCCATCTTCGACCTGGGTCTTTTCTCATCCCCACTTTACATTAGGAAATTATTCTGTTGTCGCTAGGTATTCTGTACCGACTATTGAATTTCAAATGAGTTGCATTTATTTGATACTTTAGATAAGGCAACCGATCATTCTTGCACTGTTTCCTGGTTTGATGACGGATACAGTACCTTGATTTGAAATTCGATCCGTTAGATTTTCTTTTAATATGAAATGTATACAATTATTGTATTTCTAATTTGAGATTTTATTGGCATTTATACATTGTTGAGCGATTTCGTACTCGGAGTTTTAATCGGGCATGTGGAATTTTTCATGAGGAACGGTATCCCATCCGTTTAATCAGATTCGCTTCAATAGATTTCACAAAAGATTCCAAGACCATAGTCTCATGTTAAATTCTTTGTTTCTTGTGTTCTTGAAATGTTTAATTTAATTTTGACAAGATCTTTCAGATTTCATAGCAGAACGTTACAGATCTGATGCCACAAACTTTTCACGCAACTTTACATTCTGACATTAAAATATAAAACAGAATTTAATAAGTCAAACACTGCTGTTCTACCAAAGGAAGAAACGCTGATTTTGATATTCTTGAGAATCATTAATTCTCTCAACTTATTCAATCAACAATGCCAACATCACTTGCATTTATTTAAACTAATAAATGACAATTGCAGATAAAATTTTTGGTACCAAGAAAATAATAATTATATTAAATTCTGTCGGTTGATTCAGGCCTAGTTTAGATCTTGACATGACAAGAATTTAATAATCAATGTTCAATCAGTATCAACATATTTATCTAAATTCTTCTGGAGTTTCGTTTTAGGTATGAAAAGAACTTATACTATACTTCTTCAAATGTTTTCCTATCATTTGATAAAAATCAAAGACATTAGTCGCAATATGTCTGCCTGGTAAATATGGTATAGTCTGTTCTTTTAGTCAACATATACAAAGCTCAGAAGTCAAGAATCTGTGACTATACACTTGAATACTCTCATCCATCCTTTCTGGATCCCTTCTCTTGGCGAGACTTACAGTGCTATAATTGCGTAGCACTCTGTATTTTCAAACGCAGTTGCCACAGGGTTATCGTGTTGGCAACAGCAACGCCCAATATACAGTTTTTCTGGAGCGTCATCCATTTTATTAATCTGATTGACAGAACAAACTTTCTTTATATCAGCTGCATGACTGATTTGTGATAATCATTTAAGAATTCAGAAGCGATTGTAACCTTTTGAGTGAAATTTCAGAATTATATTGAAAATATTGTGTGAAATGTGGCCGTTCAGTACACAGTGTCAGAGCAAGGTGCGCCTTGTTGGCAAGACCGTCATTATCACCGGAGGGAATACCGGTATCGGCAAGGAAACCGCTAAGGATTTATACAGAAGAGGTAAATTTGAATGAACTTCTTAAAAAATATTTTATATCTATTATTTATTTTTATTGGATTTGTTAGATGTATAGATATAACAGACATACCAATATCAGAAGTAAACCCGTGAATTTAGAGCATATAAATCTTTAAATAAAATTTGTATGATAAGATGTGAACGACATTTCTTTTTAATAGTTTCGTTTTTCTGTCAATTTTAATCATACTTCTAAGTACGTGTAATTCATAAATGTAATATACAATATATGGTCTTCAAGTATTATAACTAGTATGCGTTTAAATAAATGGTATCGCGTGTATAGTTTGCCTTGAGTGTATATAATACAAAAAGCAAAAACAGTGTAAGGATACTTATTTTTTTTAATTTTTTATATATCTTATTCTTCTGGTTCAAAGGTGCTCGAGTCATTCTTGCCTGTCGGGATCTTCAGAAAGGAAATGAAGCCGCTGAAGAAGTGAAGAATAAACTGCCGTCGAAGTAAACAAATGTGCATAATACACTAGAACCTTGGAGAAAATATTTGCTTGGCATACCTCAACAAATTCCTATGCGAAATAATTAAATATGCTTAACATGGAGTATCAAGTAGCATGTTCGTGCAATATACATTCGAACATCTAGAACTTCTAGTTTTCCGCGCCGCGAGTCATTCGTATCGTATATCGCCAATGGAAAATTCGGATGACTTAGCAATAGATTGAAATAATGAAAAATAACCTATACAGTAAAAAGCCTTTAGATACGTTCTAGAAATATTGTTAAAACGTATCTGAATGTTTTCTGCTGTAGAAGAATGTTTGTGACGAAGCTTGGTAAAGATTTAATATCAATAATAATATAATGATATATATCCACAGACCGCAAAGGGAACAATTCCAGGGCGAACCAGGAGAAGTTCAAGTATGTCGTCTGGACTTGACTAGTTTGGCTAGTGTCAGAGAATGTGCACAAAATCTTCACACAACGGAAACGGCTGTGCATATTCTCATCAACAATGCTGGCATAATGATGTGTCCCTTTGCAAAGACCGAAGACGGTTTCGAATCTCAGTTGCAGACCAATCACCTTGGACATTTTTTGTTCACGCTTCTACTTCTACCGAAGATTCGTACTTCCGGTCCTGGCTGTCGGATTGTTAATGTATCATCATTGGCTCATATACGTGAGTCAAAATACTTTTTTTTTTAAAGTTCGTGTGGGTATCGTATAAGATAAAAATTTTATTATTACGTTCTATGGTGACATTTTAAGTTAATAATGGGTAATTCAGATTATAATTGAAGTGGGCGTACAATATTGAAAATATTGATACTAAAATATGAAAATAAATTACACTAGCTTATAAGTTAGGTATTTATCCGTATTAATTATTGTGTTATCAACATTATTGTTTGAACAGATGGAGACATTCATTTTGATGATCTGAATTTGGAAAAGTCTTACTCGCCAATTAAAGCTTACGCTCAAAGCAAGCTAGCTAATGTTTTGTTCACTAAAGAATTGGATAAACGTTTGAAAGGTATTTATAAACGTAGTATTCGTAATATAACCAATTAATTTAAAATATATCCAAGCCATGTGTATCTTACTGATCGTTATTTAAGATCCTGCATGATATTATAACAGATTCGAATCACTTTTTTTCGTTATTATTTCACCTAATACGTAAATATTGAATCATTTGCAGACGCTAAAATTGATAATATCACTACCTACTCTCTTCATCCTGGTGTTATATCTACTGAATTATCGAGGCATTTGGATTCATCATTTTTCCGCGGAAGTCGATCGCTCTTCTCGTTTTTTTGGGGACCATTTATGAAGACACCAGAACAGGGTGCACAGACCACTATCTATTGTGCAGTCGCTGAAGAATGTAGTAAAGAGAGTGGACTTTATTATAGGTAAGTATATTTTCCTATTTACGTATATGGATTAACCTTAGTAATTATTGATTTTAAGTGAACTGGAAATGTACAGTGAGGAAGAATAGATTTTCATTTTTTTAGGGAATGCGCAGTGAATAATCCGTCTAACAAAGCTAAGGATGCAAATGTAGCTAATAAATTGTGGAATGAAAGCATGAAGATGGTGGGGTTGGACCCTGAAGATAACATTGAAGAATTATTGAAAAAGATTGAGAAAGATATTTTACCTCCTCTGCAGAGCATATTAAAAAATACAGAGAAAGATGTTCCATCGTCAAATCCATAATTTTATCTAAAACGACATCGTTTTTATGAGTATTAATATAATTATCGAACAACTACATAATTGCTTCATACAATGGTGGACATGTCCTAAACATAAGTATAACTTTGATATTTTTAAAACTTTGTATCTAATTAATGTTGTATTTTTTTTTTATTGAATTCTGCGCTTATTAAGGAAGTTTATATATTTAATTTAATAAAATTTTCTGATATGCTTGTATATTAGTCAATGATGATCATTATATGGCTAAATCAAATGTTTGTAAATATTATAATATTGTTCTATACATTTATTAATTTAAATAGTTATACGTCTGAAAATTAAAACGTTTAAAAAAGCTTTAAGTATTAAGACATATACACCATATCAACATTAGAAATATTATTTTTATTATATCCTATTTATCGATCAATGCAGTCTTGAGTATGCCAAAGGTAGAATCAGGTAGAATTAAAATGTTTGCCAGTATGGGTTTAGTTCCTCCTACCAATGGGGCATATAAAGAGGCACTGGTTTTTCGGGTTTGAGAATGTGAGAAATGATTACTGGAAATAGCATTAGGTCAAGAGACAATTGACATTAACCAAAGACAACTGAATAACCATACACAGACGCAAATCTCATAAGAGACACAGAGAAGCTAGAGGCTGAAGTTGATTTAAGCATTTGGTAAAAGGCGTACAAGGTAACCAATACTGGTGGGGATTTAGAAGTACCAGTGGAAGATAATTCTAAATCTGACGTAATCTACAGCACCGAGGAATTTTGTGTTTGACAGTTAGTTGTCACAGAAGGTATGCTGGAACCAGTATAAAAGTTTTGGAGGTAGTTAGAACACCATGTATTGTTTAAAACACAAAATACTTGGGAACTGGTACTCTTAACTAAATACTAATTACCGTTTTCCTTTTAAGGCATAAATCTACACACTTCGCCACACTTCCGGCACAGATGGACACAGGTATATTTCTTTTATACTACGAAATCATGCGTAAATCATAAGTATCCGTTGCTCTATGCGAATGGACCAATGGTATAACGTTTATGCCTCTTTAAGAATGGCTTGAGGAGAAAATGAACTACAAGTATACAAGAAGTGTGTCAATATGTGTCGAAAAAGAAAACGCCCAATATCTCCTCCGTATTTACAAATTGCAAATAAGAGGTTATGGGGAAAGCAGTTAAATGCTCCAGGGTCCAAAAATACCATGTTCCATCCTATTGCCAGCATAAAAATAACACAGTTCATATTACACTATTGTTTTATTGGAAATATAGTGCTATCACTGAATTATAGTCTCAGACTACCTGAAACTTAGAACGTAGAGCTACGAAAGGAGAGTCACGAGTGTATTCTGTTCTCGGGATGGTTCATGGGATCACATGGGATGACGTAATTTACGTAACGAAAGTAACAAAGTAACGCGATATTTGAAATGCACTTTGCAGATTCTGAATTTTTCTTAAGAGTATTTATATAATCAAAGCACCTTAGATATTCCATGCATATCTGTACTTAAAAAAAATATTTTACTAGGGCCTCATTCCTTCGAGGTGGTTTAATACGTAAACTGTTTCTCCTCGAATTGAAAGTATTTGATTGACTAACTGTGCAGTTAAACAAAGTTTAACCACCAAACTATGTTGAGGAATCGAGCCTAGATATTTCACTATGACAGTTTTTTTTTACATATATGTTTTTTAGTTAAAGGGATAACTTGCCATTTCGTCAGAATATAAATAAAATCTTTATTTTCATGTAGATCAAGGTTATAGAAGCTAACATAGAAGTAACATTTTTATTAAGTTTTTATTTTAATTTATATGGAACATAGTATATTTACTTGAACTTTAACATGGACTGCAATGTATGACAGAATATTCTTACGTGTGGAAAATAACTCAAAATTCTCCATACCATTCCATTTTCAAGAAACCGCAAACGCAGCGGCTTATTATTTTTCAATTATCCAAAAATGAAAATAATTAACACTTCTTTGGAACGAGTAGAGCCATATATATATGAGAAGATACTTGCAGAATATGAATCCCTATTCGTTCTTAACTCTACTACCCTCTTTTTGAATCGACTATGCAAATGTGAAATTTTTGTACATAAAACGATATGTCGATAAGCAAAGTGTGTCAGAGTGAAACAGCAATTTGGGCGGAGGGCGAGGGAGAGCCGTTCTTTGGTTATCTACATACATTTAATCCTCTGATATGACTTCCTCATACAGCTATTTAAAATTGAGAGCTTCGATGGATTGTTATTGAGAAACTATACAATATTTTTGTGAGAGATTTGTCTTAAATAAAAAAAAGTACTGTGAACGATGCTATTCCATACATCATGCAAGAGTAAAGAGCGGCTTGTTGGTAAAACTGTCATCATCACCGGAGCAAACACCGGTATCGGTAAGGAAACTGCGAGGGATTTATATAGAAGAGGTAAATTTTTTTTCCCAAAATATTTTTACCTCCTGATGGTTTTTATTTAAAGCCAGCATTTAAAAAAAATTTGTTTAGGCGCTCGAGTAATTCTTGCGTGTCGAGATGTTCAGAAAGCAGACGCGACTGCTAAAGAAGTAAAATCAAATCCGCCGTCGCAGTAAGTACTAGTTTCACATACCTATGTACTGTTAACTTTTAGTATATGTATATGTGTAAATGTATAAATGTAGAATTATGACTACAAGTGACATTTAACCTTTTACATTATGAAATATGCGTTAATTATTTCGATTGCAAAGGTCTAATAGTACAAAAATAAAATATTTAAAAAAACAAGGATAATACTGTCCTAAGTTTTAGTTCAAGTTGAATTATAATTTTGAAGCTTGAATATTAAAACTAATATCTTGTCTTACTTATTTAGACCAAACAAGGAACAGTTCCAGGGTGAACCAGGGGAAGTTCTAGTCTACCAGCTGGACCTCTGCAGTTTAGCTAGCGTGAGAAACTGTGCAAAAGATATTTACAAAAAAGAATCAGCCGTGAATATTCTGATCAACAATGCCGGCATGGTCATAGAATCCTTCGGAAAAACCGAAGATGGTTTCGAAACTCAACTACAGACCAATTATCTTGGACATTTTCTGTTCACGCTTCTATTATTGCCAAAGATTCGAGCTTCTGGTCCAGGCTGTCGAATCATCAATGTATCGTCTCTGGCCCATCATTGTAAGTCAGTTTTTTACTATGAAAAGTCTAATCTATATCCTAAGCTGATAGGATATCTGTTTAGATATGCTATCTTATCAATATCATGGTTCAAGGTATTCCGAGCATGAATTACATTTTTATGGGTGCCTAAGAGGCATCTCTTATATTGTCGAGCATATAAAGCAGTACTGCAGTGAAACGATAGAAGATTTTATGGAATTTTTTAATGCATAAAATATGTGGAATTTAGAATTGTAAATCATTGTCCAACTTTTATTTCCTTTTGAAAATCAAGTCGCCGACGACGATTTCAAACGTATTCTCGCATCTTTCAATAATATTTTCTTATGAAAAACTACGCCGATAATCGCTGAAAATCTCTAAAATTCGCTGGGTCCATTGTAATATTTTATACTTTCGACTTGAAGATAATTAACATGAGAAATCTACAATTGAAACGCAGACGCGATAAGTAAATCCGTAATCGAGCCCGATTTTTTTTAACACACATCGTTACATGATGAAATTATGGTATAGGACAAAATTATTACATTAATTTCTGCACACTATTGTTTTATGCTTGGAATACCTTCTTTATAAAGTATTGCAGTTACTTTATATTGAGAATGTATAATTTGAAGATAATCCATGTCTAATAAATCATGATGAAATATTTGACAGTATGTCATTGGAAAATAAATTTATCTGACTTGATGATTTTGCGAACACCAGACCCTCGATGAATATATTTATTTTGTGTCTATCCTTTTTTCAACAGATGGGGATATTCATTTTGATGATTTAAATTTGGAAAATTCGTATACGATGAAAGAAGCTTACTGTCAATCCAAACTGGCTAATGTTTTGTTCACCGTAGAATTGACCAGACGTTTAAAAGGTATTTACTAATGACAAAAATAAATAATAATAAAATAATGCCAAGAAGTAAATATTTATTACAAAATTTCATGCAAATTCTAATCAAATATATTGTATATAATTAATTTTTTTGTTCACTTTTATATACTGTAGACTCTCTTTACGCGAACGTTTTTGGAGTTGTAGGTGAAGGCGATCAGAGAAAAACGATTACTTAATAAGAACCCCCCACTGTATAGCAGTTCTTTAGCAGAATACATTGTCTTTATTTGTTCTCTAATACGGAGCTTTGCATGCTGGTATGTCGGTACGCTTGGTACTTGATAATAGGGATAATCTTTCAATACCCCGCAGACGCAAGGGATACAAACGTTTTAACGGGAGTTTACTGTAATAAAAAATAAAAGTATTTCTGTAGTGGATGAAGTTTATATTAAACGACTACTTGTAGAGGCCAACATTGATGGTATCACAACGTACTCCGTTCATCCTGGTATGGTAAAAACTGACATATCGAGAAATATACATTCATACCTACTTCGCATTATGCAAGTAGTGTTGACTCCTTTTGCGCCACTGTTTGTAAAAACGTCCGAGCAGGGTGCGCAAACCACGATCTACTGTGCAGTCGCTCAAGAGTGTAGTAAAGAGAGCGGACTTTATTACAAGTGAGTAAAATTTATAATTTCCTTCACCTTCAATCCTGTTGCGGTTATAGATTGCGGATAAACGAGGTATAATAAATGAAGGTGAATGTATTTCCAATTTTATTCTTTTAGGGACTGCGCGGTAGCAAACTTGACAAATAAAGTTAATGACACAGAGTTGATTGCCAAGTTGTGGAATGAAACCATGAAGATGGTGCGTTTAGAACAAGAAAACAATCTCGAAGAATTACTCAAGAAAATTGAGAAGAATGTTTTACAGTCCGTAGATGATACATTAAAAAATTCTGAAAAAGTCATTCCACCGTCAAATATCTAATTTCCGTTAAAGAAGCAGAAGTTATTAATATTGATATCAATACAGTGATGAAATACTTTAAATTACAGTGAACGCACGTCCGATATCAAAAAATTGTATCATAAATGAAACATACTTTACGTACAGTTGTAATTGTGACAGTATTATTTTGCTTTCAATGAATATTCTGTATTCCTTGCAAAACTTGTACTTAATCAATAAAACTAGAGATATATACGTATATACATTCAATTAGATTAATTATAATAAATGCGTGGTTGTAAGGTGAAATGTAAAACGCTCACAAGTAAGAAAGTATGGTTCAATATATTTATTGAGTTAGAAGGTGTTGTATATGAAATTGAAAACATTTAAAAGGGCCTTGAGTATCAAGACATTCACGTCATATCTACATTAAAATATTATTCATATTTTATCCTAATCATAAATCCATTTTTAGTATGGTGTGGAACGGAGTAGAGGTGGAAGAGGAATATCAGCAAGAATGGGTTTGTGTGTTTTTACTACAGATGGGGAATCAAAGACTGGGGCTTGGATTTCTGGAGCGTAAGCGGATTCCTGAAGTTTAGGTGCAGCAGGGATCTGGGGCAAAGGTGCAAGAATTTCTGGAGCGTAAGCGGATTCCTGAAGTTTGGGTGCAGCAGGGATCTGGGGAAGAGGAACGGGAGGTCCATAGATAGGTTCAGGCTGTTTGGGTGCCTCGCGAATCTCAGGAGCATATACGGGTTCAGGGATTTCTAAGGCGTAGATTGGTTGAGGTAGTTCGGGTGGTTCAGGGATATCAGCAAGAACAACGGGAGAACTATAGACTGGTGCAGGTGCTTGGGGTAGTTCACGGATTTCAGGAGCATAGACAGGCTCAGGCAGTTTGGGTGCTTCTGGGATGTCTGCAAGGACAACGGGAGGACCATAGACTGGTGCAGGTGCCTGGGGTAGCTCAGGGACTTCAGGAGCATAGACAGGCTCAGGCAGTTTGGGTGCTTCTGGGATATCAGCAAGAACAACGGGAGGACCATAGACTGGCGCAGGTGCTTGCGGTAGCTCAGGGACTTCAGGAGCATAGACAGGCTCAGGCAGTTTGGGTGCTTCTGGGATGTCTGCAAGGACAACGGGAGGACCATAGACTGGTGCAGGTGCCTGGGGTAGCTCAGGGACTTCAGGAGCATAGACAGGCTCAGGCAGTTTGGGTGCTTCTGGGATGTCTGCAAGGACAACGGGAGGACCATAGACTGGTGCAGGTGCCTGGGGTAGCTCAGGGACTTCAGGAGCATAGACAGGCTCAGGCAGTTTGGGTGCTTCTGGGATGTCTGCAAGGACAACGGGAGGACCATAGACTGGTGCAGGTGCCTGGGGTAGCTCAGGGACTTCAGGAGCATAGACAGGCTCAGGCAGTTTGGGTGCTTCTGGGATGTCTGCAAGGACAACGGGAGGACCATAGACTGGTGCAGGTGCCTGGGGTAGCTCAGGGACTTCAGGAGCATAGACAGGCTCAGGCAGTTTGGGTGCTTCTGGGATGTCTGCAAGGACAACGGGAGGACCATAGACTGGTGCAGGTGCCTGGGGTAGCTCAGGGACTTCAGGAGCATAGACAGGCTCAGGCAGTTTGGGTGCTTCTGGGATGTCTGCAAGGACAACGGGAGGACCATAGACTGGTGCAGGTGCCTGGGGTAGCTCAGGGACTTCAGGAGCATAGACAGGCTCAGGCAGTTTGGGTGCTTCTGGGATGTCTGCAAGAACAACGGGAGGACCATAGACTGGTGCAGGTGCCCAGGTTTTGGTGGAGGAGGTCCGTAAACAGGTACGGGTACTGGTGGAGGTGGAGGTGGCGGCGGAGGCGGAGGTGGAGGCGGAGGCGGTGCTTGAGGTTCAGGTGGTCCATAAACCGGTGTAGGTTTTGGTGGAGGAGGTCCGTAAACAGGTACGGGTACTGGTGGAGGTGGAGGTGGCGGCGGAGGCGGAGGTGGAGGCGGAGGCGGTGCTTGAGGTTCAGGTGGTCCATAAACCGGTGTAGGTTTTGGTGGAGGAGGTCCGTAAATAGGTACGGGTACCGGTGGTGGAGGTGGAGGTGGAAGTGGTGCTTGAGGTTCAGGTGGTCCATAAACTGGTGCGGGTACTGGCGGAGGAGGTGCAGGATCCGCTCTTATCTTTGGCGGTGGTGGCAAGTTGGCAATCTTTTGAGGTGGTCCGTAGATGGGTGCCGGTATTGCTGGTGGAGGATCACGCTGGATCTGTGGTGGTCCGGAGACAAGCCGACGTTCTGGTGGTGGTGGAGGTGGAGGTTGTACAAAGGTCTTAGCTCGATTAATAAGTTGAGGAACTCCATACACGGCATGAGGTACGATTACTTGTTGTTGAGGACCGTTATTCTGTGACAATCCGCTATTGAGATCTGATTGATCTATCTTTTGCGTGTCAATTGGCGCAGATATAAGTTGAGGAGCATATGGGAATTGCTTGGAGATCCTTTCGGTATTGAAATCTGGCAGGTTGAATTCCTCATCATGATGAACCAAATTGTTGCTTTTTTGGAATGCAATTACCGGCGGTGGTGGAGGTGGCACCGGTTGCAAGGGTTTCTTCGCTGTTCTTGGGTCGGCTAATGTGAAGGCCACAAAGGCCAGCACTAAAAAGTACTTCTGTAATTGAAAAATTAAATGCGAATTAATCGGTAGCTCATCCTGTGATTAATGATTAATGATTTTTTGGATGTCGTATTCGCGATATGACGATCAATTATTAACTTGTAGAGTGACTATACTGCACAGTTCCTGATTATGACAATTGATTGATTGATTTTTGATTGTTTATTTATAGTATAATAATCCCACAATTTTTCACTGTATCTTTTAATAATTATCGATTGCACTACTCGATTCATGTAATTTTATAATTTTTCTTTCAACTTTGGATACTTGACTTCTCTTGCAGCTGATGGTAAACTATATTCACTTACCATATTTGGTGATTTGACAGTGAATGTCGAAGTACTGTGCTGACACTGAAATGTATTCTAGCTTATATACTGAAATCCGAAAATGAAAATTGCCCGAGGAAGTTTTATGCTTTCCGCTCCAGGCATAGTATTTCCAAATGCTGTCGTTGTTATGTTTTCTAATACTTCATATGTAAAAGCCCACGCGCATTTATGTGCTATGAATGAATATAGAGGACTAGAAAATCTTATTCAGTGCTCGGTACAGTACTAATTTGAAAAAAAATTGGAATCCATTTCATCCTAAATTATTTAAAAAAAGTATAAGATCATTTGAATGAATAATACAAAGCATTAGAGGACGAAATCCCTGTACACGTACAAGGACAGTTTATATAGAAATGATGTTTCTTAGTATGTGGTCATTGGCAAATGTAGATTTTTGAGAAATTTCCACAAAAAGAATATATCATTGGACGTTATTAAAATCTGCTGTGGGCACTAACCTAACCTAATTAAATTTTTTATATACAAAATACAAAAATAAACTCAAGAAAAATTGTATAATTATTCCGACTATCAAATATGTTATATATATATATATACATTTTTCAGCCTTTTACGGTCATTGCTTATATGATCATAATTGGAAGTCTGGTAGAAGTCGCATCCGGTAGTTTTCCCTTGCTGACGTTTCGCAACTGCAATTTGTTCCAACAGAGCTTGGAATTCACTTCGATATTTCAGCATTCGATGGTGTCAGTCGATAATTATCATTCTTGACTTTTGTTTTAACAAAATCGACAAAATCGTCGGAAAATCTAGTAATAATCCGACAATGACTTCCATTTCCTATTGACGACTGTTTTCGGCTGCAATTTCCGTGAAATGACAGAAGGCATTTTATAAAAAGCCTAAGGCTCCAAAATCATCTGGCAAGACGATAATGTATTCCGCATTCTTGTATAACGACCGCACGACAATTCCTCCATTCATTTGTTGGACTCTGATGCACTGTACACGCGGATCCATACACAGAAAGTCATTTTAGATAGTGCAATTATTTTTCAAATAATCATGGCTGACGTTTCTTGTATATTGTTCGACCATAAATCCTGAAATTAAGGTATAAGCGTAAGTAACTAAAATTACGGCACAGACACAAAAACAACACATTAAAATAGCAACTAATATTATCATCGACATAGAAATTATACTAAACCCACTACAAATTCTCAATACACCCGACTGTCTGTTTTACCATTAATTCTGTTTCTTCGAAAAAATTCAAACCTTCGCGCCATATAAAGTATTGCGAAATCCTACTTTTCTGACAAAGATAAATCACTGTTACGTACCTGGAAAAAGAATACTAATCAGTATATCTTGGAAAAATTTATGGCTGACACGTTGAAACGCAACGACATCCCCTTTTTGTGTATCTTCTTCGTGCAGCCTCTGTATGTCCACCTGAGAAGAAAAAACAAAAAGAGAAAGACTGTAAAGAGAGACGAAGGTACTTACAGTGAATCTCGTTAGCTCGACAAGAGCATGCTCCCTATTTGGTCAGCATCGTCGAAAAACGTAACCGGAGTAATGACAGTATATCTTTTTTATATGTTTTCATTATTTTTAGCAAATCAAACGAAGTAACTAGAAAATAACATAGCAGGACAGATCCAATATGTTTATCAAATATAGGGAGTGTCTCGTCCAGTGTGGGTTGAAATCCTCGTGGCAAGGAGCCGGACCTGACTGAACATGGCCGCAAGCCATTAAATTACAAAAAAAAAGGATGATTAAAATAAAAATGAAACTACAGTTTTAATAAAATTTTAATTACGAATTCAAAATAACATTCGGAGCCCATAATTACACTATGGTAGATCTATCCACACGTAATATCCCATAAATAGCAATACGCCTTATCGTAATGATGATAACGGGAACGATAATGATAATCATTCCCCTTGTACAATCTTTTTCAGTCATCAGTTCCTAGTATACTAATAACTGATATATTCTCGATCATAATTATCAATAGGCGAGTACCGTACGGTATGATGACCCCTATGGTAACGTAAGAAGACAATGAGGGTCTGCACTAATCGTAAATAAATACTTAACATAATGTCTAGTTCAGATGTCTGAATAACCTGTATAGAGTATCTGTACTATATTAACTATGTAGATAAATATGTACACTCGTAAGATCCTACTAAAAGCATCTACGAACGTTCGATTATTTACGAAGTTGTTTCTCAACAAAATTCGCCATCGAAAATCTACTAGAAATACGATGATCGGCTTTTGAAGTCATTGAACTTGATTTTGCGAAGGTGGACCCTGAAGTCGTAACGGCGCGTTGCGCGTAGGGAGCGTCGCGATTGAATATGCAACTGGCGCTGTTTATTTTCGTGCTCACCCTTATATGTGAGAATACGTGGGCTACCAGGAAGACAATTGGACTATTCGTGAAAAGGGACACCGGTAACGTATGAGCTACCAGAGTCCCATGAGAACGTCAAGATCAACGATAACGGGCTGGTACGTTTTTTTGTACTTATATGTATACGGTACCAACATTAAAATCGAACAACGTTATACTAGATTTACATTAATGCGTATTGTCCCTCTTAATCTTTTCCGCAATGATTTTATGCGTGAACAAATATTTTGTTTATAAATGAACGATGTGGTTTTTTTTACGAGATAAAAATAATTGTTTGATCATTTAATGGGTGATATACGTAATTGTTGTGTCACCGGTAACAGTGAGTCATATGAGTTTTAACGGAATATATATTATGAGATTTCTTAAATAACAATTCCTTGAATGACAGTTCGATTACCTTTTATGTGAGCATTGTATATATATGCATATTAGTATGATGTGTCAGGAATCCTGCGGAGTCCTTGAAAATATTAAATAAGTTTGTAATTAATTAATAATATCGCGTTTTAACGGAGGTTACCAGGAAGACGATACTTGATTGTCTAACAAGAGCAACGTCCAGAACAAGGATATCGTCAGAAGCAATATGTAAAATTTGTAATAAATTAATGAATATTTATTAACGAATTATATTTATGTAAATTAATTATACATTTTATAAAATTTTTAAAATTTAAAATTTTTACATTCCATTTTGATTACGTAATCATCTAATCAGTTTATGTTCAATAAAAACGAAAGTTTAAACAAATTTTTGTTTATATCTGTAACGGGTCCATAGCAAGTTCGTGACACTCGTCATGCTACCAAGGGACATCAGCGCGCTAGGAATCGTCGTAATGGCTACATTTCGTTCTTTCAAATTCTTTAATGCAGCATTACGCAAGCAACAAGGTAGCCGCCAGCGAAGATCATGAAACGATATGTTAATACAGACGAATAATAAAAGATAGCCGAGTAGGTACGTTACCTGGGACTTATTCTCTGTATATGTATAGGTACTTACGCATAGTTGGAGATTCCTTTTCTTTTTTTTTTAAATTTTCCCCTATTCCTCTATTCTCTTTCTTCCATCTTGCCAACGGGCACTGAGTTCACATAGCTTCTTTTCTTAATGATACAGTACAGTACGTGATATTTAAAGTAGAGATTTACGTGATGGATCAGTAAGAGATCTAGCAGGATCCATATTAGTCTGGATAATCTCGATGATCTTTGCATAGTAGATAAATGAAAAATTTGCTCATGCAAAATACCTTGACATGTTATGGTCGGAATATTTACAAGGATGAAAGTAAAGAAATCAATTGTATAACTTAAGTTTAACCTCAAACGCATAACTAATTTCAAAGTCGTACGTTACGTAAAGAATATTCGATGAAATTTATTCATTGCTAGGAACGAAAGTTCTTCGGAAGCTAGACGAGTGTGAATATTCTTAAGATCGAGGATCGAGACGAATCATAGATCATCTTTTTAGTTTTCACTCTCCTCCAAAGACTTCCGGTAGAATAAAATAAATACCAAGCACCTGTTACTCGTACGAATGAATATTCTTAATTGTTATTGTATCATAAATATTGGTAGAAGCCTACGTCAGCATTGTTTAAAATATTCTGATTTCCTTACTGCCCCTTTTAATTATTGACAATCGAAATAATAATTCATAAGGGTCGCGGGAAAATTTAATTATCATAATTAATTCCCAGATTCTTACGACTAATTAAAACTGTCGATTGTTCTTTGCTACCGATTATTGAAGTATATCCGGGTGGGATAATGAATATTAAAACGTGCGACATATGTGGAGGCACGAGAGGTGGAAATTCTTTCTTCTAAAGATTGGTGTAAAGAATTGCGAAGGCGTCCACGTATCTGGATTTATCCCCATTCGCTGGAGCAAACCTAACAACCAAGCGACGCCTTTTGGTCCAGTTAGTGGTTGAGTCTTGATCTCTTGGTACTTCAGTGGATCGACACGATTAGGCGCGGCTACTTCGGCTACTAGGGCTCTGTCCGAACTCTCTTTGAGTCTCTTTGAGTCTCTTTGAGTCTCTTGTGAATTAACGTTAGACAATAATTAGTTTTTCGAATCGATCGAACCGACCTGGTCGAAAGGATATCGACTGGTCAGTGTTTTTCGAATTTTTAAAAAAATATTCCGCTGTTTTTTTTTCTTTATCAACATGAAGAGACAATTCAATGGCCTATTGTTTTTGGTGAGTGTTACCCTTGCTTTTATTTGGAAACTAATAAGGGCTTTTTAAAGTTATAATTAATTACTGTTATTCACCCATGTATTTTTTATTAACAAATTATGGATAGTTTATTATGTAGCCATGAAGTTAACGATACTGATTGGAGGTGTTATAATTCATGTAACGTCGAACAAATTTAATGTGTTTTGACTCTCGTAATATGATAATAAAAGATCAGATTAAGCCATGTGTAACTGTGAGAAAAAAAATTCATAATTCAGGTAAATGCTGTTGGAATACAAAATTTTATCGACCTTTTTTTTCAAAATTCGATACAGTCCAACGTATCTTTGCGGATGCAGAACTCGACGAGGAGATATTATCTCTTGGCAAAAACATGTCCATATATAAATAACACGTCTATCTTGAAATGCAACAAGAACTCGTTCTCGATTAAATTTTTTTATATCAAAAAATTTATTCCAATCATCCCATGCGAAGGTATTGTAAGATTTATAAATTATATCCACACGATGCACTGCGAATGTTGAAATAAGTATAATAATCGCACGCTTTACCAATGTCAGGCACGATTGCGTTAGCATAGCAGCAAGAGATCGAGATGGAGATCAAGATCGAGATCAAGAAAGTCGTGCAATTCAGTCTCTAATGCATCTGGTATGAGTTTACACCGTGATCTCATTTTTCATAAATGAATCGACCGAAGATGCATAAAAATCCATTAGAAGTTAGTCCACTGATGCAGATATATGGAACTTTTATGAATGACGTCATCAACTTTCTTAATCGTTATTCCATCAACGTGATCAAGTCCGGATGTATTGCTTTTTTGGTTGTTTATTAGTGAATCGTCACTACGGACATTGAACGTGTCTGACAGAATTTTTACAAACTTTCGAAAATATCCATTTTTCCACCATGTTGGATGATTTTAGGAAGTTTGCTTTCTACGCCGTAGGGGTTCACCGAACGCGCCGGCAGTAAAGCATTAATTACTGAAAGAATCTAAGGAAAATTTCCAGTTCACCGAAAACGAGAAAGGTGACAACGGCGCCAAACGACAGACTATTACTGAACTCGATTGTCGTTTAGACGCCATAATTAAAGTGAAATTTCATTAACCTTGATAGATGGTGTTTCGTAATTTGTTACGTTACTACATTCGCGACGTGTAGGTGGGAATGGGCGGTTGTCTTGATTTCTAACGAGCGATCGCTTAACGAAAGATAAATAAGATAAAAATATTGAATAGGTACATAAATCAGTTGTATATTTAAAATAAAATGAATTTTGCAAAATATTTTTACTGCATCGCAAAAATACTGCGGCAGTTGTATGATGCGAATATGTAATATACATAATTATAAATGAATATTGTCAACTCGGTAATGAGCTATTAAAATTTCAATTTTGATTATATAATTTCTTTTTGCGTAACACTGGTGGACGTCATTTGTAAAGTGTCACCTTGAAATATACCTTTCATAATCAGTTACATTAGGCGTAATGCGTGGGCGGTGTTAATTAAATGTTAGGTATGCTCTTAATGGATGAAAATATTTTTTTTAATTATTCACAATTTTTTCTTTACCTTAATCTGATAAAAAATATTATCTTCTGTGGTTTTTGAGCAGATAATAAAGCTACTAATTTTAAATTGATTGCGGTAAGCGCGTCCAAGATTCTGATTGCATTTTCATATTTTCAAGGGTCCAAGAGTAATCGAAAAATTTGCCTGATCGATCGAACAAAGAAACACGTTCACGAGATTAACATTCTTATGTCGAAAATGGCCGTGACGGACTGGACCACTATAAAAATAAATGATCGACCGCCGGATGAAAACAAGGCTACGCAAATTATAATAAATCACGTTAGTAGATGTCATTCTTCAAGAGATTACACAATTATTCATAGGGACATTTGCTAACTGGAAAATTCGTATGCTACAACACTTTAATATTTATTGAAAAACTAATCATAGCATATATTATATTGTCTAAAAACTAGTTTAAGATAAATTCAGATCGAACTAAAATTTCGTTAAATATTTTATGAAAGTCTTTGCACCCTCAAGTACTATGTTTTACAAGACCATAGAATTTCTTCTCAATAGCAATACGTCGCTACGCAACTTGCGAGCGTTGAATTATTTAGTTATTTCAATTACCACGATATTTATCTACAACACCGCAATTTCAGGTCAAGTTAATCGGCCAGAGCCTCATTACAGTCCTTGATCTTACTGGGAGGGTCCTGAGACTCTGAGAAATATATTTCGAGGTCCAATGAATAGTAAAAATATTCACGATTCCACGTGGGATCGATCCTATTAAAGTACTATATTGTATCCTAAACAATATATAGGTATACATATACTGTACGCGATCCTGATGTTTAGATAGCGATTGACGAGCTCCCATTGCTCAGCCACTCTTTCAAGATACTCATAGTAAAAGTGAAAGCAGTACTGTACGAATATCGTACAGCGAGAGGAAAACACGTCAGTCCATATAATTCGCTGTGTAATCCCATCAGCAAAGATGAAAGTCATTATTTTAAGTATCAACATAACTACCGAATAATATCGAAACTCTAAGTGGAAAAATTCTTCAAAGATTCATTAGGAACGTCATTTCTCATTAAAAAGTAAAACAATACGAGTTCAGTGTCACGTACACATATCACTGATCGAAAACGTATACCGTCTCTTGTTATTTGTGGTTCTTGTTATTTTTGTTCTTCCGTCATGTCCTCGATGGCCGTATCGTAAAAGTGAAAGCAATTCGGGTCAATCGTAAAAGCAAGAGGAGAAAAGAAGGAAGAATATCGTTGACAGTAAGCACGAATTGCACGTGGCTCCGCAGTGGCCAGTTTTAGTACCTATGAGCCCATTGGCAGGCATAGACAAACGCAGTCGTTGATCTAATGGCGAATATCCAGGGCCTCGTACGTATTTGTCCAAGAGAGCAAGAAAAAGAGAGCTACGAGAGTGTTCCAAGAGAATCGAGTACACTCCAGTACACTCCCACGCCTTTTATGGAGCCTGTGTAAAATATCGCTGGAAAGATCTTTCAAGACAGTGGATTCGTTTATTTCTTTTTCTCATCTTACACAGCGTATCTGTATTTCACTCTCTTAAGATTTCAACTCTCGCTAGTCGATAGTACAGTGATGAAACAAAAAATAGAATTTAATTCAGTGTCACTCGGTACTTATGTGCGTCGAAAGTTAACCTAACTTCATCGGTCTTTTTGACAGCTATAATATTTTAAAAAATCTAATTTTATACAGATTTGGAATCGTGATCCGGTGATGATGGTTCGTACGTTTCAAATACTACGTTGCAATCCGGAATATCAGTTCTCTTACGCATTTAGAATTCTGTTGTTTTACGCTTCGCGGAGCGGAAGTCATTTTATACTAACTGCATGCATTGCACATACTCCACGTGGCCATAACTGTGTCAGTAAATCCTCGTCTGCTATAAAGAGATGTACCCTCGTTTCCACTGGGAATGAAGTTTCTTCCGTATCCCTTAATACTCTAACTTAACCTAGCATGATACCGAAGAGCGTTATATTGAATACTGTGGGATAATATCGTAATATCTATCTCACGTGCAATATTCACCATGCAATACATAACCTCTATTGTAATTTCACGTAAGATACTTGACAAGATCGTAACTAGTATTTAGTATCTTCGTGTACTTGAACTAACTAATAATTCATTGTACAATATAGTATCCACAATACCCCGTGCAGGAGTACGCTAGATTTATGATGCAATTGCAGCAGCCACAAAGACGTCGCTGAAAAAGTATTCTTTTTAGGTTACAAATATTTCTTAGATAATATTCGTTTCTTGAATTTCTTTTTAAATAGAATTAAAAATGTTTATTTCACTAGCAATGCTTATCAGCTTCCGGAAAGGTAAGCTATTTACAAGGTAAAAATTTTCTGGTCAATTTCGTGAAAATTAAACGGTATACGAGATTGTTATTATTATCGTTATTGTCAGCCATATCTCTTAGGCGCGTAACATTATTTTCCAGAATGACGCGGACGCACTCGTGCATCTCCAGACGTTCGGGGAATCCCATTAAGGATGAGCGTACTACACTCTGCTTTTACATTCCGCTTATTGAGGATGAAAGTTATATTCATGATAAATAAAGTGCAGCGCCATAGTGCTTCTCGTTAAACAAATTATAACTGGAGTGAAGTCAAGGTAGTCATTTATTCAAAATCTGGATTTAACATAACCTTACTTATATAAAATTCATGTAGAAGGAATCTTGGTTTAACATCTAGATGGAAAATGATATTATCAGTAGCCAGTTATGACTGTAAACAAAACGCGTGGAATATTATTTAACGAATAACAAGGACAGTATAAAAATGTCTAACCATAAAAATACCTAGTGTGGAACCATTAACCATGTTGCCAGACTCGTTTTCATCGCCATCTTGAATTCCTTGAATAATACGATCGGTCTACTGCTACGAGGTACAATAGGTAGAATAAAATATAATTCCATGAAGAGCGTCAGTGTTCATATGTAATCTTTATACGGAAATACGTGACATGCAGCGATCATCAAAATGACTTATCTATCGATGATCTAACATCGTCCCGTTTGCTTACACATGAGGAACATACATAATACTTCCATATATGGAATTACTCGCTACACATATGACACATGACGTCATCTAATTCTCGATCATCCTCAGTACTGCTGATGAGGGTGTAGACATGATTTTAAAAAATCATTAGTAATTCTATTGCTATTTTTAAAAATAATGTATCCTTTAATCCTCTATTCTCGCCACCCCCACACATTTTCATTAATTCTTCCTCAGCCTTCAAAATATATTGATAATTATTCAATCCAGCATAAAAGAAAACAATTCTTTTGTCATTTTAATTTATACATAATACCCTCCACGTGGTTCGTAAACGATTGTTGGTGTAGGATTTGCGGAGGCGGCAAATCGAGTCAGCAATGATCTCAGGCGACTGGTATCTCTACTGCATTACTGGCCAATGTCTTGCTACAGATTTGTACATACGTAGGTAACCTTACTTTCAGCGAAGCCATATTTACCAGTAACTAAAAACTGTTGAACCAGTCTTAAGGACAGTGGGAGACTCTTTTATGTTTAAACAAAAGCTTTGTGTTCGAAGTTGAAAATTGCGAAGGTTGGTGAATGCATGAATGCTCTCCATATAATAGCTCTAAACAATTGGCAATTCCTCAACGCATTACAAACTGTTTCTACACGTTCTTACATCTCTTTAGTACTACTTGTACGCGATAAACAACAGTGGCTATGATGTCATTTCAGACTGGACTAATCGACATATTAGCATACACGTAAGATTGATACATTTCCCACGCATTCACGCTTTGGTTGCATGAAATGTACGTAATTTTAATTTGTCAAAGTAAAACAAAAAATCAAATACAGTTGCGCAGGTCGAAATAAACATTAGATCAGGCACTTTTGATAAGAGGGGTAGAGAGCTTGTTAGATTCTGTTATCAAATTTCTGATTTTTTTATAACACAGCATTGTTTACGGGTTTTGCAACGGTTCTTGTAACCATGGGAACTTTTTTATCGTAAACTTGCTGATCTCTGAATATATTTAAAATGTCTCCAGAGGTGGTACGTTCAACTTAAGGAAAAAGTGACGTTCCTCGAGCGGAAGTCAGCCCAAGCGGAGGTGGTGTAGGTGAAGGTGTAAGAGGTGGAAGTAAAGAAGATGGAAGTGGCAGTGGAGGTAGAAATGATGGGAGATGGCGAAGGAGTCTTCTAGTGATAGCCAAGCAAATGGCTAGCGTCACTGGTTCTCTTAGTTCGAATATTGCATCCGCTCCTTTAGCCTCGACGGAGCAGCTCGTCGACGGATTTCGCGAAAATTTCATTTCGCAATATTATTTTGGTACTTTGATTATCATCTGGTGATAACGTACGCGAGATAAATTTTACAAATTTTTTAAATATTATTTCTCATTGGATTTTAGGGTTAAGTTAAAATCGTCGAAGCCGGCTCGTGTCTGTGAACTTGACATTGACTTTAGGCAGTGATTCACTTAACTTGATCTTGACTGGAAAATAATTGAATGGAGATCAAACGAAACGTGTAAAACAATCTACATTTTATAGGGAATAAAAACGGAAGAAAATTTTGAATTTTTTTTTTGTTTATGTAATTGTGATATATCGTTCATTATACGGCGATACCATGTCCATGGCTATTTGGATACTGGTGTTCCTGCATTGTGCCACGGTACGCATGTTTTTTTAAAATTATTCTAATTTTGATTTCTATTAATGGTTGATATTTTTTATTGTATTTCTTATCATTACGTATCGATTAGGTACTGATAAGATTATAAGACTTTTTTAATGAGTTTTATTTAATCATTCAATAAATTTCCAAAATTCATATAAATTGACCATTCTCTTATTAGGACCTAGAAAATAAAAGGATCGTTGACTTTTTATTATCAGGAGATACATATTGTTACTATTGTTACAACAGATGTAATTATCTGTACGTATACAGCAACGTGTACAGCTAAATTACCGTAGGCTACAGTAATCTAGTCAAACAATAGAAAAGTGAAGTGTGTCAAAATAAAACAACTAGTTAATTACTCTCGTGCCACGCTATAGGCGAATTCGTTTTGCCATCGGATGCCGTTCTAAAATAGCGAATAGAAATGGATGATTTCTATGCCAACGTGCGAAAAATGTCTCAAAATAAAAATCAAGCGTATAACAATCAATAGCGTCCCCCTAGCACAATGAAATTGGATTGAGCATACCGACACAATAAATCTAAACTGGATTTAAAAAAATATAATCTGGAATACCGCGAATCCCTTGCAATACAAAAAAGTCCCGTTAGAATTATAATACGCTCGAAATTGCAAAAAAGGAAAAAAAAATTTTTCCTTACAGTACCAGAATATCCATTACATTTTCGTGAATAAAACATAATCCTTATATTCATATATAACCTAGACTTAATGGAATTGTGCGGAGATATCGACCAGTCATTCAAATTCTAACAATAGTAATTTTTTTATTTAATAATTTTTCACCGAACGGTAACAATAATAAAGATTCCACGAAAATACCGGGATATCTTTCGAAACTTCACAGTTGCTTCTATTGAGTGTGATTACCCTTGAAATTAAAAATTATAAGTATCAAGATTTCATATACTCATTGTAAAAAAATCATTGAGCTTTTTGCTAGTACAAAATGTCATGCTGTATTATTACGTGGTGAGATATCAATTCCCAAAATGATTTTCTCGGCATATCAAGCCTAACGCTTTTAAATATTTCAACTGACCTAATGATGATTTTTCAATTATTATTCAATTTCATCGATCGATTGTTCAATTTCATTGTGACTACTTTTTCCATTACGAATTATCCGTCATTTTTCGTCGATGACCGCGTCGCTGAAAAAATCGTATAGAAAATTATCTTTTTCTTCATTAACACTGTTGATGTAATTGCAATTGCTAAGCATGACGTATTTTCATTATCAATGTCACGGCAGGTATGTTGGAAGGTAGTTCGATCTATCGATCGAATACAATCATCACCATACCATAGAATGACAGGCCGTTAACTGAATACCAAATAGTACAATGACATTGGAATCGCTTGACTCATTTACTTCGAATAATAATCCTGACAATGATGTCTCACTTTCTCACGGATCATTGATCAATGATATAAATAAAATTTCCGATATAAAACCACTAAATTATTTAATATAAATATTATTACCATTTATAGCAATTTTTTTGACAGCTACTTATCAGACGTCAAAACAAAAACTTCGAAGGTCGTCCATTTTTTCTTTCTCATAGCTGTTTTCAACGATCACTTTATTAACACAATTTCGTGGTATATTAGGAGTTCTAGGAATATAACCAAAACCAATCTAAGTAGGTAATGCATAAGCAGTCTCGAAATGGCAAAGTTAAAATCCAACAAATACCGAGGACACTCTAGATCGTGATGATTATCAATATCATCGATTGCAACTTCACTCGATCAATGCGATGGTACCTAAAACTTGCATATAAAATAACAAAAACCTGAATATATCATTGTAAAACAGGTATATGGTAATGTGACAATCTTCTTAGGTTATCCACAATTCACTAGATATATTCACAATTTTTTAATCCCGTCTATACACACACGTCAAGTGAATACAACGCAATAAAATTCATAGATTGGGACTTGAAAAAGTAAAAGTAAGGTTTCGCTTAATCGCACTGAGCGGCTTTCGATTTCGTACGACCATTACAGCACGGATATCTCAAAGCAGCTAATATAAAAACCGCATTGATGTCGCGCAGCATAAAGGCGGCCTCGTGTCTGGCGTGTGGACGCGTCTCATTAGGACGTCGAGCACGCTTTCCTTTTGCTATTGATTGCCAATCGATTATAACCGCGCTCCATATACGTATGTATATGCGCACGTTGGGGCAAGCCGAATAAAAATTAATGACGTTTCTACGTATCTCATGGTACATTTGTTTTGTTTACTTTTTACATTACATTTTTGGTATTAGTTTTAAGCATAAACTTATATCGTACAGAGATATATATGTATATGTATAGGCGAAAAATAAATTTCTGCACTTGGTGGCCGTTCGTACTCGTAAATACAAAAAAGGCAAAGAAAAGGGAAAAGAAGCAGTTACCGTCGCTGACCTCTTTTCGTTCTAATGACAGACCTAGGTAGCGACTGATCACTGGCGTCAATTGTACGTAAGCCTTAACGATAATTGCTATAGGGAATTCCACGTCGCATTCTTGTAAAAATACTTATTCGTCTCTTTGGTGTTGAGTAGATAAATAAAAAAAGAAAAGAAACAGTAAACACATGATCTCCGTAGTGAAACAGGAAATTCAATAAGAAGTTTAATGGAATTGCGTTAGAAATTCGTTATTGTAAATCCCAGCGTACAATCAACGCGTTTGTTCATTTACATGATGCATTATTCCGGAGCCCGTGTTACATAAAAATTGTAGAATTTTCGTTGGCGCGAAATTCGAATCGGATTTTCAAACGAAAGCTGGATGTTCAGGCGTTCACGGTACGAGACTGACTTGCTTTAGGTTTTTTTATTGGAAATTTGAATTTTCTTTGTATCGTAGCTATATATTCTTAGATCTATTGGAAATAGCTCGCTCTACTTATAGTACATAGACTCTTTATAGCTATACTGTCTAATGACGTCTTGTACCTAGAATCGGGTACAATGCTAACGGGCGTCATGGCAATTTCACTTTCACGCCGCCGGAAACGCTCCTCTTTTGCTTCTTTTCTTTCCGCAGAGGGCATTATCGTAATCCGGCAAAAATCATTATTGTTCCGGTACAATTTCACGAACGTTGAACCCCTTTCCTGCCACGTCACTAAGTGTCCTGGGTATCCTGGACTGTAAAGTTGCTGCTTATATACCGGTGTACACTGTGTGTAAATAAGTATTACAGCGTTATAGGACAGAGCCATTCGTGGTAACTTGAGAATTTCTATAGTAGGCGAGACAGCATGGAATTTCTAGATGTCGCAGTAAAAGTGTCCTTAGAAGAATTCCAGTGGAGAATCTAGCATCTCACATTTCCTTTTGTCTCGTACAGATAAATTGAATAGGTTAAGAGATACGTATATTCGCTTGTTATGTATATGAGGGAATTGTAAATAGAATAGATAATGGATACGTAATTAAGCCTGATTTGTTCAATCAATTTTAATTAAAGAATTAACATTTCAACACCTTAATCAATTCAATTAAGGTTATAAGGTATCGATGAAACTTTGTTGTGTGGAATTTAAAAAAATGTGAGGTGAATTGGAGAAAGTTTTTTTTTATCGGATTTTTTTTTAATGGATTTCAATGTACTGAATTGGCTGGAGTTCAAAGTTCGTACGTTGGCTTCAGGAAATTCTTAATACTGACTTAAACATGGTGTAATGGTGAATTTGTATATTTATGAACCAATCGATAATTTTGACAGAAGCGCAGAAACATGAAATTATTATAATACCGGCTGATGATAAATTATGATGAAATTACTGTAAAAAAATTTTATTTTAATAATTACTACATATTGTTCGGTATTTCTTGATTTGAAGTCCATACGTTCTGAATTTATTATAAAGAAACGGTAACGTAAATAGTAAACTATTACAGCTCATCGCTCGAGAATTTTACGTCTTTTAATTACATTTAATCAATATTCATTTATACTAATGAATATCTCCGCTGTTTGTAAATATCATTGATCCCGGTGGATATACGTAATGTGTAAAATTATGATAATGTTCAGTGTGCGTAGAACGGAATCTTCTTTTTCGGAAATTGCGTAAACCTTGCAAAATGACGTTATTCTTTGTCTAATCCCAATGTCAATGAATATATATTAAAAGATACGCAGTAGATAAAAATTGATTTGGTAAAATTGTACGTGCAAATATTATACGTAAGATTTGAAAATATTTTTAAATAAATGAATTAAGGAATATATTTTGAATATTTTCACTGTATTTCACTACTTTTGTTATCTGCGGAATCTCAAGCACGTTGCGGTTTCCATTGTCCATGAATCTTCATCATTATTAATTAATCCTTTACTCAACTCAATCGTTATAATTAGCGAATTATTCTATGAAAACTATTCTGCTAAATGGACTTAAGCGGTCACGCACATTACTGATTCCATTTCATTTAAATAAAAAAGGAGTAGATTTAACAGTCAGTAGAAAAGTGCACGCGAATCTATTCATGAGAAATCATTAAGTCACTATACAAATTAAATATAAGATTAAAAATATTTACCGATACATGGTAAAGGTTAAATTACTTTTAGCCTATGCCGTCAAATTATCAATCCAAGTATAGCTAATCAGATAAATGACGTTTAAACAGTACGATTAATAATATCTCGAAATTAATCGTTACGTTATAAAGTACTGTCTGTGGCTCAAGATGAATGATACTTTAATTTTAGCATATCATCACGAACCCGATATAATTATAATTATCTACTTTATAAAAATACAATAAACTTTATAATATCGTCGTACCAATGAAATAATCCTATCGTCCAAAGGCTGTCTCTCTTCGCATCCAAGATGAGACAAGAGGATTGTAAGTTTACAAACGCAGAGTCATTCAAAGTGGCGCGAAGTGAGTGTCATGGCGACAGTAGAATGCGTGGGATTGGAAAAGCCGACTCTCGAGGCTCTGCGCTCCTTATTAAGAAATCCCCGTAGCGAGTCCCATGGCCTCGTGAAATCCCGTACAAGATCCCCATGTAATCCTTTACGTAAATCCATCTTATAAATAGTTACAGTGAAACGCAATACAAGACAAAAATTCAAACATAACCTGCATGAACGAGAAAAATCATAAAGAACGTTGCAAAATATATTTGAAATTCTAGAACTAAATAGGACGTGTCATTTGATATATTTCTATTTGTATATTTGGCAAACTCATGGTTATAGCAGTTGGCAGGACTGGTTTGTTACGTAGACTGCAAATTATTGGGAATAATCAATTCAATCGACCGAATACAAGGTTGCAACCCGCAACAACAATTTCGAGGTTATACTCACCCACCTGTTGACAGCCTACGACATTCCTGGCCAACTTGCTACCGTTTTCATTTCATTTTTTATTCGAGTAATTACCGAATTTGCATACTAGTGCAATCAATGACTGGTGCATCGTATTCGGACAGTGAATCTATTTAATTTATTGGCAATTTTATTAGGATACACCTGTGAATTCATATTTCGTATAATTGGACGTATTACTAGTATACATTATAGTATGCGACATAACCTAACGCATAATAATCAGTGCTTCGCCTTAACCAAGCCTCGAGAACGGTATATTACTTACATTATCAGGTAATTAGAATGTTTAATGGTTCGTGACCAGGATTATAGGCACGGAACAACTGAATGGCACCCTAATCATTGTTAGTTCTGCTGAAGATAATATGAACCTTTTTTAATCATGCACAAGGACGTAATGACTAGAGATCTTGGATCGTTCGCTCAATGATACTCCCTCCAAGTAAATCACAAATTATTTGTTGTTTTTGGTGTTAAATGGTCACTGTAAATATAAATGCAATCATTTTTTAATGAAATAAAATTCATAATTTTGCCATATGTTTGACGTTATGGATGCTTATATTTAAGGAATGAAATTTTTGCAAATAATTGCAATCTGAAACTAGCGATAATGTAAGAATTTCTTTTTGTACCAGGTTTGACAGTACAATTTTGAAAATTATAATTTTTTATTTTCTTTCTGAATCAGATTTCTGTCTTTGGCTTGACCGCGGATGAGATCGAGGCTCAAAGGAGCGGCTGGGATGTCAGTCCTAATACGCAATACCACATACAAACGGATGAGGGTCCCGAGCGTTACTTCCGGTTCCAGACACTCAGTGGTCAATACCGGAAAGAAAAGAGGCTCGAAGATGGAACAGTCGTTGGTACAGAAGGCTGGCTGGATCCTCTAGGATATTTGAGAATCAAAGATTATGTTGCCGACGATCAGGGTTTCCGGATATTGCGGTAATTTATTTAAAACAATATATAAATTTTATAACGTATATCTATAGTATGCCAGCATACTAAATTTTTAATCGATCTTCATGAGATTCTTGGCACTGAAGATTTCCTAGTATTTATGACATCGCACAAACGGTAATTACTCTACAATTACGAGATACTTAAATACTTGTCTTTATGGACATTAATTGGGAACTTTATTAGCTACAATATAGGAATATTAATTTGTGTGCCGTAATTACGTTGCCCGAGAATGGGAACAGTGTTAACCTTGAACTAGTGACAGCCTGAGAATTGACAATAATCTAAACAATACCTGTTCTATTGAGTAATCTTATTGTCATTACTTTTTTCTACATTTTCATTGTGGTCTGAATGTCAGTAGTCTTTCTTTACTTATAAACTTTTACTTCCTTTATTTTACTCTAAACTACTGATTCTTCTACCTGATAATAATATTATTTCGTTAATGTCAGATCCAAGACAGTCTTCGTCGGCAAGGACAGACCCATTCAAGATGCAGTGTCAGTGTCCAAAAAAGTACCAGCTGATAGTGGAATTTTGGTGAAACCACAGAGACCACCAAATCCTTTCAGGTAATAAAAAATTACTTGTTTTACAATATTGTGAAAGCTATGAAACAACAAAAAGTATTGACAATAACCTTTTTTAGATATATCTAAGTGTAAATTGAGGAACTGTTTCATTATTTTCCAGACAACCAGAATTGAAAGACGTGCCAAACAGCATAGAAGCGAACACAGTGACACCTTTGAGATCATCTACGACATCCTTGGAATCATCAAATCATTATACAGCTCCATCGAGTACAGCAGTTCCGTATACTGCAAGCATTCCAGAATCTCAGTACGAAGATGGCTACCTAAAACCAAATACGAATTATCTATTACCAGGATACCAATTCCAAAGTCCTTACGTCAGTCCGTACAGGAGTCCTTATCCATATCATATTCCACCACCAGCTGTACTAGTTCAGCCACCTGTTTACGACGAAAGCAATGGCCAAGCCAGTCAACAATTACCTGTGCAAGTTGTGTACCAACCTAACAGTTTAAATTCCTCAACGCAACAAACCAATTACAATCCAGCTGGATATCAAGAAGTAACACCAGTACAAATTCAGAGACCAGGAATTCCAGGATCACAGGAAGCTTCAGCCAGATCTCCTATTCAAGCATCATCTTCAGCAGCTTCCAGTTCTGCAATATCTCAACAACTCCCATTGTACGACGGTGTCCACTCAACCGCCAATGGTTTCCAGTATTACTTGAAATCTCATTATCACGAAGAAGAGAAACAGCCGAACGATAAGAAAGTTGGTTCGTTCGGGTATGTCGATCCTTTCGGCATCCGAAGAGTCATCTATTACAGTGCAGATCCACAAAGTGGATTTTTACACAAAAAGAACAATAGATACGTTGGGTTTAATGCGAGTCCTTATGATCCTTTGCCGCCATCATCGCATTAGAAAGTCAAATAACATAATTTTGATATAATCAATAAGATTAGCTAAATATTCAGCTAAGCTCTGATCCTCTATTTATTTAGAGGAGTGCCACTTTTTCGGAATTCCTTAATTCCACCGACTATCTTACATTTAAAAAAAACTTTTTTTATAACTTTATATATACTCAAAAAGGAATTCCATGGAGATTAACCAGTTAATCTTTTTTTATCTTCGTTTCTCGACTTCTACATGAAATTCTTGTGTCTGTGATCTAAATTAAAGAAACCAGTACAGATCCGGTCCATACACAAACATTAGTGCTTTGGAATATGTATTTACCAGATTAAACGAAAGCGGACTTTACTTACGAAATCCTGTCGTATCGCCACGAAGAGTCTGCGAGTAAAGTCGGACAGGCACATTAACTGAAGTGCTGCCTTAAATACGTGGGTGTCAAAAATCGGACTAGGCCCACGTATTTTTATACAGTCCTTAATATAAGATTACTTCCTAATCGTCTAATCTCTAATGTGTGCCTTCTAATACGTAAAAGGTTTCTCGGTCTATGTTCAAGGTGGTAAAGCTAAATCACCATAAGTAGCGATCAAGTATCCATCCATTAACAATTTCTGGGTCAGTCGCACCTCCCAAGACACTGATTACAGTCCACTGTATAAATTATTGTCAACGTGGACATGCTAGTTTCTCCTGATAACTTACTATTAAGCTAATGCCCATTCTGTATATGTCCATTAGACTTCATCTTGGATTTAGTACGGATACTAACACAAAACTAAATAATTAGTAATAAGTAGAATAACATTCGATATTTATAATTGTGGGCTCATTATGAAATTTTAACAATCAGCACCATTTTTAAATTAGCAAAGTTCCAGTCTGGAATCTAATTTCGCTAATGTCTTGCTGTGGCTTATAAGTAATGGCATATTGTAAATTTTTTTTAATGGAATCGAATCATGCATCTGTTTACCAATTTTATATTGGATGACTAATCAGTATCCTATTTTGTAATTGTTATCGGTTGTGATCGCATGGCTAACCGGATTTGTACCCACGCTTCGTCTCGTATTCTCTTATCGCACTATTATACTGATACCATATTATGAGAGAACCGTTATAGTTTTCGGAACCAGTACCAATTTTGGCATGAGTGGAATCGATCAATATCTAATTATTTTTCACGGAATTAATTACGCAGTGACAGATTTTTTTAGAACACTCATTTACAGGAATCAAAAACGTTATGATCAAGTGATTAATTTAATTATTCGTATAATGAAATTCTTGATTACTGTACCTTTGAATTCGCTCGTTATTTCATTATTCAGATAAGTTATTCCAAATTTCGTAAGTGAAACGCTACCAGGGACATTTTTTTTATGAGTTGCTATTTGCTATTTTTTTTTATAAAAAGAAGTCGAGCTACATTAATTAGGGTAGAATTATCACTGGCTACGATGGTGGGAAATATACTATTGCCTTATATCCGGTTCAATCGAAATCTAATCGTTTCTTTATGAGATAATTAGGTACTACTAATTTAAGTATGTATTGTTGCTAATATTATTAACTATGACGGCACAGACACTGCCCTGTTGATCACGGTGAATTGCACTGTGCACTTCGTAAAGGATACTCAACACATCAGTTTTACCTGAATTTTTGTAACAACTATATTGAATAATAATTTTGCAGATTTGGCAATGGACCCTGGTCGCAGGGCTGACGAGAAAACGTGCTTGTAAATAAATAAAACGATCGTGTTTTACAAAAAGAGAAACTATACAGTTTATTGTGCGTATAATTACATGGTGAGCAAAACCTTTTTTTTCAAAGTAACAATCAATAGTCTTATTTTCATTAAAATATACACAATTCCTAATTTACCTGATTCTCGTACTATATTAACTGTGTTGTGTTATTTATCCATTGTGAAGGCAGCAGATTGTTATAGTTTCGAAATGTCTCTCATAGATGTCACTAGATTCACTGAATCTCGATTAACTTACGGAAGTACGAGAATTTTCTAGTTTTTTATAAATCGTTTATTAGAGTGTGCACTAAAGGTTTTTGTTTATTTCGATATCTGTTCTATAAAATGGTTGAACCATCCACGGATACCGTAAATGTCGCAGGCGAAGAAAATATAGTTCATTCGGCTATTGACGCTCTAATAAAAGAGGTAAACAATCAGTAAACAACGTTAAATTTTTTAACGTCTGATTCGAATTAATTTACGTAATAAAGGATGCCAGACTCAAAGTGGAAACTGAAAAAGTCATGGAGACGAAGAAGAAGTGGAAAACACAATACTTCCAATTAGAACGAAGTAATTCTTACCTAGCAGTAGATATAAATAATGAGAAAAAAGATGCGAGTCAGCTCGAAGAGAAAATCAAACTAAAAACTCGTGAAATTTCCGACCGAGAACACGAAGTTTTTTTAGAAACACAATGCAGTATGGAACGCAGGCTGAAAATAATGTGACATATTTTTTGTAATATAACGACGTAAGTAGATGAAATATTTTTAAATTTATTTCGAGACTATCATTTTATAGAAAAGATTTTGAGGACAATGTCATACAACTGGCAACCAAAATTCAACAAGCGCAGAATGAATACGTAAGTTTAAAATGAACGATAATCATCTTTTCACAAGTGGTTGTAATTGTATATCGAACGTCATATTGCAGTGTTCCAAAAATTTAAAACAAGATTGCGAGACTTATTGTATAAGATACAAAAAATATGCTGAGGAATTACAAAATCTTCAGACACAGTTAGATATTCGAAAACAGCGATACGATTTTAATGATCGAACGAAATTCGACGAAGGCAATCTTCTGATTAACTTGCAAATATTGAAGGAGATTTTGTAAATATTTATTAAATAATTCATTCTTTCTTCTACTATATAAAATTATGGATCTGTATTCTTTTTTTGTTTATTATCACAGAATGGATGATAGTTCTCTAGAAAGAGCTACCAGATCAGGGATGCGTTTGAATCAAGAATTGAATAGTAAAATTAAACAAACTAAAAGGAGATTATCAAACCTCTCCGAAAAATAAGAAAATAATGTGATACAACATTTTGTGAAATATTAATGTCTACATAATATAAAGAAGTTTACTGTACAATATCACATTACCTGTTTTATATGAAATAAATATTTTTTTTTCTTAAATAACACTACTTAATTAATATTTAAGAGTATTAACAATTATTCGCTAGTGTCGCAAATAGTTTCTTAACGATTCAAAAGAAAAACTGATTCCCGCATTTTTCCCCTCTCTTTCACTTTTTGCCTACAGTGCCACCTGATGAGCAGTGCTGGTTACCATCAAATTGAATTTACGAAAAAGCCGGTACTTGTGCAGTTATGTTTAGAATTTCCGGCGTTCCTGGATATTGAGGTGTTTTATATCAAATTAGTTTGCTGAATTTTACTTAGAATATATGAAGAATGGAGCTCACCGATGATAATCTGTTCACTCTGAACGAGTATCTGAAACACACGCTTAATCCTGATGTCAACGTCCGGCGACCTGGTAACTTAACCTTATAAAAACTATTACGTTCTGCCTATCTAATATGAACTCCATCGAATCAAATCTAGAGTTATTTATGTCGATGATAGTGATTAATATTCTACCATAACCATGAAATTATGATTTCTTTTATGAATTATACTTACATGCAACATATAATACTAATGCAAATATAACATAACATAACCTCTGACTTGACTGTCCAATTTAGTTCGAATAATTTATTGTTAAATACAATTTTGTTGTATTCTGTTCATTATTATTTTTTTTCGTGATACTCAATATCGTGAAATAACTTTTTTTTAGATATTGATCTTCAAATATTTAATGCATTCACAATACAAAGCATTGTTTACTGAATATTAATTTTCAGATTCAACTATTTTTTTTATTACCGCAAACTATTTGTTGCAGCCGAAAAATTTTTGGAATCCGTTGAAGTCAATCAAAATTATCCATTACTACTGCTACATCTGGTGGATAAATCTGAAATTGATATAACAATTCGAGTTGCTGGAGCTGTGGCTTTTAAAAATTACATCAAAAGAAATTGGAAAGTGGTCAGTATCGATTGTAAAGTTTGAAAAAAAAAAAGAAATGTAATATCTAACGGCACATTTTTAATGGGACCAAAATCTTATATTTCAAATTGTGGTAGTCATTAAATTTTAATTATTAGTTCTATTTCAGGATAAAATGAACCTTATTTAAAGCATTTTATTTCTAAACCTTTTAGGAAGAAGATACTGGTGATCGTATTCATGCACAAGATAGAGATGCAATCAAAAAATTAATAGTCAACTTAATGCTCCACTCTCCAGATTCTATCCAGAAACAACTGTCAGATGCAGTCTCAATAATTGGCCGTCATGATTTCCCTGACAAATGGCCAGAACTCATTGATCAAATGGTTGAAAAGTTCAACACTGGTGACTTTCATATTATAAATGGTGTGCTGCATACAGCACATTCATTATTCAAACGCTACCGTTATGAATTTAAGAGTCAAAGTCTCTGGACCGAGATAAAATTCGTTTTAGAGCAATTTGCCAAACCACTAACTGATTTGTTCGTAGTAAGTGACTTTAATTATAAATATTAAATTTATTTATTTTATATTTTTAAGACATGTTTTTGGCACACTGAACCATATGTATACAATGTTAACAATTATTATTGGTAATTTTAGGCTACTATGAACTTGACACAAGTTCATGCAAATAATGTGGAGGCCTTAAAAGTTATTTATAATTCATTAGTTATATTATGCAAGGTTTTCTATTCTCTGAATTTCCAAGTGAGTATTACTCCAAAAAAATGTTTATTGAGCATTTTAACTAGAATAATGTGAATGATAATTTTTTTAGGATTTACCAGAATTCTTTGAAGATAATATGGCCATTTGGATGTCCAATTTCCACACTTTACTCACAACAGAAGTTTTACCATTACAAACAACAGTAAATATACATTAAAAATTAATACATATGTCGAATGTTAAACTAACAACATTGTCGTTTCCAGGATGACGAGGAAGCTGGAGTAATTGAACAATTAAAATCACAAGTATGCGACAATGTTGGCCTTTATGCACAGAAATACGATGAAGAGTTTCAACCATACTTGCCCAATTTCGTTACAGCGATTTGGAATTTATTAACATCAACGGGTCAGCAGCCAAAGTTTGACGCGGTGCGATAAATTTTTCATAAACTGGATATATGTATATCACAGAATCTTTTTAAGTCAGATAATAATGATTTTCATTTTACTATCATAATCGGAGCATTGTGTATTTATATTTATAGCTTGTATCGAATGCCTTGCAATTTCTGGCGACTGTGGCAGACCGTGCTCAATACAGACACTTGTTCGAAGATCCATCAACATTAGGCAGCATCTGCGAGAAAGTTATCATCCCCAACATGGAATTTCGACGTAAAAATTGACTCTTATATCTTTGTTCCACATAATATAGCATTTCCCATTAACAGCAATGTCTCTCTTATAGAGTCAGATAATGAATTATTCGAAGATAACCCTGAAGAGTATATTCGCCGAGATATCGAAGGTAGCGATGTGGATACTCGTCGTCGTGCAGCATGCGACTTAGTGAAAGTTTTATCAAAATACTTTGAAGTGAAGATCATGGAGATTTTCGGTGCCTACATTCAGGTAAGGCAATAAATAAGTACAGTAAACCCAAATTGTGACTCACATAATGTAATATAATTAATCATTATAAGTTGTTAGAAACAAACAAATGAGTTAATATTACCCCATAGGTAATGTTACAAAATTACGCTGAAAAACCAGCAGAAAATTGGCGCAGCAAGGATGCTGCCCTCTACTTAGTAACAAGCAGTGCGAGCAGAGGTCAAACCCAAAAGCATGGTGTGACACAAAGTAGCGAACTGGTTTCATTGCCTCAATTTGCTGCGCAACACATCCAACCTGAATTGGAAAAGATAAATGGTAAATCTGATACATTATAAGAGAAATGATCTTACAGATATTAATCGTAAACTGTCCTCTAAATTCTTTCAGTTAATGAGTTTCCTGTGCTAAAAGCAGACGCCATTAAATTTATCATGACCTTCAGGTCCATACTACCCCGTGAACTTGTAGTTGGCAGTTTACCACAACTCATTCGACACCTTGCAGCAAGTAGTTCTGTTGTACACAGTTATGCCGCATGTGCAATCGAAAAAATCTTGGCCATAAGAGGACCAGACAACAAACCCATGTAAGAAGAGTTTTAAATTTGTAAAACTTTCGTTTAGATTACGTTTTTTTTTCTTGTACGTCACTTATGCATTTATGTTCCTTGATTACAGCGTCAAAGGAGAAGAGCTCGCACCACTGGCTGCTAATCTTCTCAAAGGGTTGTTTAACGTGTTGATCATTCAAGGATCTGAAGAGAATGAATACGTTATGAAAGCTATAATGAGAAGCTTTGTTATTCTACAAGAGAGCGTTGTTCCATTCTTAGCAGATTTATTACCAAAATTGACAGAAAAACTGACAATGGTTGCAAGAAACCCAAGTCGACCCAATTTCAATCATTATTTGTTTGAAACACTAAGTTTGTCCATTAAGTAAGTATTAAATCACATTTTCTGTAGTGCAGACTGATCATATCTTATTGTTCTACTAACCTTTTGCATTTCAGAATTGTTTGTAAAACAAATCCTGAAGCAGTTGCATCATTTGAACAAGCTCTCTTTCCAATATTCCAGGGAATCTTGCAACAAGACGTTCAAGGTACATTTCTGTTAATTAAGATTTTATATTTATCGAAATCCTTAAGTTACTGAAATACTATTTGATACCCATGCGTTGCAGAGTTCATCCCGTATGTCTTTCAAATTTTGGCACTGTTACTGGAACTCCATACCGGCAATGAAGTTCCAGAAGCTTATATGGCACTTTTCCCATGTCTATTGGCTCCAGTCCTATTCGAGAGACAAGGCAATATCCATCCTCTTAATAGGCTTCTGCAAGCTTTCGTTCAGCACGGAGCTCAACAAATAATAGCGCAGGACAAACTCAGCGGACTTCTTGGCGTTTTTCAAAAACTGATTGCATCCAAGGCTAACGACCATGAAGGTTTTCTACTCATTCAGTGTATCATTGAACATTTTCCACCGTAAGTGAATTTTAGTTTGTACCAACAAGATTTTTTAATATACAGTAAGATCCCAGGTTAGCACTTTGGATAAGTTCTGAGATTCTAGAGCGCTAAATGAAACAGCGCTATTCCGGGCACATATGGAACGGTAAAGCGACAAGTTCGGGAAATGGAAAGAAAAAATGTTTTACAAGTATTTGTAAGAGTATTACTTCTTCATACTTGTCGGCGTTATGTTCTTTTTAGGAGGCAAAGTACCAGTGCAAATGCATTTAACGTAGCAGCGTTAACCGGAGTCTGAGCCTACTAATAAAATCGATTTGAACAATGCTCTGTTTTAGGAACATCTTGGAACAGTATATAAAGCAGGTCTTTGTATTGCTATTTCAAAGACTGTCTTCTTCCAAAACAACTAAATATGTCAAGGGCCTCATAGTTTTCTTTGCCTATTACATTATACGTTATGGTTCAAGCAGTTTGGTAACGATTATTGACCAAATACAATCACAGTGAGTACAATCTCAGACGTAAAGTACAAATAATTACAAGAGCTTGCAGAATAAAGTTAATTGTCCTATGTTCTTATCAGGATGTTTGGCATGGTCGTTGAGCGCGTCCTGATTGCTGATTTACAAAAGGTGTCTGGCGTAATAGAGCGCAAAGTTACGGCAGTGGGAATATCAAATCTCTTAGTGGAATGTCCGGCAATGCTAGAAACACCATACAATGTATATTATCCTCGATTATTGGCAACACTCATCGAATTCTTTGAATTACCTCAAGACGAAACTAGCTTACCGGAAGATCAACTCTTTCCAGAAGTTGAAGATGCGCCTGGATACCAAGCAGCATACAGCCAACTAGTATTTGCGAGAAATCCTAAAACAGATCCTTTACAAGGTAAGTTTACGCACTGTTTACATCGTTGGCTGATTAAAGATTTTGTTAACGTCTCTACAAACAGGAAATATGTAGAAATTATAAACCTGATAATTTTTTTTATCCGTTTCTTTTTCCGTCTAGCCATCGGAGATGTTAGACTTCATCTGGCTCAAGGTTTGGGAAAACTGTCTCCAGGGCAACTACCGGGACTCCTAGGTCAAATTCCAGAACCTAATGCCAATCATCTAAGAAACTACTTGCAAACGGCCGGCATAACAGTTGCATAATACAAAATAGACGTCCGCGGCAGACTGAAAATTTATTTGATGGCTCGACGTTTCAACAATATCGAGCTGAATAAACTGTCGAGTTAAAAAATGAGACTTCAATTCAACAACTAAGTTTTAAGAAGTGAAAATTCGCGAAAATGACATTACAATTGTCGATGAATCACTTGTGGCGCCAAATTTCTTTGTTCGTTGCGGCACTTTTTTCATATTAGACTTCTTGATCGGTCAAAGTTTCCAAATGAAGTTTATATGACGTTAGAATCTAATTTTTTCAACGATGAGAGATAAATAATGATATTCTTCTCATTTACAGGATTAATATCGTGGTTACGAAAAAAATTTTCTGGAGAACGTCGTTGGAATTCACCAGTGAATTAAAATCCTGGGTATAGATCGGAGTATGTATCGATTACAAGTAATTTTTGCACATAAATTTTTCATACGCGAAAAAAAGCTTCGCTGTACACTTTGGCAAGACACTCCACGATTTTAATCGTATTTCAATATGTTTTTTCGTAACCTTGATAATACATGTAATTTCCTGCACATTTTTAGAATCCAGTGAAAGAAAAAACAATTGTTAATAAACATAGCTACGATTTTTTATCAGACTGCCTTTCAATCGTTTCCAATATCTCGTAATATTAATTAACAATTGATCATAATTTTTCACTTAAATACTGTTTTTAGTAGTCAATATAGTGTACCTCTGTAAATGAGGAACGAATGCTGCGAGTCAACTACAGATGCTTCACCGATAATTCATCCATCTGAGTTTAAAAGAATGTTATCCGTTCAGACCATTGACAACAGAGATGTCGCCATAATCGTAAAATTCTCGATCATTCATATACAAATGCCTAAACTCGCGTGTAAACGTAAATCTCCATACGCCACGGCAATAATTAACATAGCTTTACGGAGTCTCGCGTTAAAATATGCAAATGTACTCCGCTGACCAAAGATCTTTGTACCAGTCGCTGAAATTGAACTTTGGACAATTTCGCTCCACATGACTGCGCGCCTTTCGTCACAGCAAAACAAACAGTATACACAGTTCGTGTCTGAGGCTCTCGATCCACTCCAGGAGTTCTTTGACTCTGGCGTATCTCAACAAGAAGAGAAGAAGTTGCTCCTTTGACCAACCAGACATCAGTCTGATAAACAATTAAAAAAAATATCTTTCCTTATTCTTCAAGATTTATTATTAGAGCTTCTTAAACATTTAAACCAATTTCAATATTTTTAGGTCACCAATTCGTTCCGTTTTTGTTCTCCAATGATTTGGAGCGACTTAAAACATGGCTATTGTTTTTTATGGCGCCGTTCACGGTTATCGACGAAAGACGAGGAAAATGCATACATGTAAAATCACTGCATTCAAATATCCTTAAACATTGTATGGAAATTATGCAGATAGTTAGAGTCGCGTAACCTGCCGTTTAACTTAACAATAATTAGTATAAAAGCAAGTAAAGGTCCGCTGCGTAGATACGCCAGTCATTTACATGGTAATTATTCATTGAAAGACGTCAAAATGAAATGTTCTATATTGTATCAGAATGGTCATTAAGCATTGTGGCACGTCCCTTGGCATTGGTTACTGCATCACATTCTTTTAACACGTGGGAATTATTGATTCCTTGATAGCCGATATTTGGAAGTCATTTTGATTTCAGTTAACGACGTCAATTATTTGCATCCGCGCTTCGCATTTGACAAGGTGAACACACTCACGGACGTCAGAGATTCTGAGGATGATTAAAGTTATGGGAAGTCTACTAATGGTTTGTGAATCGTTATGATTATGATGAACATACGTAGATTATTCAAAATTTGTTAGCATTGAACGCGTGATGGAATGGTGTGGATCATTCTCGAACCTCGTAGTGATAATTTAAGTAATCAATAGGTATAAATGCCGTGTGTACTAATAATTCAATTATGACGAATGATCTGCCACGATACGGAATTATAAACGAAAAAAGAACTACTTAGTTCTTTTATCAAGATTTATCTCCAATAAATTTGTCTGTTGTACAAATCCATAATGCAGTTATGGAGGATGTTAGAAGTATTTAAGTACAGTCATTGTCGAGATAAATGAAGTAAATCCAAGAAAATAATTGTTTATTATATAATGTATGATCTGTCACCAATCAACAATATTTGTTATAATGGAGGGATATTAACGACTGAAAGAAATATCAAATCTCAAGTATTATAGTTATCTTATTGAAAATTATATTGAAACGTATTCGACTGATGATAATTTTATTTTGTCAACTAATAAGACTTATTGTCGGATATTTAGATATCTTAGTCTACACATATGAGTGATGACAAAAAAAGTGGTACCATTTATTATTCAGGGTCGATTTAGTGAACTTTGATCTACATACGTAACCTATCTTGCGACTTCCACTTCCGATAAAAGTGTCTCAGCTATTCGCGGTTTTATCCCCACCGTTTCAGAATTTTAGTTCGCGAAAATGCCGATAGATCATATACACTAAAGGCGTGACGTTACAATCAGTTTCAGTTCCGAACAGTTCGTCAGTCTGTTCAGTTCTCTTGAAATAATTTGATTAATTCCATTCAAGGGCTTAAATTACGATAAACTTACGTTCTACTGTTAAAGTAGATTCAAAATATTAATAAAAAGTTCAAGTAAGGTGAATTGAAAATCATCTCATTTACTAATTCAAGAAATTTTGATATAACAGTTAAAAGTTGCCTTTTCAAAATGGTCTACGCTCCAAATAATAGGACAACCGCCGAATCTGCCGTTATGGCGAGGTAAATATAAAAATTTTGTATTAAAACAAAATCTTATCATTAAATTATAACTGTCATTCATTATTATTGTATTGCTCATACAGAGAGATCACTGATGCTCTCTATTCTTTGAGCATGTATGAACCTTGAGCACAATTACGAAAAAGAATTTAATCACACTAAAAATAATAGTAGAAGGTCACATATAAATGAAATGATATAAATATTTCTTCTATATGAAAGGCTGATAACTAGAAAATTACGATCCTCCCTTAAATTATTACTTGCACATACATTTTTACAAGCAATTATTCTTTTGAAACATAAAAATGAAACTTGAAACATTTTTATTCATTTTTATCCACATTAATTTTAAAAAATGTTCCGCACCAAGTGATATTCAAACTAAGCATATTTCTAGTCTTAAATAATATATTGTTCATTAGGCCACACTATGTATACGTAGGTGACCTAACATATTCTTGGTATCATTTCGTCATCGTCCGATGCAGGTTGCTTTAACATTGATACCAATACACTCATTACCGTTAATGCTGCGAATTTTATCGCGTCAATTAGAAAATATCTGAATAAGTGCATGAGGCTTTTATCAACGGAGCAATTCAGTAATTGCACTTGCAAGTCGTTTCATATCGTTCTATAAGCCGCTACAAGAATATAACAGTCAGCTAAGACATGCCGAATGCAGGCGTCCGCGGCTCTCTGAAGAGCAACCCCCGGAATCACGATACACCTGTATAGTTGCAACTAGATTGTGGTGGGGGTCTGGCGTGTTTCGGCAGAGCCAATCAGAATCTTGGATTATGGTCCGACTTCGAATCATAGATGGGAGGTCGCGCGCAGCAGTGTTAGAATGAGACCGGCAGTTAAGGGAGGGGATATATTGGCAAGCTAGGTGCTGAAAAAGCGAGACACGGGACGTACACGAGGTCGATGGTGCTGCGCAAAATTCATGTGGGAAAACGTTGCGACTAATGGCAGAAGAAGAGGATATGTGTTGTACAATAACAAAGGGGGAAAGTCTTTTAAAAAAATGATTACTGAAATTTTGAACTAGAAATATAGATGGAATGGAAAGATCGGAATTTCGGAAACTATCGTGATTGCAAGCTTCTAGATAGAAATTGTGGATCGATATACTACATCCGAAGAAATTCCACTTCGTCGACTTTGTTATGCATGTAATATATAGGTTAGGTTCAGGATTGAAGGTTTTTACAAGTTCCAACTTATGTACGTTGTTAAATATTCACATGTCCTAGGGAGGAACATTTTTTTTATCTGTTCTAACCCTTGACTCTTTTGAAATACTGTGATAATGTCGGTGATCGATATTGTGTATGCCAGGGTAAAACTAAGGGCCTACGTTGCAGAAAGATATAGAGCATAGAAATTGCACTTCCGCAAAATTAGCAATAAAAAGAATGATTACAAAGAACAATGTAGTCAATCGATTGATCTGGATCTTTGAGGAAAAACATTGCAATTCCGAAAAGCTGTAGCTTCATAAGATAGTTGTGGGGAAATAAGACAGTGTACAGTGCCGTGACGGAAAACAACTTTCAAGCGTACTTACTGTAAGAAAAATTAAAAAAAAATTTTGCAACAAATTATAGCTCCCAAAATACGATGACAATCTTAATATATATTAGTCTTTTTTACCATTAACCATTTTTGTACTCCATCGTCCATCGGGAAAGTAATATGGGTGGCGGTAGTGTCGCGGCTGCCGGAGCCTCGTGCCCTTCTTCTTCATCCATCTAGCAACCGTTGATATAAGCGGCGCTTGCTACGCTGCATTCGCCTTTCAAGCACGAAATCAGTACGTGCCCAACCGTCCACTAGTGTACTACATTGCGTCAGGTGGCTTAGCTGATATTTCACTCACTTATTTTGGTTTCACTATTTATCATCGCGAAGGTGCTACTCCGTGTATTCGTCTATAGTACGTGTTCAACTAATTCCGTGCTAAAATGAACTACGGTGATCTCTCTGTTAGTAACGTGGAGAACAGCAGGTTTGTAGATATAATTACTATTTGAGGATGTAGATGGTCCATTTTTTCCTTGTAATATACGACAAATGCGGCTCCCACGATGTACTCTGACCATGCGCTAACATCAGTAGAAGCACCTAGTGAAAATTCTTAACGCATTGCTGGTACTGACTACATATTCACTAGTGAATGTCTTTTGGACGCTCCCTGTCATGTGGCCATTGCCAATCTGTTCAATCATTCAAGTCTTATTGAGTGCGATGAAAAATTGATATGAGACTACGTGTGCGAATTGGAGAAGCTTTCTGGAAATTGTTGTGTGAAAGAAGTATCCAGTTTGTAATTTAGAGTGTCCTAGTAATATATGGTAAACGCCTACTGTCATCACAGGAGACTCTTTCATTTTGTATGTCGCCTTAGATTTGTTTGATAAGTAATTGCAATTACTGAGAAACTATTCAATAACTGAAAGCCGGGCGTCACTAGGAGCGTGGCAGGGGCGGATATGAGTCGCGGTTTGAATTTACAGTGTTGCCGCTTGAAGCATATATTTTTGCTCAAAATCTTTCCTCTAGTATACATTTGAATCAGAATTTGTATTCTTGCTAGTTGTAGATAAAGTATTTTTGGATATGGTCGTACCTTGGAGTCGTTCGCCACGTGAAGTCTGGGGTCATTGCTTGTTTTATTATAGCTTTTTGGTTTTTAAAATAAATATCTAATACACGTGTTTCGCTCAGAAGCATCGAATAAAAGGGCGTGTAACTTGTCGAATTTTTGTTTGCTGATATTACTGCAACGAATAGAGAAAGTATATTTTGTTGTCGGCTGTACAAGTTGGTGGGTACGAGTAAATGAGGAAATGATGACACGAACGCGCGATAGTGCTCAAAAAATCACGTAGCCCATCTGTGCAGGCCCTTGACCTAAATACGATACGCACATGTCAAACATGCGTCGAAATATCCTGAAAATAAATATTTCAATGCCGCGTCTCGACACGGTTTAGAATTTTACCACGAACCACAGTAATGCATAACAAATTGGGAACTGTATATTTCTAACATTTAGCATTAATTTCGCTTTGCCCTATGAGGAGAGGCTCGTTTTGTCGTTTTCAGTTGAAATGTAACTTTTAGCTAACTTTCAGATCCAACAATCGCGAGGATCTTGCGGAATTTATGTCGTTGTCGAAATCAGTTGGATATTTAACATAACCTGAAAAGTACGTGGCTTTATTCTGAGATCTAAAAAAATAGCAGAAAAATGAAATGATCTTATCCAACATTAGATAAGATTGCTAGATTACGATGTTAAAGAATTGGATAAAGTAAAAAAGCTTTTTTTTTGTGAATGACGATGATCATTAAAAAAAAAGTTGCATTGACGCACTTTGAATTTAAATCAGATACAATATTTACAAGTGCGAATCGAATATTAATGCTAGTTAGGAAAATAAGTTGGTATTGTTTAATAATAAGTTCAGTCATGCTTTTTTCCTTCGTGTACTCATACCGTGTTCCAACCCAAATGCACCGCCTGAAGTTAGCGCATTTCTTCGATTCTTATGATAAAACCATGTTCAGGTAGCGCGTTTGGGCGGAATAACCGCGTATGCATACCTTGCTTATATTCAAGGAAGCCTGATACCGTTGTTGACTTTATTGCATCATTGATTTTTTTTCTATTGAATTACATTGAACCATTCATACTTAAAATATTAAATGGATCAATAATTAGATGCATTGCACATATAGTGTGAAAGCAAATATGCAGATAGAAACCATAAAAACCACTGCCGCGAAGTTAGTTCTCGATGCAGTGTAATATACAACTAATGGTTTCTACACCAGATAGATTGTATTCAGGACTTTCCAGAACAAGTAGCCTTTCTGTTATGTAACTTTTACTTATAGGATAGTAATATCCGCGATGACTGTGCGTTATATAGGAATTGATACGTAAATGTCATTTCAACGGTTAATATTGAACACTCAGAAATTTCAAACAATAAAAAAGTTAATGATACAATTTATTATACAAAATGGGAATATGATTGAGGTTAGAAAGAACTCGACTTTATCGTTTTAAAAATAATCAAATTTAGAAGTGTGTACCTGTACTTACCAGAGAAAGGCTTGTAGTCCCTAACCTAATTGGAAACAGTTACTCGAAGCGTGTCGAGTTTCTTCATTTTTTTTACCTTCATTGCAAGACGACAATGATGTCACGACGAGTAGCAAGATATTAAAATTGCACTTTCTATCGCGACGTTCGTTATTCGAAGAGCATTTAAAAACCCCGCCAAAAGAAGGGCGCGAACACATTCGAAAATGTAATATGGCCGTCCCTTAACCGGCAAAAGTATTGATTGCGTCGGGTCGACACCCCTACGAGTAAAGCCGAGCATAGGTCAATGTCGGATGTATAGTTTTCACAACACGAAACTGAACTCTGTCGATAACCTTCTAATTGATATTGCAGTGGCATAAAATTGCTTTGATATTTTGCGTTATTTTTTATCTTGTATCTATCACAGATCACAACACTGACGTTTGCATGCTGATTATAAATTGTAAATATTGCAAAACTACCAGCTAATTTAAGTACAAATAATTTACTAATGTTAGTTTGAAATTAGACATTTGGTGACATTTGACGCCTCATACACGACTCTTGCACAGTGCTTTGTCTAACAATTGATTTTCGCCGTCCGCCATTTCTCTCTAATATTTTTCAGTCGCCACAAAATTTCGGCATAACTAGATATATTCTCTATAAAGCGTGTTCTGTGTCTCTGGCCGTGTTCTCGGCTTTTGTTTTTTCTCCCGAAACTCCGAGAAACAAAAAAGAACAGGATGACAATACGGGAGGTGAATACGAATACAAGGTATTCGCTCGAAGAAAACGTGTAGGATATTTTTAGCTTCGTTCTTACACCGAGATATTTATATGCGTTCCTAAAGTAATTTCAATTTGTACGAATTACTCTTGCATCGAGTAG